CTTACGGTCTGATATACGCAAATAGCGAAAGGAACAGAGACCTTTGGGACATAAACATACATTCCAAGTTTCATCAAAATCGGATAAAAATTGTGACTTCTAGAGTGTCCACAACCTTTAAATATTTTTACACTATTTGTATATAATTAGCGGCCATTTTGCCCGGCAGTTTCTGTCAGATTTTTACGAAATTCGAACTCAAACTTCATTGATGTGTAACGGTGATAGATTTAAATGGTTTTTTTTTAAAATTGAATACAAAAACATAAATTTAAAATCGGATCAAAAGTGTGGCCTCTACAGGGTCCACAACCTTGATACCATTTTCATAAACTTTTTGCGTATGCGGGGGCGGCGATTTTGTCCGGCAGTTTTGGTCGGATTTTCCCGAAATTCGAACTCAACCATCATTATGGTGCAGTAATGGTGATATATTCGTTCGTGGTGCTAAACGCCTGTTTCCACCTAGAATCATATCACAGACTATTCTCTACGCAGACCAGTCTGAATAATCACTACCCACAGGGGCGCTATGTTGGCGTGTTATAAGTTATAGGCCTAGATGCAAATGACGCCGTACCTTCAAAAGAACGGGACAACTGCCCCGCTGCCCTTATAGGTGTGCCGACTATATCTTTACAAATCTTAAATGTTGAGATGGTTCAACAGGTTATAAGAAATTCGAACATTTTCTTGTGGGACGACCAAATGACGTGAGAACAGTTCCAGGGTTTGGACCTGGTGTTGGCCGAGAACGCTCCTCGGAATTTGAAGTTTGAAGTTAAGGGGTCCCTTTTACCCCACTTTCCCCTAACTCGTGTTCTGCTTGAAATGAGGGGTCAGCCATTCAAATGGTCTGTCGAATCGAGCGTTTGACCTTTTTTGCCCGGAACTGTGGGTAGGCATTACCAGCGATAGAAATCAAAACAAAGCAAAAGAAGATTTAAAAAAGCATAGCGGTCGCTAATTGGTTAATCGTATGACTGACGTTATCGGGTCAGATGTCGCTTGCTTGGTACCTGACGTCATAGAACGCGAACTCCCACTATAACTTGTTAGATCTACATGTAGTGTAGGCCATCGAAAGTATAAAAAACCAAACGAAATATAGATCTATATTTTAATTAGATTCGTACAATCGTGATTTAACGTCCACTCGACACAAACTAGGTCATTTCGGGACTAACATATGGATTAATTTTTATTTCAATAATTCGTTTCCACGTTGTGGTCTTTAGCAGTGGGAGGAAACCGGGAATCCGGAGAAAACCCACGAGGTTGGACAGGCGACCCTACTCCTTGTCACGTACAACCGGGGATTCGAAACCACGCCAGTTGACTAAATGACAGGCCTTATGATACAGCGCGCACGTGCTAACCATTCGCCCCCCCCCCCCCCCGCATCATTACAGTGTAACGGTGATATATTCAAATGTTTTTTTTAAATCGGATAATAATTGTGACCTCTAGCGGAACCACAAGCTAACCAGCGGCTGGCAGGCAGGATACGTCCATATTTAGCATGAGATGGATAGAGAACAAGCTAAAAACAAACAGGATTTTTTTGTACAATCAGGGGCAATAATCCAGTGGTCTGAAATGCGCAAATATCAAAAGGGACTGAGATCTTTGGGATATAAAAATATGTTTTAAGTTTCATCAGAATCGGATAAAAATTGTGACCTCTAGATGGTCCACAACCTTGGTATTGCATACTTTTACACAATTTGCGTACAAAGAGCGGCCATTTTGTCGGGCAGTTTCATTTCGATTTTCCCGAAATTCGAATACAACCTTCATTATGGTGGAATGATGAAATATTTAAACGGTTTTTAAAATCGGAAAAAAAATTGTGACCACTAGAGAATCTGCAAGATAAAATTGCGATTTTTCGAACAATCGGGAGCCATAATCCAGGAAGTAACGTTCGGATATACGCGATTATCAAAAGGAATCAAGATTTTAGTGTGTAATGGTGATATATTCACATGTTTTTGTTAAATCGGATAAAAATTGTGACCTCTGCATGAATGGCAAGGTAAAAACGTGATTTTTTGTAAATTCAAGGGCCATAATTCAGGAAGTTACAAAACGAAACGTGAAAATATCAAAAGGAACCAAGATCTTTGGGTTATAAACATGTATTTCAACTCTCATCAAAATCGGATAAAAATTGTGACCTCTAGAGGGTCCACAAGCTTGATATACCAGATGCTATACACTATTTGCGTACGAGGGGCGGCCAATTTGTCCGGCAGTTTTGGCCCGATTTTCACAAAATTCGAACTCAATAAACATTACGGTTTAACAGTGATATATTCGTGCGTTTTTCTTTTAAATCGGATGATAATTGTGACCTCTAGAGGGACAACAAGCTAAAAACATGATTTTTCATACAATCAGGGGCTATAATTCAGGGAGTTACTATCCGATATGCCGAAATATCGAAAGGAACCAAGATCTTTGGGTTGTGACCTCTAGAGGGTAAACAACTTTGATATACCATATGTTTACACTAATTGTGTACGATGGGTGGCTATTTTGTCCGGCAGTTTTGGTCCGATTTTCACGAAATTCGAACTCAACCAAAATTACAGTCTAACAGTGATATATTTTAACGTTTTTTTTTAAATTGGGTAATAATTGTGACATCTAGAGGGACCTCAAGCTAAAAACGTGATTTTTAGTACAATCAGGGGCCATAATTCTGGATGTTATTATCCGATATGCGCGAATATCGACAGGAACCAAGCCCTTTGGGTTATAAACTTACATTTCAAGTTTTATCAAAATCAGAAGAAAATTGTGACCTCTAGAGGGTCCACAACATTGAATATATAATTTTTACGCTAATTGAGTACGAGGGACGGCCATTTTGTCTGTCAGTTTTTGTCCGATTTTTACGAAATTCGAACTCAACCAGTCTTAGGGTGTAACGGTGATATATTCAAACGGTTTTTTAAATCCGATAAAAATTATGACCGCTATAGGGTCCACAAGCTAAAAACGCGATCTTTCGTACAATCAGGGCTCTTAATTCAGGAAGATTTCGTATCATTTTTTTCCTTGGGTGACCTGATAAATTTTACCTACACATTATTTTTATAAAATAAAAGTCTGGTTTTATCAAAACACCACATAATACAGCTTGGGACACCGGTCTCCATTTCCAGATGAAGATTGGCGGGTTTAAGTTGTTTGAATACGTATCACATATATTAAGTTAGTTGCTCGGCAGGTAGTGGATTTTAACACAAAATTAAACAGTTTTATTGTCCAAAATATTATAGTTTGAAAACGTATATTGAGTCAGTTGCTCGGCCTGAAGGACTTTTAAGGGCTTTTAATACAAAATTAAGCAGTTTTATTCTCAAAAACATAATCGAGATTGGCTCTTTAAGTATTTGGAATTTGTCCCTTTTATTTTGGCATTGTTTGTTCACCTCATTAATTCATGTAGTCTGAAACTGACTGAAGTGAGCACTTTATTTTGTAACCGATTTTTTTTCCCTCAAGGTAAAAACATTTCTTAGACCAACATATCCACAACAAAGAGAGAGTGAAAAACATCTTTTCAAACATGACAAGTTGACAAGGTTATTTTGTACTATAGTTTTGTGTGAAGTATGCAATTTAGGTGCACGGATTCATATATTAAGTTGATTGGTTTGAAATTGATAGTTCTATCGTCCGTGATTTGTTGCCGTTGTTTTTTTTTTGTTTTAGTATTTAGTAGTTACATTTTTTGGTTATAATTAAATATATTCTACATTGAATATTGGCCTTTATATGATTGGGATTTCTCTGTACCATTGTATTTTTAATTTGTACTTCTTATTAAATTTTTTACAACTTCACAATGTGGCGCAGCTGTTTTATTACTCATATAAGGGGTTTCAGGTCACGTGACTTTAGCGTGAAATCTGATAATCAGCGGCTGAAATATAGCCCGCCTCAATCTACGATTCTGAATTACTATTTTATTTAAATGTATTACTAGCAATTGTGTTGTAATAGTTTAATATCGATCTCAATATCTGCAAAGATTCAGACTCAAAATTTAATATTTAATATTGGTAGATAATACTAGTGTAGAAACCTATTTGACCGTAAGAAAATTTTAGGGGAAATCCTATCACGGGGAGTCAATGCACACCGTGTCGATGACGGTGAGCTGATTCCTACATCTGCGCATGCGCTAAACGGTAATCCCACATCAGGAACCGTCTCACACTGTCACACCGGCATGTTGTTTGCTATATACACTCTACCTGTAGAAGATATAATTAGATCACATTGAGCTTCGTATATTATACCAATCGCCAAATTCAGAAATTTTCTGAATTGCCAGCTTCGTATATTAATTATTATACAGATCGCCAAATTCAGAAATTTTCTGAATTGTCAGCTTCGTATGTTTTACCGATCGCCAAATTCAGAAATTTTCTGAATTGTGAGCTTATACAGATCGCCATGCAAATTCAGAAATTTTCTGAATTGTTGGCTTCGTATATTATACAGATTGCTAAATTCAGAAATTTTCTGAATTCTGAGCTTCGTATATTATACCGATCGCTAAATTCAGAAAATTTCTGAATTGTAGGCTTAAGCTTCGTATATTACTTTATTACTAATATAAGGCCTATACCGATTGCCAAATTCAGAAATTTTCTGAATTGTGAAACACGTGCATATATATTATACAGATCGGCAAATTCAGAAAATTTCCCTTTTATCAGTACAGATAATTAAATATAGAAATTTTCTGAAGTTATAATTCCCCAGGGAATTAATATGGAGAGAGCATTATCAGTCTGAAACCTGATTCCTAGCAGATTTATCTTCCTTGCGGAATTGTAGTTCACAGTCGCAATGCAAATCATATTAAACAGTCTGGGTGTTCGAGACTAATTTGTTCGTCGGCCTGCCTCTGGACATGACAATCGTAACAAAATTACTCGGCATTTTCCGTACATTCCCGTTTCCAAAATGGACGATTTGTGACAACAGACTGGTGAATATTTTGGAATTAATTAGAACAAGGTTTGAATATAACTTATAAAGCTTATAAAAATATTACGGCATTGGCCATGAAATAGTTTTTTCTTTTGCATCATTACCCACTATTTTATTCGGCGACATTAAAAAGAAAACTGCCAATTTAGTTTCTTTTTTGATGCCAAATATTGAAATAAGCAAATTAAATATATTTCCAGTGGCAGTAGCCTCAGTACTAGGCTAGCCTAGGGTATTCCTAATGTGGATCTGCTACGACAGATCCTGTGGTATCAGGACCAAAAAGACGACTCCAATTTGGATATCCTGAAGACTCCATTTTCGTGGCTTTTTTACTATATTATGGGTATGACTTTAGAAGATAGATAATAGATTATTAGAAGATACATGTACTTTAGATAGGCCTAGCTAGACAACTATTTTTGTTTTAACTTTCCCCTATCTATGCTTTTGAATTTTTTTAATACGGAAACCGTGTCCCACACCTCGTCTCGAGCTAGCACTCGCACAGTTGACCCATGGGTCATACTTAAAGGAGCTAAATCGCTAATATTTTGGACCTAGAAATTGACACAAATTGGTCGCAACGCATACAATAATGTTATATGAATGTATATAAATTGATTTACATTCAAACGTTCTGTTTTTACTGTAATTTTTAATCAGTTAGGTTCGGCGAAATGCGCCAGTATTCTCAATTGAATTTCAATCTCTAGCATCTGGTTATTCCAGTCTACGCCGATATTATTTATTGGGCTTGCTCTCCAGACAAGAATATAGCGTCACCGTTTGACAGGACTTGTGGAATATGCCTAGCCTCGTTTTTCGAGTCCCTTATTACAAATAGCGCTGAAACGCATTATGGTACACGATTGGTGTACCAATTGTAAAATGTTTATTTTGTCTTAAATATTGGATATCAGAAGGCCATCTTTTCCCGGTAAGATTACAACATCAATGTTGATTTAAACCGACAAATAAATTGTGTTTTCAATGTCGAAGATTTTGGGTGATATTGAGTTAGAGATTTAGCTACTTTAAACTACATGTATGAAAGCCGTTGATTGTTATTTGTATTTATAAGACAATATGTAGCTGTTCCACACTAATATGTACTCTAATACCTTTTAAACAAAAAGTGCTATTTTGTGGAGCAAAACAAATTCTACAGTCTTTGCTGTAAAAAACTTTTTTCATTGCAGTAAACCGAAAATACCACCACACACATTATCTTGCCTTTATGTATGCTACCAAACCTATCTTGCACATACATGTACCTTCATTTTGTGGATAATAAAAATTTCCAAACTATAGTAAGATTCAAGACTTAGAAAGGGTTGTCTGAGGCCTAGTGTATTTTAGACTGGATTTCTTTATAGATGAATACCTGTACTCTTCTGGTAATATTTTGGAATTAAAACTTTACCATTGCCTGTCTCTAACTACCGTACCACAAGGATTATAGATGTAATGGGCTGGGGTTTAATGTAATTTAAAGATTAAGTTTTAGTTTTCAATGTGAGGGGGGTGGGGTATAATTTTACCCTGACAATGGCATTTTCACCCACTAGTAATGTAACTAATGCAGATTCTTTCCTATTAGTATTAATCCTATGTATGATTGTGACTTGTGTGTTCTTGACTAGACCTCAAATTATTGTACCATCTCCACAACTAGACACTTCCTTGTTAACCCCAAATTTACTTATAATTCTCAAACTAAAAATTTTAAGTAATAGACTAGTATCGTTAGATGTATCTAATTGTATTATTCACTTTCCAGTTTTTGTATCAATTTTTAAAAAAAACCTCTTAGATTATGATTTCGGTATCAACTTTGTATTTCAGGTGAGTTTGCAATGGTTTGTACACATTTTTGTCTGAAAGGACAATGAGTGTGAATTCGAGAGAGAAGGACAATCTTGTAATTAAAAACATGCATTTTTGTATGTATTTTTTCAGTGCAAGAATCAGAAGTTCCGGTATATATTATCTTTGTTAAACCAGATTAATTCTTGCAAGACCATACATATATAAGGTTTAGCCATGTAAGTCTAAATTTGTATGTCCTGAGAAATTTAAAAAAAAAGATTTGTTAAGGATAGTAGAAATTGATCAGAATATTATATAAATCAAATGATAAGTATATACATGTACCTGTATCACTGTATTTATTGATATGATTCAACAACTGGATGAAAATGATATTTATAAAATCACTTCCAATTTACTGAACCTTTAAAGGAATTATATTTCAGGAATCGAGGATATTCAGGTTCCAATTATGATCGTCATGTGGAGAACACAAACACCTCGACATTCCACAAGATGAAAGAAACATATTGGACAACTAAACAAGCTGTCATAAAAAAACTTGGAAAAAAGGAAGATGAACATGTAGTAGCTTCCGACTCCCAACTTGATGCTAAATTAGAGGTAAGGCAACCAGTAGCAGACAATCTACATTAAAGACATTTTACTATCTTTAATATACTAATATAAATCAGTCATTGCAACAATCAATGGTTTGTTTATTGAAATTCTTCGAATACTAAAACCTAGATCCTTGGTAACCACCTGCATCACTGACAAGGGGGAACCATGCCGGAAAATCATCCAGATTTTCCGGCGTGGTTCCCCCTTGTCAGTGATGCAGGACGGAGGACCTGACAAGAACAGCTGTCTAGTCCTTCGGATGAGACAAAAAAACGAGCTCCCGTGTATACATTGGAATGCACGTAAAAGATCCCTTGGCAGTTGGAATTTGATATAAGAGTAGGCTATAGTGCCGCTGCCCAGGCAAAATGTCCCTCATAGCACACTGTATGGCGTATGCCCGTCTTCATTAGCCCAGCATAGGAGCAGAACAGTAGGAGGTTAAACCCCATTTCATTACTTAATCACTGTGTCGAGTATGCAACTGTATAAAAACGACTGGAATTAACATGGCTTTGCAATTTTGTTTTTGAGGGGGGTTGCATGCCATGTAGCTTAGCATCCCACTGGAACTGAGCATTATGATCCAATTGATCTAAGTGATATCATCTTCAGGATCATATTGATTTTTGTATTTATAAATGTTGACTTGAGTTGATTGAATCAACACTGAAAAATTTGTTTGAATTTATATGTATGATAGTATCGAAGGGTTAAGAGTTGGATCAATGTAGTTTAAATGATTGTACTTTAAACAAAATGAGTTGGGATTTGAGATGTATATTGCAGTTGATATATTTGTTGATTGTTGTATACAGTATCTTAAAGCTTCAGATAGATTTGTATGGATTGAAAATTTTTACTTATTCATAGGTTCTCCATAAACTTTCCTTTGTAATTTGATGTATGAATGTGTGATTTTATTAGACTTGTAATCTTGTTAAAAACTATTATAGGCAATAATATACTGAGCGCCATGGAAAACGCATCACTTTTTTTTCCCAAATATTTTATTACTAGGTGGTTTTGTATGTATAATATTATGCAATACTATGAACTATTGTTTCACACAATGCTCCCAAACGCAAAAAATATCGGCCCGTGTGCAAAAAAAAAATTGCACGAGATGCACATGAAAAACCCAATATTCACATGCAGCATTGTGTGTGAGCCCTTTAAAAGCATGTATTCAACTTAATGTGCAGTACATGAACTGTGAAACGTCAATCTGTCGTAATTTGTTGTTGGACGTGTGAAGGAATCGAGCTAGAGATGCCGAGACTTACTGAAAATCAACGGAATGAAGCCATGGGAATGTCCAGGGCTGGCATGTCTACACGTGCTATTGCCAGACACTTCAATTGTCATCAGTCCACTATTTTAAGGTTGGTGGAACGTGTTTGAGTTACTGGATCAACACGTGACCGTCAACGTCCTGGTCCACAACGCGTTACAACCCAGGCTCAAGACCACTACATCCGGGACACTCATCTGCGTCACAGATTCTGCCCAGCGACTCGAACAAGTGCAGCAGTCGTCGGAAGACAAGGACCAGTAAGTGCCAACACCATAAGACGTCGTCTAAGACAAGTAAGACTCAGTGCACGACGACCTTATGTTGGAGCTATCCTCAGGGATCATCACTGTCAGCGGCGTTTGATATGGGCTCAAGGACACCAGACATGGAGAAGAGTAGACTGGCAAAGTGTGCTCTTCAGTGATGAGAGTCGCTTTCATCTTTATCACGCTGATGGCTGTCAACGTGTGTGGAGACATCTTGGGGAACGTCTTACAGACTGCTGCGTCTTCGAAACGAATCGATGGGGTGGGGGAAGTGTAATGGTGTGGGGAGGCTTCACATTTCATCACCGGACCGCCCTGCACATTTGCAGGGTTGCTGTAGCCTACCGTGATGATGTCTTGCAACCAATTGTTGTTATGATGTTTCGAGCGCACCCACAACTTCAGCACTTCCAACAGGATAATGCACGTCCGCATACCGCCCGTTTTAGTATGGACTACCTGGCTGCTAACAACATCAATGTCTTGGACTGGCCAGCCATGTCTCCGGACATGGCACAGATAGAACATGTCTGGGATGAGATTGGACGCCGTCTGTATCGGAGACCACAGATGCACACCATTGCTGCTTTAGAAGCTGCTCTTGTCCAAGAATGGAACAATTTGCCCCAGGCCTTCTTTCAAACATTGGTAAATTCCATGCGACGTCGCTGCACAGCGTGCGTAAGAGCCCGTGGAGGACACACACGCTACTGACATCTGTGTCGTACTTTTGGTTTTGACCTCCTTACTTTGTACCGTTGATTACAGATTAAACATCCATAAGTTTACAAATGTGTTGTTATTGATGTGTTCCCATTTGAATATTGTTCACAATAAGAAGCAAAATAAATAAGATATGTTTACAGGATCATTTTGTTATACGAAAAACTAAATGATGCGTTTTCCATGGCGCTCAGTTTATTTTGCTTTAAAAAAACAGTAGAACTGGAACAAAGCTGCTTCTCTCACATGTCTTAGTCAACTTGAAACTCCTTCAAACGTTGTTTGGTGGAACTTACGTATAATATATGTATTTGAACTAAGTTTATAAATAGTGACCACAGAGTATCATGGGTTTGATTTTCTAGACTAGTGGTTCTCAACCTTTTTTTGCCAACAGCACACCTTGGAACACATGAAAAAATAGCGGCACACCTGGCTAAATATACAATATTTTGAATTTTGCAAAATAATAACATGGCCAGTCATAGACGGCATACAACTGTAGACACAGACTAGTCTTTCGACACATAGAATAAGTCAAACTAAATAAAGAAAAATACAGCTACGAACTTACCAGGAGACACCAGTGAATACTCAATTGGAATCACATGGTTTTTTGCATTTTCTTAGTGTGCCGTTGAAAATTTCGCGGCACACTTAGGAAGATCTTGTGGCACACCTGAGAATCACTGTTGTAGACATACCTGGATGTAAAATTACGACTGATGGCCTGAAACTAAACGACTGTTGTCCTTTGTTTAAATGAGCCTACGAGGATGTGACTAATTGTCAAGTTAAATATACCTTTTCAAATAAAAAGATGAATTAGTTCTTTACCATGTCATATTTCTATGGTGAAAATATTATTACTGGAAAGTACAAGAATCTTAGAGAGACCAGGCAAAGTAAAAATCTATTTGGAGAAAATTGATGAGATGTTTTGTTTCTAGTCAACCTATGTATGTTTTTTTTTGTATATTTGCATGTAGGTATTTAAAGCCATACAGAAATCTTCCATGGATTTATTACGTGTTATAGAAAGATATCAGGATAGATTATGTGGTAAGTGTTCATTATACCTGAATTTCACAGGAGCAATGTTTGTCCAATAAAAAGGTTTCATCAAATATAACACCAAGTTCTCGTGGGTTTTTTTTTTACACATTTTCTACATGTAATCAATGGTGAAATGTATCTTCAAGAATTTTTCTGATTTTATTATCAACAGTAATATCTATGGAAGAAAATGCCATGGGAAGATTTTTAAAATCCCACAGTAATGCCGATAAAACTAGAGCCGGTAAAATGATGGCCGCTGTGGGTAAATCACAGAGTTTTTCTGCTCAACAAAGGTAATATATCTGGGTTTTTTTTTTTAAAAAATGAGACGCAATAAAATCACTCACGGAAGTGTGAATTTTAGTATGATTGTTGGCTGGATGTTTACCAATCAAAGATAAACAACAACCATATGGAATCTAAAATCAAAAAGAAAAGGACACCATACCATTGTTGTAATCGTCATTGATGGATATGGTGATCTGGCATTCAGTCTGATAGATGTGAAAAGTTCTCATAAATGCATTTAACATATCTCAGAGATTCTATGTTCAAGAAGCATTTATTTTCTTGAAAATTGGACAATCTTGCAATTTTAGAAAATGAAAATAGCAACATTTAAGATTTTTGCAATTTATGAAACTTGGAATAAAATTATAGATTTGGACTTTGTGAAATAGATAATTGTAAAATAAACTGTATAAGAATTTTGAAAAAAAAAAGAAGATTTTTCTGTAAAACTTAGGTTTGTGGTCTAAGGGGAGATAATAGGTAAATACAGGCTTACCTCCCTTGAACCCCCCTGCTCAATAAATTTTTAATACAGCTCAGTCAAATAGACCAATGGACCTTCTCTTTTACTAGTATTTATTTCATGAACAAGTTACATTTTTATCATTTTTCAACAGATTTGTTCATGAGAATTTTATTTTAGCATGCCATGTGCAGTGTATATTATAAAATTAATATTGACAATTTATCATACTTCAGGCTTGCCCTCAGAGTACCTTTAGTACGACTTTACCAAGAAGTAGAAACATTTCGTTACCGTGCAATATCTGATACTTTAGTCACTATAAACAGAATGGAAGGAGCCAGGACAGAATATAGAGGTGCCCTCCTGTGGATGAAAAATGTCTCGGAAGAATTGGACCCAGATACATATAAACAATTAGAAAAATTTAGAACGGTAAAATTTAAATAAAATACATACTTAAGATTATATTTTATGTGAAACATAGATAAATGTATTTGTGTCTGATCAAACTATATTTTATTTTCATGTGTATTTTATATATTATATAAAACTATATTGGAGATAACTTGTGAACATACTGATAGATTATGATTATTACTAACGTTTACTCGATATAGAAGCCATAGTGGCTCAGGGAGTATTGTGCTGGCTGAATAACCAGAGGTCCTGGGTTTGATCTATTTCCTGTTGACAGTGCGGCAGGATGGAATTGGAAGGTCTGGCAAGGAAACAGCGTCTTGTCAATCGCATAGGACAAAAAGAACGAGATCTGCCTTTTTATACGTCCACATTCATAATGTGAACGTATTATGCCGTCGCCCCTGTCTGTGTGTGTGTGTGTGTGTATGTATGTATGTGTGTGTGTGTGTGTGTGTGTGTGTGTGTCTGTGGTTCGCCTACAGGGCGCAATTCTTCATGGATTTTCTTCAAACTTGGTATACTTATTCCTTATACCCCAAGGAAGATCCCTATTGTTTTTGGTGCATGCCCGACCCCCCGGGGCAGAGCCACGCCCATTTCTAGTATTTGTTTGTTTGTCGTCTACAGGCCACATTTCTTAACTAATAATCTTGAAACTTTGCATACACATTCTTTGTACCCTAAGGAACATCCCTATCGTTTGGGGTGCATGCCCAACCCCCAGGGGCAGAGCCACGCCCATTTTCTTTTCGTGTGTCTTTGTGTCGCCTACAGGGCGCAATTCTTACTGGATTTTCTTCAAACTTGGTATACTTATTCCTTATACCCCAAGGAAGATCCCTATTGTTTTTGGTGCATGCCCGACCCCCAGGGGCAGAGCCACGCCCATTTCTAGTTATTCTTTAAGTGGCATTTAGCGATCAGGGAACAAATTAACAGAACACAGTTTTTATGGGATACAATCACTAGTTTATTCTAAAAGCACGACGTTTCCACAAGTATTCTCTTATCGTTATCAATCAAGCAAAAAAAAACAAAAAAAAAACGTCATGCTTTTAGAATAAAGACATCGATTGTTTTAAAATAAAAATTGTGTTCTGTTAATGTGAACGAAATGTTATACTGATAGCAGTCCTACAACCCAGTTTTATTTCACAGACCCTCAATGCAAACTGGACCATATCAAACAAAACAGGAATGTGGACGTATATTGCTGCGTTAGCGATGCTCTTGTTACTCTTTGGTGTGCATGTAAAAAAATCTCACGACAGTTGGAATTCTGTGAATAGTATGCGAAAATGTGGCTATCCCGGAAATGTAAAACCCCATGTCATTTCGTTTTATTTGATGTAGGTTACAGATAAAATGTATTGTTATATATTGTAAATAATTAATGACTATTGTAAAGTGTTTTGTTATATTTTGTAAATTACTCATGATTATTTTGTAATTTTGTAAATTATAAATGAACTATATTGTTATATATTGTAAATCCTAAATAAACTGTTTTAACATTTATTTTACAGGTACAGACACAAGTGCGTAAAACTAAAAGTAAATTTGATAAATTGAAATTGGACGTAATGCAGAAAGTTGATTTATTAGCGGCTAGTCGATGTAATATGTTTTCACATGTATTAGCTAATTATCAAACAACATTATTACATTTCTGGGAGAAAACTTCACGTACTATGTCAGCTGTTGCTGAAAGTTTTAAAGGTTATCAGTATTACGAATTCAACATGTTGAAGGTAAGCATATTTTCTTCTCTATATCATTTATACCTAGTGGGGTTGGATGGCCGAATGGTTAGCACATGGGCGCTGTATCATAAGGTCTGTCATTGAGTCAACTGGCGTGGTTTCGATTCCCCGGTTGTATATGACAAGGAGTAGGGTCGTCTGTCCAACCTCGTGGGTATTCTCTGTGTTCTCTGGTTTCCTCCCACTGCTGAAGACCCCTACCCGCAAGCCAATTATTGAAATAGAATTGAACCATGTCTTAGTCCCGAAATGATCTAGTTTGTGTCGAGTGGGCATTAATATTTCAATATTTCAACCTTTAATAATCGTTGTGCCGTTTGCTAATTTGAATAATTTTGTTTTTCTATGGACGCCCATAGGATCACATCTCAAAAAACATGTCTTTATGAAACTTTATGTGATTTTGTTTTCATTCATTCAAACATCTAGAAATGAACATGTAACTTTCTTGAGCAAAATGGTGGTGCTGATAGTTTGTAATTGATTATTGTTGTTGATAACTAATAACACAGAGCTTGTCTTTCCCTGTAACTTCCAACACATGTCCGGAATGGTGATGTGGAGTTTATTTTGTTAATATATTTGTGATAATATATAATTGTTTTAATCACTAGGTTATTTTATTTTACCTCCAGGAACTAGCGGAACCATGTCGAGAATTATCAGAAAAAACATCACAAAGACAAATTGCTGAGAAAGACACAGATGATCAGGATAGAGAAAAGTAAGTTTAATCTCATCTTACTCTAGGTGATAAAAAAAAATATATCTGGTTATCAGATAATCCTACGTCACTTTAAAAGTGCCTCATGACCTGTTTTGTTTTCAAAAAGTAAAAAATACAATCAGTCTAATAAATTACCGCTCGTATACCTCGGCTACAGGAAGTAAATCTATATTATAAACATATTTGAATGAATTCAGAAATGTGGCGTAGGCTCATTTATCAAGTAAGCAACACAGATAAATGTTGCTGACTATCATAGATGATACTGTATAATCATAAATAATATGATCCGATAAAAGTAGTGCCTTGAAATGTAAGGTTTATGAGAAGTCATTTAACCCAGTAGTGATCCTTTGACAAAATAAAAGCGTCCCTCCGGCATAAGATTTTTGGGAAGAATTGTCTGAGAACCAGAATATTTTTTTTTTTGTATGGCCTTATAGTTTCTATTTTCTATAAGCTCATACTTTATAGTTAAATGTTGTATTTATATGTATTTATGTATGTATAAATGTTGTTCAGATGTATATGTATAAATGTTGAATTTAAGTGTTGTGCCACCCAACTCACCCTCCTATCCAGCTATAATAGTAGAAAAACGGTCAAATTAAACTGGTAGATAACAAAGTTAAGGCTTGAGTAACTTGAAAAAAATAAATATTGGTGGTGTGGTCCAACTAATTTTAATCAGCCAGTCGGTAAACTGGGATAGTCTAAACTAAGATTATAATATTGTCTATAGTAGAACCTGAAACAAATTTTTTTTGAGGCTGTAAGAAAAATTTAAAGAAGTATTTAATAAACAAGTCTTACAACTAGCACCTTTAGTTAGATGTGCAAATAACCAATTTACCATATATAAGTAAGAAGTCACATGCCTTCAAAGATGCATTATGTAAGATTTTGATAAAGAGCTGACAGATCTCGCTACCGTAAAATAGTTTTAAAATACATAATGAAATACGAATATTTTGAAAATTTCAGTCTGAGTGAAGTTATGGTCGCTTGGGGAAAAGCGGAGTCTCAAATGTCATTGCTACCATTGCTACGATAGTAAACAAAGTCTAGTAGAATTCTTTTTAGAAAAATTGTCATAAAAGTGAATTTGCTGTTTTTGATTGCTGTGGAGTCTTATTTTCAATTATTTTTTTTCTAAAAATGAATGTTACATGGGTATACCAACTTCCCTTCTAAATATCTTGACCGTTTTAGAAATAAATGCGTAACAATGTTGTATTTTATGTATAAATGTTGTATTTTATATAAATGTTGTATTTTATGTATTATATTTATGTACTTATTGAAGTAGTGGAAGTTATGAGTCAGAAGAAGAGGAAGATAACTCTGATACGCAACCTGTAAAACTAACATCAAACTGTCAGGAAATAGACAGGTACTAGTTAAAACTGGTTAAACTGGTGAATGGGCAACCTTTCTATAATCTTCTTCTTTCACTTCTAAATATACGAGTTGAGTTCAAAATACTCCTTACATACAAATCCTTAAATATGTCTCTGAGCTCCTTGAAGATATAGGTTCTCTAAAAAGAAATCTCAGATCTCCAGCATACCCGTGTTTGCTAGTAGCAGTTCTGTAAGGTTATATTCATTTGGTAATTGTGTAATTTATGTACAAGCCACTCTCTACTGCTAAAAACGGTCTCAAAATACTAAAACCTGCTCATGGTTTAGGAATCATGAGAAAAGTTCTGGCTTTTCTTCAGTAATACATATATATCGGTCATTGTATTAGTAAATGTTGATTTATTTTGATTTCATGTGTTTAATAATATTGTTTTTATACTGGGTTTAGTTTTAAAGTTATATGCTGTCTTTTCTTGCCATTTTAAATTATATATAAAAAATATTTTATATATGCTAATTTTAGATTATAGTTCAAAATGAAAAACTATCTTGTCTTTTTTAAGTGACATGGTTTAAATTATATCAACATTTATCAGTCGCTTGTTTAATGAAAGAAAACAAAAATGGCTAATTTCTGATGTTATAACCATAATAAAAAATCAACTTGTTATTTGCTATATTTTAACTTTAATTTCATTATTTTCTTTATTTTAGATTATTGTCATTGGATGATGAAAATACAACAAACGATAGTAAAACTAGTGATCAGTCAACACCAAGTCTTCTACAGTTAGCTAATCAACAAACACATAGTAATAGTAAGTATATCTACAGTATTCTACAGTTAGCTCATCAATAAACACATAGTAATTCATCAACAAACACATAGTAATAGTAATTCATCAACAAACACATAGTAATAGTAATTCATCAACAAACACATAGTAATAGTAAGTAATACTACAGTCTTCTGTATACTTGTAGTTGGATGAACTGCTCATCTAGGTACTGTCAAGCAACACCAAGATAGATTTGCATCTTTTAGCTCTATATGATTGCTAGTGTTGATATGTTCCTGAAACATAGGATATCGATCATCACTTCAACTTTTCTTTTAGTCTAAGTTATTGAAGTCAGTTCATAGTTGTTTTATTTTCTTGTTTCAGGTGATGATAAAAAAGATTTAGATGATGATTTTGGTCCATTTATAGATTTTGGAGATGAAGATAAAACAATAGAGGATATAGAAAAAGAAATTGAAAATTTTGATTTTAGTGGAAAAACTATTTTAAGTTCGAAGAGTAAAGAGAAAAAATCAGATGGTAATTTAAATTTGGTTATACCAGAATAAAAACTAATATATAAACACTAACTCTTGATGACAGGACTGTACATCATTCATATTACACTGTAATAGTGGTTTACCTACAGTTCCGTGCACCGCACGTCAAGAACTCGCCATAACAGACCGTTTCATTGGTTAATTGCTCACATCAGCAAGAACGCAGGTTATATAATAACCCTTCCAGATCCTAGTGTAGTAAAGACAAAACAAAACGAAATAGGATCAATGTTTTAATCTGATTGTTATTACACAAACTGTTGCTCTACTATACTTATTAGACTACTTTATGAATTTTAACGTAATTTGGCAAGAATGTTGTATGGCACTCATACAGATCGGCTCCCAATTAATATTGGTCAGCTGCAGGTTGGGAATCTTAAAGGAACAACTTCAGACAGGAAGAAAATTGAACTTACATGGACAATAACTTTTGCACCTTTATTTCAAATTAATATTTGTTTAATTTTGTCACATTTGTATATAATAATTTAAGATTGAAATATTTGTACAGGTCCTAAAGATTTATTGGTAGATGATATTGAAGAAGATAATACAGATAAAGATGATATGACCTTATTAAATGAGATAATGAATGCTCCCTCAACAGGAGGAGATGAATTTACACAGGAATGGCAGGCCGTATTTGGTGTTAATCAGTTATCTACATCAACGGGTAGTGTTTTAACAGCTGAATCAGATCAACCTAAAACACCAGCTGAATTCATGCCTTCTAGTTTACTTGATATGTCATCATTAATGACTGAACAAGGTAAAATAACATATCAATAATCATAATCACAGATTGTATTTGTTCTTAAGATAACAGCACTTTACGTAGTGTTTGGATTGGACAGTAGAATGATGGACTATTAGAGACATTATAATCTTTGAAAAATTAAACTGGTGACAATCTTTATTATTGGCTTTGATGACAGAAACTGTTTTTGTTTCATTGTCTGGTAACCTATCTTTTCCTATTTATCAGCCTAAATAGAAATTATAAAAGCATAGTTTAGGAAAAAATAGAGTGACAATTGATAAATTTGTGGAACTTCAATGATCCGACAAGAACATCCTTTAGGATCACATAAAATGTATTGTTTGCTCTCATTGTATATTGTCCATCTTAACGCCATAACTAGTGAAGTGGAATGTTATGAAAGATATTCTGGTTTCTATTTTGGCCGACCAGTATGATAGGAAGCATCACATGCTCATATACAAGAGGGGCTGAATGGTTAGCGTGTGTGCATTGCATCATAAGGTCTGTGATTGAGTCAAGTGGCGTGGTTTCAATTCTCCACTTGTACGTGACAAGGATTAGGGTCGCCTATCCAACCTCGTAGGTTTCCTCCAGGTCCCCTGGTTTCTTCCTACTGTTAAAGACCCCTATGCGCCCGAAAATTATTGAAATAAAATCGAACCATGTTAGTCTCGAAATGACCTAGTTTTTGTCGAGTGGATGTTAAACCCCATTTCTCTCTCTCTAATGATTCCTTCTTAGGGAGCTATGGTAGCTTGATGAGTAAAGCACTGGCTTTCTAATTAGGAGTTCTATGATACACGTTGGCCCAGGATGTTCCTCTGGATTTGTCATCATGGCTTCCCGTTGTCAGAGGAACAGGACAGAGAGGCAGGCAAGGAATAGCATCTAGTTGTTAGGATGGGACAAAAAAAAACAAAGTCCTATATGACGATGACATGTATATAAAAGAAACCTTGATAGTTGGTATTCTATGAAGTGTAGACCCTTGTCTACAATATCACCCTTGGTGGAAGTGGACGTAAAACTCCAGGAACGAATAAACTGTAGACAGAAACTCTGCTGTCCATGCTTTATGCCATCTATCTACAATTAGCTCCATTTGAGAACAGACATAAAACTAATTGACCAACATTAATTGACGATTTTAGTTGAAAACACAAAGTATACTTTGCATTTTTTGAGAAGTGTTTATTCTGCTTCCATTTAATAAAATCTCAAATGTTTATTTAGTCTGTGTGTGTATGAAATATGTAAAACGGATTAGAACCACATTACAAAATAGTATACTAATTTTGAAAATGACGGTCATTATGGACAGAGTTCTATTCTCAAAGTAGATAGTCCTCTGTGTGCAGAATGTGCATATGTCTGACTTCATTGGTGGAAAAAAGAAGGACTTTAATCCCCATTTCATATTATTTCATTTATGTATTTTAGCTTCCAATCCTGTCAATGGTAATGGAACTGATTTATTAGGAGCTATAGGAGGAAATCAGAAAATGTTGCCACCATCATCCGGTCAGCCAGCGCAGATCAAATCAAAATCACAACCACAATCTAAAAAGGTTAGTTATGCATGGCTCTTTTTGGACAAACATTTATACAACTATTGCAAATTATTATTTATACAACATGTGTATATGTTCTTCATATTTCTACGTGCTTGGTGTTTAACTCAACTATGGTTAACATGCTTGTCACATATTATATTGGCATCGTCTTATAATATGTCATTGGTGGTAGAGCTATGAAATGGGGGTTTACTGTACTACTGTTCTGCACCGAGTGTGATAATAAAGACAGACATGTGCCATACAGTGTGCCATGTGCTCAGACTGTGGCCTACTCTTATATCGAATTCCAACTGTCAAGGGTCCTTTTTAAGTGCACGCCAATGTGGACACAGGACCTCTGTCCTGCATCACTGACAAGGGGGACCACACCGAAAAATCCTGATGAACTTTCTTGGCCAACTCAAGGATCGAACAACCAGTGTTTATCTTTAATATAATGAGATTAACATGACATGTGTTTATCTTTAATATAATGAGATTAACATGACAGAGATTAACATGACATGTGTTTATCAGATAAACGTCTCGTTAAATCTATATTTGGACTTATTTACAATTTAGATCTGAGAATTCTTCTCTTTTATTGATATCTGGTAATGTTTTAAGAGATTTGAATCAATTTTAATTTTTGTTTGCAGAGTCAAAAGTCTGACATGTCTGCATGGTTTAATCTGTTTGCTGACTTGGATCCATTATCAAATCCTGATGCTATTGGTAGAAAACCCAATGAAATAACAGAGATGTGATATACTATATATTATAATGATTGTGATTTAGTTGTATTTATGGTGTACTTGTTTACCACTGTCAGTCAAATAACATTTTTAAAAAGTATTAATGCTAGGTTCCCACTATCACGATTCGGGCTATGCATGAAATAGTGGTTTTAATCATGGAGTAATCGTGGTGATCCTATCAAGTCTTATCATATATTGAGGTCAGTCGTAGCAATGGTATTGAATGTATCCGAATGTATCTGCACGTACCAGATCGTGAACTCAATAGGGACAAATACTATCGTAACGCATCGCACGACAGTGGGAACCTAGCATAAGTTTTTTTCTCTGCCCATCATGGGTAATATTGGTCTGTAATTGCTTGCAAACACAATGTAAGTGTAAATTTTTCCCAAATGGAATATGTGACTTTATATTCATAAGTATAGCGCGGTTGATGCAAACGTGTCCCTAAACTTATTTTCACTTAATCTGTTAGATGAGTTTGAATTTAAAAAATCCATTTTAGTACCATTCGTGAAAATATTGCCCTTGGACTTACAAAATAAAATTGTTTTTAAGTAATTTCAAAATTTGTTTTAAAGTTTACATTTTTCATTCAGTTTTGATGAAAATTGGTGTGTGATCTGATATCCATGAGATTTGGGTTAAGTTTGAATCATTAGCATCGTTAGTTATTCCCATAGACTGTTTTAAGTCCATGCAATGTTAGGTCAGTTATAGCTGTGTACATATGGGAACTGAATGATATTCTAAAGTTAATGTGGGTGTATATGCGATGGTGTCATGTCATAATTCATTTCTTAACCTGTTAACTGCGTAGGGCGTTATATAACGTCCTGGACAACTGCCACTCACCGTGTGTAGGACGTAATATAACGTCCTGGAGGTATTTCCCCCAACCTATTCTTCGAAGGGAGACAACTCTATTTACCGTTAGTTTTAATTTGGTTTCAGACTACCAAATTTTGTATTCAGGAATGAAAAGGTCCAAAATGACGTTTTTCGTCAAATTAATTACGCAATAGGGGGTAGTTAACGTTTTAAAAACTACGCAGTTAAGGGGTTAATATCATCAATATATTGAGTTAATGTAGTTTATGTATTCTGTACATGAAATGGTGAATGAGACAAGGAGAAAGAACTAGGAACGTGCAATAACACCATTGATAATGGTTGACAATTATATGATGTATATAATACTATTTAATCCTCGAATATTTTATTGTTGATATATTAATGGATTTGGTTATTATTTTTGCTATAGATATGTTAAAATCTGTGACATAGGTTTTTTTCAAAATCTTTGTGAATTATTGTATTATTTATATCTTTATGTATGACAGAAGTATTTATCATTTAGCTTTTTGTTAATAAATGGAAAAGTTTGAATTTTGCATTTCTCATCTTTTTTTGCTCAACTTACGTTAATATTAATATTTTTTTTGTTTTTTGTTTATTATTAATTTTGTTTGTTTATCAGGTATGTTCTAAACATACAATGTAAACATCTGATGACTCTGTTAAAGATGCAGTATGTATGAGCTAAATCTACCTATTGCAGGTCTTTTTTCTGGCTTCGAATTTTATATGAATTATTATTTAGACATTTATTCACATGCCAAGTCTAGAATCCACTCTCTAGATCTTCGGGTTGCTGAAATTTAAATGGATTTGAACACCTGGGAGATTTAAAAAACTGAACAATAAAATGGATAATCAAGACTTAGTCCTGGTTTTCAAAGGCAGTTGCTATGTTAATAAGCGATCTACGTTGCAACTTCAGTCATAACTTCGTCCAGAGTAATGTAATTTGAATGAGATTTTCAATATATTCATTTTGCATTATCAATTTTTGAACTATTACAGCAAGAAAGAACGTTGACCTCTTTATCTAAATATTACATAATGCATCTTTAAATTAAAGATCTCTTTTAGTATTTCATACATAATAAATGTAACGGATATATCTGTATGTTTGGGTAGAGAGGAAGATATGGACGGGGGTTCATACAATATAATTAAAATTATACAATAATTTTGTTACATTTTGTTTTCAGTTGTTTATCAGAATAAATGGAATGAATCTGACACATAATTAGATTGGGAATTGTTTATTATTAATTCATACATTCTCTTAGTGTTTCTTGTGTTAAAGATGTGTTTCTTCCAGAAAAATTGGGTTCTGTATTCCAACTCAAAACTTTTTATTTAATGCAATTTAATGGAGGAATTTAGTTAGATTGGTATTCTATCAACCCCTTTATAACCAGCATTTGAATACTGTGAGCTATGATATTATCATTTATATTTCTGGACTACTAATGACTTCATAGCTTAGTAATATATTCTTCATAATAACAGAATTATTGTCCCATTTGTCAAAGGCATATGTCTGTAATTGTGATGTTTTATTCTTTCTGTGATATTTTCTTTACATTTCTCATTGATTATTTTGTGTTTTTTTCTTTTGTAGTTTTTTTTTTAATATGACTTTATTCATTTCATTCTTTAACATTGTAGTATCTTATCAATTTTACTGAAACATAATGTTACATTCCAATAATCCTTGTATTTATTGATATAATATAAAGTCCTACAACTGTCAGGACATTTTAATGCTACTTCTTGCTTCCTGATTGAAATATTAAAATTCAAACAATTCTACCAAGTTTTAAAACATTCCATCCTTAACTATCTCCAACATCAACTTCTCCCTGTTTTTCTTGATTGGGTGGCCGAATTGTTTAACTCTTGCGCTTTAGATCATAAGGTCTGTCATTGGGTCTAGTGGCAAGGTTTCAATTCCCTGCATGTATGTGACAAGGAGTAGGGCCATGTGTCCAACCATGAATGTTTTTTTTGTGTCCACAAACTGCTAAAGACCCCAATGCGCAAGCAAATTATTGAAATAAAATTGGAAAATAGTTTGTGTCAAGTTTCTGTTAAAGACCCCAATGCGCAAACAAATTATTGAAATAAAATTAAAAAATAGTTTGTGTCAAGTTTCTGTTAAACCCCATTTTTCTCTCATGACCTATTGAGACTAGTAAAACTTGTGGACAAGAAGGTAACTCAGCAACATGAAATAAAAACATTCACAATTACAGTAAGGCTCTACCTAATGATTTCCATGGATTAACATTCCAAAAATCTAAAACATTCCTCCATCAAGAACAATAATGCTACACAAGTTGCATTTCAAAAGTTTTTATTTTTTGATCAAGGTCTTCATAATGAACAAATCCAATCATAGAAAGATTAAGAACTCTGTAATTAGTGTTCACAAGCTTTATTTGTGTACATTAAAATGTGAAGTTAACTCTGTAATTCGTCATTAGCTTTATATTGTTCATTTATTACTGAATCCTACATATATTATTACAAACATACCAGAATGTTTTTTGTTTATTTCATTGTATTTCATAACTTTTAAAAGATTAGGAACTCCAACTATAAGTTACATTAGAATTCTGTCAGGATTGTTTATTGTATTGTGTTATTTGCCATATGAATATAATAGTCTGTTTTTATACATCTACATGTCTTTTCAAATTTTGTGTGAAGCATTGTGGTCATGAGAGGACAAACCCTTTCCAGAGTCAACTATAGTTTTTATTGTTCCAAATTTTCCAATTTATTATCCAACCTCGTTGGTTTTCTCTGGGTCCTCCCACTGCTAAAGACCCCTACGCGCAAGCGAATTATTGAAATAAAATAGAACCATGTGTAAGTCCCGAAATGACCTAGATGTGTCGAGTGGACGTTAAACCCCATTTCTCTCTCTCTCCAATTTATTGGACATATTCATTCTCACACAATAACAACTAAAATGGTGTAATTATGGTTGATAAACAGACACGAAGGCAACATGCTAAACTAGGTTGACATGTGCATAGGTAAGGTCTTTAGACAATTTTACTTTATTCTCAACTCTTCATTAGCCCAGTCGGTGCAAAAAAGTAGGACGTTAAACCCCATTTCATTTCGTTTCTTGTCATTTTCCAGCTTGTTTTCCACTTATCAATGGTGCAGGTTGGAGGGGCTGTCAAGAAATAAACATTTTATTAGCCCTAAGGCTTTATGTCACTTTACAGCTTGTTCTTCCTTTATCAATGGTGGAGGTCGTATGGACTGTCATGAAATAAATGTCTAATCATTTGGATGGGACAAAAAAAAACTGATGTCACTGGTGTACTCGGTGTGAAGTTGTGAACCCTTTGACAGAATTTATGATGAAGAATCAATCTGATTAAAATACAGATCTATATTTCGTGTTGTTTTTTTATACTTTCGATGGCCTACACTACATGAAGATCTGACCAGTTTTACTGAAAGGTCGCGTCGGGGGTCGTACGAGCGGCTTTTGACCCTATGACGTCAGACATTGATTAATCAATCAGCGTTGATGTTTCTAGTGGGTTACCCACAGTTCCGTGCATAGCATGCCAAGAAGTCGCCGTAACAGATGGTTTCATTGGCTAATACCTCACGCTATCCAGAATGCATGTTATATAACATCTCTTCCAGATCCTAGTGTGGTACAGACAAAAAAAAATAATTTTAAACTCTAAAAAAACAAAACGAAATAGGATCTGTGTTTTAGTCAGATTGGATGAAGAATATGTCCAGGCAAAATTGGAGGGGGTGAGGAGTGGTCTTGTGCATGTGCTTAGCCCATAGGTCTGTCATTGAGTCACGTGGTGTGGTTTTGATCCCAAGCTTGTACGTGACAAGGGGTAGGGTCACCTGTCCTCCCATTGAAATAAAATTGTACCATGTTAGTCCTGAAATGACAATTTGTGTTGAGTGAACATTAAACCCCATTTAGCTCTCGGAGAATGGGGAAAATCGATAGGCTCATCTTCATGTGTGAGGGTCAACAAGCTACGTAGGGGATTTTTATATGCCCACATAAAAATGTGGTCGTATATTGCCGTCCATCGTCAACAATTTCTTGTAAACACTCTACAGACTACATTTATAACCTGATCTGTATTAAATTAAAAGGCACTTAATTTTTATATAGAGCCTTGTGAACCTTCAAATGACAAAAGTTATAATCTAATCTGTATGAAATTGTCTTGTACGTAAATGCCTCAGATTATAATTTTCGTCGTTTGAGGGTTCAAAAGGTTCTACAAAATTAAACAAGGGTCTTAACTCTGGAAGTAATTTACAGAAATTGTTGAAATTCGACAGGCTTTTTCATTTTCCTAATTTAAATAATCCTTATAAATTTTATACAGATCGATGATGACTTTTATGATTCGAACGTTCACAAAGTTCAACAAAGTAAAACAAGGGCCTTTATGGACCAGGGCTACGGCAATATACAACCACATTTCCATGTAGGTGTATAAAAATTAAGTGGTCGATGAATTTTGCTACATACAAAAAGAATTTATGAAATAATACAAAAAGAATTTATGAAATAATCGATAATTTATTTATAATAAATCATGTAGTTTGAATGACATGAATAATAATATAGATGACAATATACATAGTCAACAACAGGCATGACATTTATATTTCATGAACTAAAACATCAGCTTGAATAAATAACAAAAGTACTCAACAATGTCACTGATAAACTTGACACTATATGCAAATATTTAACATTATTAAGTTCTGGACAGCTCGGGGGTCTAGGGTCATAAAAAGATTTTACACATCTCATGAATTACTCAAAATTGCAACTCCCCCCCCCCCCACCATGCCTAAAATACAATACAATAGTTTCAATCCATTTGGGGCCAGTGTTGAAGGAAAGATTAATACTATGGTACCTTAACTTTGAAATCTTAAACTGATTTCCAGTACTCTAAATATTGATATGAATTTATAGATAATTCTACTGTCATTTAATCACTCAATTTTCAATCATAGTAAGGAACAACACCTATATTTGCATGACATTTCATTAAATTTCAAAACAAGACGTAAAAACAAAGCAAAATACAATAATAATAGTTATTTGAGTGAGTGAATTTGAGTAAAATCTGAGTTACGCAAAAAATATACTTATGGTCCTGGGTCCAGATAAAATATAGGGAAATACATCATGAGCAAAGAAATAAGCTACATCATCGATATTTATTGATAACATAAGATGCTGTAATAATTTAGCAAGGTCCAATAAAACAGGCTTATCAAAACACATTTACTGTAACATAAATCTATCCAACAACATGATTCGGAAAAATTTAAGAATATGTATGTCATACTTCAAAATATCTGCAAATAGCATACCATTGGCCTAAAGCATCTAATTAAGAGATTATTTACAAGTTTCATGTTCAGCATATATTCAATAGACTTCTAGTCTTTTACTGTAGTGTTTTCAACTAAATCAAAATCATCATTAACATGTGAATTAATTAGGACTAATTACATAGATGATACAAACCCATGATACAGTGATTTAAACGAAACTAACACATCTACTCTGAATTCATATTTATTATTAACCAAAATATCCAATAAAATCAAAAAGATTGATATTTAATACAGTATTTTACTAGGAACAGATTCGTGGTAATACAAGAATATTCAACGGTTAATTATTAATTGTGTATAGCAAAAAATATGATAAGAATATGAAACACATTGCAATAATATACAGATATACATGTATATAGTATTATATATATGTACATACTTGCAATTGTTTTGTATAACACCATCATTATACTTATTTAGGCCCGTAAGTTTTTAAGAAAAAATATAATATAATTTTGCATCTATTCATATCTACATATAATTACCAGGCAAATAAAATGTGCATTATTATTAGTTATAACTGGATTAACATATATACAGGTGCAACCAGGTGTGTCTAAACTGCACTTGTGTTATAAATTATAGATTATACATACTAGATTATATACACACCCACATCTTATTCCTAATCTGTCTTTTACACCAGAAAATATAATAATGTTTACTATTATACTCTCTGATACCATAAAATATAACAATGCTAGCTATATTTTTGGGTAGAATACAAGAAAGAAGTCTGCTTTACTCTCGGATCTGATAATCACTCTTCTTAATGCAACAAAGCAGACAAGTAAACTCACTGTAATAGATATCTTATTTACACTATATAATTAATAGAAAAATACTCTTTAATATTTATGTATCAAACAGTCAATTCTGACGTAAATCTTTCATAATAACTCCTCTCAAAGAGCAAACACAATATGATTTCAATTGTATATGTACCCCCATCTCCAAAGAATTCCTTCAAAAAATGTTTTAACAGGGTTATAACAGCATTTTTTAACTTAGAACTCTCTCAACAGTAGTCTACAGTATTCAAACATGTATCTTAGATTGCAGATAGAATGTTGAGGAACCAATGCTTTTTCTTCAAAACAGAAAATAGTATTATGTTTGCTCTTGAAAAAGATTTTCTAAATTATATGGCTTTAGATGTGAATTTGACAGTGAAGTGTAATGCATGTACAGATGTATTTGGTAACAATAATAACAATAACAATCTTTGAATAGTTAGAGTATCTTTCTTTAAAATAATTAAATTATTATCACTTAAAAATAGTTGATACTAAAGGTAGAACATTTTCAAATTTCATGTCTTTTCTGATAATAAAACTCCATTCATACGTTTGAACCATGATTAAAATAATAATATTACGACGGCTTGTAAAGGACCTATAGAAATTGTTCATGTATCTTACTAACCATTTCTTACATCAGTATAATTTACTTTATAAGTTTTAAAATTATCTGAATTGAGAAAGAAGTATATAAAACAGAATAACAGGTATAATCTAATATATCATGATGCATGGTATTTATTATATATACAAAACAAATTGTCCTTCTATATTACATACAATATGTACATTTGTTTACAATCAGCCTTTATAACAAAATCTAGTCAATAACAATGAAATGATATATATAACAAAGATGAATTTATTGTTTATCTATAATATAGTATACGTATACATACATATATAATAATATGGATTAAGAATGTATGCACTCAGCACTGGGATGATTTCAATATAATCCTAATTTGGTTAACACATATTATTTATAACTTGTCATGTTATTTATATTATCTGGCACAGTAAATATATACTATTAATTTGATTAACAATAACAAATGAATTTCTTGATATCATACATATATTATTTAAATAGTGCATCTATTTTAAAATAAAGAAATGATGGTAAGTATGCATATAAACGTCTTTGCATATTACCATACTGATTACTTAATTAGTTTCAAACATCTGATCAGTAATCAACTAGTCGAAAATACATAAATATACTAAATGTATTTTGTTCAGCCATGTACAAGATATCCAATATTGATCTATCATACCAGATCGATAGAGACAATCCTTGTTTTGTTTATTACCTATATCACAGAGTTTCTATGTAATATTAATATGTATATATTTACTTAAGTAGATCATCATGGCCGTGATCTAATGGTGGTGGGGCATCAGGTAATGTACTTCTTGTCCCTGCTGTTAAGTAACCAGCAACACTCGGTCCGGTTGGTCCTGTAAGTAAAAAAAAAATTAAGAATTTAGATTTTAATATTCTGTGATCACATTTAAATGAGGTCTTTACTATAATTTTTTTTCTCTGTAATTCTACTTTTGTCTACCCAACAAAATCTAACATGGCTACAGAATGTGTCCAGAATGATTGATTGATTGGAGAGGTTTATATATTTACAGCCTATAACACAATATCATAATAATTACAGGTAATTGTCTGATGTAATAATAATAAGGGTTCTTATACAATATTGTATGCTCAAAAATCTAGACAAAAAAGTTCCAGGTTTTCTGTTATTGTTTGTGCATACGACATAGATCCAATGGTAGAGACTTCCATACATATGTTAAGATATAAACAAATGATTTGCAACCAACAATCCTAAGGTTCTACTGAGAGTAGTTAATAAAATCTTGGAACTGAACCAAATGGATCTAGCTGAGCATAATAATGCAATGAAATGGGGTTGAAAGTCCTACTTTTCTGCACTGACTGGGCTAATGAAGACAGGTGCTATGAGGGAAATTTTGCCCGGACAGTGGCACTACGGCCTACAATTTCAACTGTCAAGTGTTCCTTTATTTGCAAGCCAATGTGTACACAGGACCTCAGTTTTTGTCCCATCCGTAGGAGTAGACACTATCCTTGCCAGGCCCTCAGTCATGCACCAATGACTAGGGGAAACAGTGCCACAATATTTATGAATAATTAATATTACATTAATAATCTTGTGCTGTGCCATGTTTGCACTAATAAGTTCGGTTAAAACTTTAAAATTGATTGGTTGTCAAACATGAAGACAGTGAAGTAAGAGGACAGTAATTTTGGGAGATATTGATGATTCAAACAACTTTATTCTGAAGGGAATTCTATTATATATGCAATGAAGGTAATCATTGATAGCACACTAAGATACACATTTCTCACACACATAATTTGATGACTAGCAAATTATAATAAACTATATAGGAAGTATTAAACAATAATATCTCCTAACATCAGTCTGTAGAATATTCACACACTAAAAAAACAAACGAGTCTGTGCCAAAATGATAGTCATTTTTTTTATCCAGATGACAATCTAACAATAGTGGCAATATATTATCTGAGATCATTGCAGTTTATTTCTGAACAACTTATATTCTGAGTTAGACTTTGGCTATATCCTCAAATCCTGACATTGGATATGTATATTTAAAACCATATGTATCGATTAATCTAACAAAATAAAACTCATTCTAAAAACTAGACTTTTAAAATTAAATGAAATGTCTATTGCATGTATGGATTCAGTAAGTGGACAGAGGTCCACCATAAAAGATATATTTTACTTGCAAATTTTTGAAAATGAACTTTATTGTAATCCTCCAATCAATTTAAAAGTGCAAGAATAAAATATATAAAAAATGAACACCCAATAATATTAAATATATAAATGTAGCAGAATGTATTTTATTTTCCAGTATAATGATGATCATTGTTAATTTGATCTCCATCAGTTACTGAGATCAGGGCCTGAGTTTACAAAGCATTCTCAGATCTAAGTTAAGAACTGACTCAACATTCAATCACTGTTTATGAGAAATTTCTTTGATCCAGAAATTCACAAATTTGCACATAGTTTCTTATTGATGTATTTGATACATTAAAACAAAAGTTTTATAATGGGATATTTTTTAGTTAAAATAAGGCGAACAATTTTGAGTAAATTCTTAACTTAAGTCTGAGAATGCTTTTGTGAACTCAGGGCCATTCCATACCACAAGGCACTCACACTCACAGTGACTTTGCTTTCAATCTGGTGTGCCAAGGACTCGCTGTTAGCTGCTTAATGTCATAGGCCTTGGAATATGCACCAAATTGGCATTGGATCGTTAAATGATTTTTGTAGGTTAAGATATTTTTATGATATAAGTGTATTTACATGTATTTAAACTAGCAATTGTGGACGCTGGACTGCTGGCCGGCTGACTGGGGCGACGACAATATACAACTACAGTTCAATGTGGGTGTATAAAAATTGTACTCGTCACTGGATACCCCCCCCCCTCAAAATGGCAGCTTCATACGTGGAATTATTGCCGAGGAACTCTCTGAACAGAGACAAGCATTAATTTATGACACAATGATGTTTTGATAATGTACATTGTGGGATAATTTATGTACAATCATTTGTTTCAGTTAGAGTTTGAAATTAGATTTTTTTTTTTTTGTCCATGGTTCCAGTAGTAAAAGTCCATCAGCAATTAACTGGAGCACAACATGGAAATTAAAAGAGTTTAATAAAGTCAAAAGGAGTTGAACTTTGATACAAATGTATGACAAAACTAGCCATAACCAAGAATATTTTCTGATTTTCGATCATATTAATGGCACATTTTGTCAACAGAAAAATCTTCCGCTAAATAAACATACATGCAGCATTAGCATGAGCTGAAGGACTGATAGCTGATTTCAATTTAAGCATAATTTTAGAAAAATGAATTTTCTTTTTTAAGTTTTCTATATGTTTTCTTCCTTAACATAACTAATGAATCAACAGATACAATATAGAAATTAAGAACGTAATTAAATTAAGCTTTTAAACAAGTAATCATGTATGTACATGTAGATAAACGGAAATGAAATGAAATGGGGTTTAACTTCCTATTGCTCAGCACCGATTGGGCTAATGAAGACAGACATGACATACAGTGTGCTATGAGGGAAATTTTGCTCGGACAATGGCACTATGGCCTACTATATATCGAATTCCAAGAGTTCTTTTACATGAACGCCAATGTACATGGGACATCGGTTTTTTTTGGTCTCATCCGATCGACTATACATTGTCTCTTGCCAGACCCTCTGTCCTACACCACTGACAAAAGGAAATGAAAATGAATTTAGATGTACATGCATGTATATGATAAAGCATATCAATGTAAATATATTATTATAATGAGGTTATCACAATACCATGCAAATATAATAATATTACACTATATACCTGTGTGCTGACTTGTTTTATCTAAATATACATCATCTATATTCTATTATCATGTAAAAGTTAATAAAATATTCTTTAACTTTACAGTATAAAACTGTTTTCTCTTATAAAAAAAATCTCAATAACTGACACGAAATTGGAGTTCATAGGAAAGAACTTTGTGTATGCTGAGTAGGATGCTTTACTCCCATTTAATTCAAAATAACCCTAACTACTTGTGGTAAGACTGGGGTAGATTCTATAAATAACCCTTACTACTTGTGGATAACAACTAGATTACAAAAAAACAAGTACATGTACAATCAAACTATTTATCCATTGAACTTACGATATATAACTTCTATATCTTTAACCTGTTAAGTAATTAGCTGTATGGATATAATCTCTATATGTTATATCTATGGATATAATCTTTAACCTGCTGTATGGATATAATCTCTATATGTATGGATATAATCTCTATATATAACATATATCTTAAAGGCATGGATATATTCTCTCTATATCCTAAAGGCATGGATATATAATCTCTCTATATCTTAAAGGCATGGATATAATCTCTCTATATCTTAAAGGCATGGATATAATCTCTCTATATCTAAAATGCATGGATATAATCTTTATATCTTTAACCTGTTGAATAACTTGCTATAATGATATAATGTTTTCTTCTTACCTGTTAAATAACCAGCTATATTGGTATCTGATATAAATAAATCATGTCTCTGATCTCTGTATTCTTTCCATACTGAAGATTTTTCTAATATTTCAGATATCTGCAGAAATAATACATTTTAATCACCTTTATAATTATACATAATCAGAAATATTATACTCTTAAATCTACATATATCAATTCCACTATAAATTAATCCTAGAAAAATTTGACAGCATATGATACTGAACAGATCAATCTAAAAATATTCCTTCCACTTGAAGATGCATTATGTAAGAGCTAAATTTGCCTATTGCAGATCGTTCTTTTTTCCTCAAATGTTATAAACTATTAATTAGACATTTATCCACATGACAAGACCATAATCAACTCTCTAGATCATCGAATGGTTTTGATTTCGAACCAATTGAAACCTGGTCATCTATATATATATTTGTGACTGTCGTTTGTCTGTCTGTTCGGGGTTGGTGGCTACACTAGGTCTGCCCCCGAGTCTGAAATTTGGGGTATAGGGGTAGCTCGGACCGGGGAGTAACATAGGCCAGGTGGTGTTAGTCTACCACTTCCGGTTTCGGAGTTATGACCCCCGAGCGAAGCCGGGTATCCTGCTAGTCATTTAATAATTTTATCTAAAAATAGATAATCAAGACTGTTTATTATCTGAACAATGGTAGCAATGAGAATTGAGACTATGCTATTCTTCAAACTTTGATAACTTTGCACAGAATGAAGTAATATGACTGAAATTTTCAATACACAAATATATTCTTTTTTCATTTTCTAGTTTTAAACTATTGTATCAAGAACTGTCAGCTCTTTATCTAAATCTTACATGATGCATCTTGTAAGTAGCAGTACTGATATTAACTTATAAAAATAGGGTGCCATGAACCATATACCCAACCAGCAACTAATTCACTGAGCAGTTATGAGATAAAGATCTCTTGAAAAAAAAATAAAAAAGTTCAAACCATAAAATAGTCTATGAGAGGCTTATAAGATTTCATACCAAAGGGGAATAACTATTAAAGGTTATCAAGAAAGCAGACCACCAAAGCTTGTATACACATATAAATTTGAAGTAGATATACTAGTAAACATGTCATTTTAACTATCTGCATTACGTATCACTGTAAAGAACCTCTTCACTTGGTATCCTTCGTACCAAAATCATTAATATTAACAGAAACCTGGCAGAAAATATTAATTCAAACTCACTTCTACTTTTCTAGACCAAAAGAAAAACTGAGTGAAAATCCCCTAGCTTCTTCATTTCAATGAGTCAATCCATATCAATTTTAAAAAGATGTATGGATTGTTGTAGCCTCTATTGTGCTAACAAGAAATATAAATGAACAGATGAACAGACAGATAGAAAGGCTTGACAACAATAAACCACCACATTACATATAAAACCCAACAACATCAAATATTTGCATGGAGTAAGAAAATACCATATTATAACCTACTCCAAACTACTGAACTTTACAAACCTCCATGTTTCTCAAACACTAGAAAACTAGCAATGAAAATTACTTTAGTTTAGAGTAAGTAAAGGGAATTATTTGAGAATATTGCCAAGTAACGTAACCACAACTTAACCCCAGTAGGCAGGCATAAGGGAGTTATATACTAGGATTAAATGATATATCTCTACTATTAACCCAAAATATATTAATACTACTGTGATTGTTATACCTGTTCTCCATACAATAAACTTCTTTGCATGGATTTTAAAGCTTTAACTATCTGAGCTTTAGTAGCAGCAGGATTTTCTACAGCCTCTAATCCTCCTTCTAATAGCCGTAATAAGAAGGGAAGTAATTCAGCTTTTAATGCCTGACAAAAAGAGTAAAAGTACATCAGAATTAGTACATTTTTTGGATAATATTGAGTGATCAAATCATTTTACAATTGAAAATCTTTACTTTCTCAGTTATATGAAACTTGTCACTGACCTGTGCAACTAATTCTTCTTCCCCTTTATCGAACATTTTACTGATGGCTTCAGCAGCCAGAGCTATTTGATCTCTTCTAGCTTTCATACCAACAATCATAGGTCCAATACATTCACATGATGTCATAGCACGAATACATATCTGATAATAAATTCAAATATAAATCAAATTACGATCAGATTAACATATTATTAACATAACATATGCATTAAATCCATGTGTAACAAAGAAATAGATCACAGGGGATTCAAATTAAATTTTTGCATTGATAGAATAATAGGTAATTGACCTCATATTTTGTGCCTGATGATCTAATGCTCCAACAATGATCAGCTGACACTGTGACGTGGGTATCTTTGTTTAAAAATTTGTAAAAATCGGTTAAAATCCTCAAAAATCATCTAATTTGTGCTTTAAACTGGACAAATACCGTACAAATTAGATAATTTTGGGTGATTTGAAATGATTTTTACAAATTTTTAAACAAAGATTTGGTATTAAACGAATGTGAAAGAAACTAGTGCTAGATACACAAGATTAAATGATACCCAGGTTACAGTTGAGGTTCTACAGATATTTGGTTGAGAATTGGATACATACAGGTGAACTTTACATAATTTAGAAAGAAAACAGAACTTGACAGGTTTAACAGATAAAATCTGCTAAATTGTTTGGGATTTTTTTGCTTGATTGTATGTAAAAATACATTGTTTTGATTCAAGCCAGTGTAGAATGTCAACATACTGTACATTAATAGTGACAGATTTTTATTTTTATTTTTTTTTTAACAGGCATGTATAACCCTCTTTATACTAACCTCATTATTAGCCAGCTGATGTGTAACTTGTATAGCTGATTTAGGAATAGCATTATTACGTGAACTCATGGCCTGGAAGACTTTAGGTACATAACCTAACTGTGGTATTTGATCTAACAGACCAGATTGAGCTTGAAATAAACAAACTACAGCTGTTGTTACTGTCTCCAGAACTTCACCCTATAAATAAACAAACAAACCCATCAAACTTCACTCAATAAATGATCAAATATAATAATATTGTTTATGGATCATTCAACGAATTTGCCAACCTCTATAACCTGTACATGCTCAAGTCCATTTGGAGTTCCAATGAATCCAATGTAAATCTATTTATATTTTGCTTCTATTTTGTCACACTGATCAGCAGTGAATATTCGCTGGGCCGCTACAATCACTGATAAGGATGACATCAATGCGACTTAATGAGCCACAAATATTCACTTTTTTCCTCCAACAAATTAAATTCTAAAACATTTTTTTTTTATGTATTAGAAAAATAAATAAAGACGTTTGATGTATTAAAATGAGTAACAGACATCTAACCAGTAACGTCTTATGTAAACAATGCATATGCCATTGAGCCAATGATTGACCCCACGTGATGAGACGTCATGTGTTTAAGGTAGTCATCTTTTACAGAGATATTAGAAGAATTTCGAAATCCTCTGTGAAACAGATTGCTATTTTGTATGGAAACTAGATTGTTTGGTGGAGTTTCTGGTACGTAGTCGATTGGAATTAATTTCTATGTCTCTAGTACTTCTGAACAATGTTAAGAACAAAGTTTGTCTTATCTACTGATTCATATGTGGATAAAGTATACCAAACAAATCCTAAAACAATTTCTGCACCATAGATTGCATGAAATGTGATAACCATTTAATTAATTGATAAAATACTTACATCAGGACTATTTATACTAACAAGTTGTGTCCATTTCTCTAATAACTCCACTAAAAACTCTTTAGGTTTACGTAAAACCCAGCCAGGATTGGTTATAAACAAACGAAGGAAGACTCCACCCACAGTTAACTCCCCTTGTATATCACTATAAACTACTGAAAATTCCTCTGGTATACTCCATTTAGTTGCTATATTCTCTTTTTGTGCTTGATAATGTCTACAATTATAATAAGTTCATCACTAACATCACAAAATATCAAACAACAAATATCACAATATATTACAGTCAGTGTTGACTAACTATCTTCTATCTAAATATCAACAATTTGTCTCAAGCAACATATGGTAAAGTGACTGAACAACACATAAAACTAAACTCACTGATTTTTTAATTTTAAAACAAAATTGGAGACTTTTTCTCTTGCATCATCATTCCATATTAATTCTGGATTTTCATGACTTCCTAAAAAATATAATAAATAAATAAATTAGTTTGGCCAAACAAACTAGGTCATTTCGGGACTAACATATAGTTCAATTTTATTTCAATAATTTGATTACACGTAGGGGTCTTTAGCAGAGGGAGGAAACCGGAGGACCCGGAGAAAACTCACGAGGTTGGGCAGGCAACCCTACTCCTTGACACTTACATGTACAACCGGGGAATCGAAACCACGCCATTTGACTAAATGGCAGACCTTATATTAGAATCCTCACAATTTTTAGCATGGCTTTCACTTGTCTGTGATGCAGGATGTTCGGATGAGATGAAAAACAGTGGTCCTGGGTACATATTGGCATGTACGTAAAAGAACCCTTGGCACATGGAATTTGACAAAGGGGAGCCAGACACACCGCTGCCAGGTCAAAATTTACCTCCCAGCACACTGCATGGTATATACATGTCTTCGTTAGCCTGAATAGTGCAGAAAAGTAGGACGTTAAACCTCATTTCATTTTTACACACAAGGGCTCACTGGACCATGATAATCCACATACTGCATGATGGCAAATCACACTATAGTTAAACAAAGTGTAATAATAATTATTGTTATTAAATACCTTCAAACATATGTACACTAGCTTCTGGAGAATCTCTCATTGCATCCATAAATATACTTGGTAAAAATTTATTGAGTATAATGCGAACCTTAGGTCCAACTAATTTATCAGACAACATTTTGGCAAATAATTCGGCTGTTTTTTCTCGTATCTGAGGATGAGTAGCATTACAGAAGAGATCTAACAAATATATTAGTGCACCTGAAAATAGATTTTCATTTCATAATATTTATCTTTCCTCAGTAACAGTTTTGGTTTCTTTTCTCATTCACAAAACCTTAAAGGGTCATTATGGGAGATTAGATAAAGAGCTGATAGTTCTCACTATAATAGTTAAAAGGTAGATAACGTAAAGAGAATATGCTCAAAAATGCTCCACTATAAACCGAGATATTAGCGATTGAATTTTAGGCCTAGCCTCGATCATCATTACTAAAGTCGGCAAGATAAAAACAAGTCTTGAATATCCATTTTGACGTTATATCATCCATCACAAAATGTATTCAAATCCAGTAAATATCGCAGGCTAGGGATGACATCGAGTGTTGTTTATGGTCCGGATAAGTTAATTAATGTCTAATTAAAAATTTAGATAACATTTCAGGCCTAAAGAAAGACCTGCAATAGGCAGATTTAGTTCTTGCATAATGTATGTTTAATTTGATTCATGAGCATGCAGGTTTTACTGCCAGGAATTTCAAATAATAGACAGAATTTCTGGAAATTTGAGATACTGATCAAACTTTAAGAGTTGTGTTTGGGATATTGATCAAACTTGAAAGCTTTATAATTTAGGGAAAATATGTTTGATCACATGTTTTTACAAGTTCAGCTCAACAGTCTTGTAAATTAAAGAAAATTCTCACCTTTCACCATGGCTTCTTTTACTATCTTTGTATTGGACATCAATGCAAATAAACTTTCTAATGCTAGCAGTCGGCCTAGAAATAATGTATTAAACAGATAATATATTTAATTACCTCTCAAGTTATAGTTCCGAAAAAGCTAACCCAGATCTAAATAATTAAACATAACCTTTAAACTTAGTTTAAGCTAAATTTGAATTAAAAGATTAAGCTGCAACATATACAGAATTTTCATCAATGACAAAACTTTAAATATAGCAGTCATATTTATTATTCAATTGTTTTTCATACATCAGTAATGCAACAAACTTTATATGCTATGTCATCTTTCACAAATACATACCTAGAAGTTTTTTGAAAGATAATAATGTTTTATGATCTTACATGTAAACTATGAGCTTAAATTGTGGTAAATGTCGTAATATAAACTGTGATCTTACACTGTGGTTAATGTTGTAATATAAACTATGATCTCACATTGTGGTATATGTTATAATATAAACTATGATCTTAATATAAACTATGATCTTACATTGTGGTAAACTTTGTAAAGTGAGCAGTAAATATGATAAAACTTCAGCAGCAGCAATGTCATTAACACATTCCTGATTACCAGTAACACAATTAACAACCTGTAAAAAAAACATACAATTATTTTTTCTAATCATATAAAATTAGCGAGAGACCCTTTTATGACTTCATGCTTCAGCTAGTATATCCCCCCAATTAATGAAATCTTGCGGTTGACACAATATCTTAATAATTTTCAATCACTATTTCAACTTCTATAATTAGAACATCTCAGCCAACAAAAGACCAAGCTTTTGACACTCCACATGTTTATGAATGGTAACCATTTGTATGCTGATGAATTAAGAAAATCTTAGAATTTACCTCTAAAGCAAACTGTTGTAATTTGGCACAATCTTCTAAACAGAGGAGAGCAAACAATAGTTTAAAATGGCCGATACATTGTATCTCCACTCCTGAAATTATACAAGAATTAACGTGGAATTAGCACACTGCAGATCTTCGCTGGTCTTTTAAACAAGTTAATTTCATTTTGTATTGGTGTGACTACCATACACTGCACTGCACTGCACTGCCAATCCATCCCTGATATACAGTTTAGAGAGAGAGAGAGAGAGAGAGAGAGAGAGAGATGGGGTTTAACGTCCACTTGACACAAACTAGGGCATTTTGGGACTAACATATGGTTCAATTCCATTTCAATAATTCACTTGCGCATAGGGATCTATAGCAGTGGGAGCAAACAGGAGAAAACCCACGAGGTTGGACAGGCAACCCTACTCCTTGTCATGTACAACCGGGAAATCGAAACCACGCCAGTTGACTCAATGACAGACCTTATGATATAGCACGCACATGCTAACCATTTGACCACCCAACACCCCTCATGCAAAATTAGAGGAGTCAAAGGATATTATGAATATGATACATTAAGTTAATTACATTAATTTTCTAATTGGAATCGATAATTCCTATTTTAATATAGGCCTAATATTTGTGAATGTCAGAATCTACTTCCATGTCATAGATATAAATTCATTGATCATATATTGTGTAAGAAATTTAAACAAAATGGCAGTGAGGAAAATGGCTTGGCATAGTATATTAGGTAAAGAGATTACTGATGACTTGGAGGAGCATCGTTATACACTAACCTGGATTATTTCTAATTACATTACGAAGAGCTTCTAGAGCCATTTCTACTTGACTTAATCTACCTCCTTTAGTTGATTGTTGTGTGGCTTTCTTCTGTTGTTGTAACATTAACAAGGAATGTAAATACTGTCAAACATAAATAAAATATTATACATAATTTATTCTCTTTTGTACCTCATTCATTTTAAACTCATTTATATTAAGTACGCAAAATTATTTCAGATTCAGAATAAATGTTTACAAAATACTCATTAACATCAAGAGAAAAACCTTACTGCTGAACAAGAAATAGTCAGCAGTCTTTTGTACCTCATTCATTTTAAGCTCATTTATATTAAGTAAGCAAAGTTATTTCAGATTCAGAATAAATGTTTAAAAAATACTCATTAACATAAAGAGAAAAACCATATTGCTGAACACGAAATAGTCAGCAGTCTTTGTAGAACATTATAAAATTCAACTACTAATTATAATGAAGTTTTACCTGTGCCTGAGATCCCAGAAAATCTAATAAATCTATCGTAAAACCTTTAGAATTCTGTAGATAAAAATACAATTATAAGTATCAATATCACTTTTCACTAACAGTGGGGGATTTATTTGGAAGGTGCTGGGGTGGATGAAAGCAATTCGAAATTAACACCATTCAGATGATAAGGATGGAGAGTTAACAGTTGTCTCCAGTTAAACAAAAACAAAAACATTGACTTGAAAATATTGAGGAATAGGATTCTGGCAGTATTGCTGAAGCAAAACATGATTTTAAGACCACAAAGGGCCATAATTCAGTCAAATGTTAACGTAATCCCACTAAACATGAACCTGATTTGTAATTGCGATATATAAAATAATCAAAGTTTAATAAAACTTAAATCTGGATAAAAAAAAGATGGCCGGACACCCAGAGAGAGACAGACCTAATTAAATATAATTTACATGTTGGTAATAAATATTATTAGTACTTAGTAAAATTTAAAAAAATATTTATTTGTAATGCAAACCTCCAGTGGAAATGTTGGTTGTTCATTATACACACGAACAAATATTTCTCCCACTATTAACTCTTTAGAATGTACTTCAAATACAAATTCACCACCATATGATTTATCACATTCTCCCTACAATATAGACATCATCAGCTATCATACACAGTTTAAGATAGACATCACTAGCTATCATACACAGTTTACGACAGACATCATCAGCTATCATACACAGTTTACGACAAACATCATCAGCTATCATACACAGTTTACGACAGACATCACCAGCTATCTTACACAGTATACGACAGACATCACCAGATATACATAGTTTAAGACAAACATCATCAGCTAGTTTATGACAGACATCTTAATTCAGGTTTCATAAATTTGAAGACAATAGAAATTTAACTAATTTAAGGTCAATTGTTCAACAATCAGCGGCTGCCAGGCAGGATACGCCCACATTTTCGAGAGATGGATAGAGAACAAGCTAAAAAGAAAGTGATTTTTCCTACAATCAAGGGCCATAATTCATGAAGTTACAATCGGATATGCGCAAATATCGAAAGGAACCAAGATCTTTGGGTTATAAACATGCATTTCAAGTTCCATCAAAATCGGATTAAATTGTAACCTCTACCCACAACCTTGATATACCATATTTTTACACCTTTCGCGTACAAGCAGCGACCATTTTGTCCGGCAGTTTTGGTTTGATTTTCAAGAAATTTGAACTCAACCTTTATTATGGTGTTACGGTGATATATTCAAACTGTTTTGATTTACCATATTTTAACACTATTCGCGTACAAACGGCGGCCATTTTGTCTGGCAATTTTGGTCCGATTTTCACGAAATTCGAACTCAACCTTCCTTAGGGTGTAACGGTGATATAATTAAACAATTTTTTAAATCGGATAAAAATTATGACCTCTATAGGGTCCACAAGCTAAAAACGCGATTTTTCGTGTAACGGTGATATAATCAAACATTTTTTTTTAATTGGATAATAATTGTGACCTCCAGAGGAACCACAAGCTAAAAAACGTGATTTTGCGTACAATCAGGGGCCATAATTCAGGGAGTTACTATCCGGTATGCGCAAATATCGAAAGGAACCATGATCTTTAGGTTATAAATATGCATTTCAAGTTTCATCAAAATTGAATTAAAATTGCGACCTCTACAGAGTCCACAACCTTGATTTACCATATTTTAACACTATTCGCGTACAAACGACGGCCATTTTGTCTGGCAATTATGGGCCGATTTTCACGAAATTCGAACTCAACCTTCCTTAGGGTGTAACGGTGATATAATAATACGGTTTTTTAAATCGGATAAAAATTATGACCTCTATAGGGTCCACAAACTAAAAACGCGATTTTTCGTACATTCAGGGGCCATAATTCAGGAAGTTACAGTCCGATATGCACGAATATCGAAAGGAACTGAGATCTTTGGGTTATAAGTTTCAACAAAATCGGATAAAAATTGTGACCTCTATAGGGTCCACAAGCTAAAAATGTGATTTTTGGTACAAACAGGGGCCATAATCCATGAAGTTTCGATCCGATACATGCCAATATCGAAAGCAGCTGAGATCTTTTGGGGATAAACCTATATTTCAAGTTTCGTCAAAATCGGACAAGAATTGTGACCTGTAGAGAGTCCACAAACAAATTGTGGACGGACGGACAGGGGGCGACGACAATATACGTCCACATGAAAATGTGGGCGTATAAAAAATTCTATAGGAAGACAAGAATTGAACAAGATTAGAATGGATTTAAGAGTAATTTAATGCAATGTATGTGACGAAACACTTTAATCCTAATCCTTTAAAAGTGCACAAGGTACCAAAGTATAATACAAAAGTCAAAATGAATCCAAGGCTATTAAACATGGGAACAGATAAATCAATGTCCCTGTCACATATAAAATAATGTTCCTGTCACAGGAACATGCGTTTACTGCAAATGAGTCAGGTAAGTCAAAAGATTGCTTCTTTCCTGCACTCAGCACATGTTTTTTAAAAAGTAAGGTTGTCCTTAAAATATAAGTATACTGTGAAATGACATCTTGTCACAATAACAAAATGAAAGCAAGAATACCTCCATGAGATTTACATTCTATAAATAACAGAAGTATTTTACCGTTTTGATCATTTTTTGTTGTTCGTCTGCTAAATATTCTGTCAGCTGAGCTCTGGTTGCATTATCCCAGATTAAATACGGATCTTCTGTATTACTGTTTAATATTTTTAATAACTAGAAAAAAATAGAATATTATGTCACTATTTGTTTGTTTTATTGTTACTAGAAATGAAATGGGGTTTAACATCCTACTCTTCGGCACCAACTTGGCTAATTGAGATGGGCATATGCCATACAGTGTGCTATGAAGGAAATTTTGCCCGGACAGCGGCAAAACAGCCTACTCTTATATCCAATTCCAATTGTCAATGGGTTCATTTATGTGCATGCAAATGTTTACCCGAGATCTCGTTTTTTTGTCGCATCCAAACGACCAGACACTGTTCCTTGCCAGTCCCTCCGTCCTGCACCACTGACAAGGGAGAAAATCCAGAGGAACTTTCCCCGGTCAATACCGAGATCAAACCCCCAGACCTTAAAGTTAGCAAGCCAGCGCCTACCCACTGAGCTACCATGGCTCTGTGATTTTAGCATTACATTGTAAAATTCAAATGTGATTTCTGGATGCTTCTATACTTATTAATATATTTCCATCAATCCATATACTGTAACTTACCTCAGCTGGTGATTCATTTGATAATTTTCTAGCTAAGAATGGTGTTAATAAGGCTCGTAGAGATTTTTTGACTGTAGGATTATCTGGACTAGTTAAAGGACTATCATATCTATAATAACCACCTAATCTAGCACAAGCTTTTATAGATAACTTGGCTAACTGATTACATACTTCCTGTAATAAATATCACATACAAATATTAACATATTACATATAGATGTCCTAACTTTAGACACTTCACTAGAAGAATTAGACAGTGGTTACAATCTTATTCACAGAATTTGTTGAATAAAAGAACTATACACTACACAGAAAACTTTGAGAGTACTGTTTGACCAAGTCTACATAAAAGTATATAAACTGAGCTTATATAGACCTTTATAATTAACCGTTTTGTTAATGAATATGTCTGTACGTCTTTATATGTTTATTGCAAAGGAGTCCAGTCAGTCACAAGATCGGCATGACTGAATTTACAGTGCATGTTTTTATGTTTTTTGAAAAAGGACTTATACCCTAACTTTGTATTTAATACATTCATATATTTTTCAAATGCTAAAATTTTAAACAGGATTTCTATAAACCAAATAGTTCTATACTATTTCTTCAATGTGCTAACATGAGATATCTTGTAAACACACAGCCAATCATGACTTATACTAGAATAATACTATGTTCTGGTATACATTCCATTTTACATGGACTGTTTGCCTTGTCTTTAGATTGTTATAATTTTGGGTGAAGCCTAGCTGTTCAGGTGTTCCCTAAATCTGTTAAATATGAAGACTTATGCCAATTGTTTGTATATTATAATACATAATACCGAATATTATAGCTTATAATATTACCATGATTAGTTTTACAAGTTATAACTTACTTGTTGATTAGTTCCGTCTGCACGTTCTACACCTCCTTCTTCTAGTGTAAAATCATATTTAAATAAATAAAGTAATAGATGCCATAGTACACCCGATTCATACAGATTAGTTTGTAACCAGAAATCTACACAGAAAGCACTCACACATTCAGTTACTACTGAACATAACTTTGGTAAATTCTGAAATCAAACAAAGCACAAATTGAAATAACAGAATATTAGATTAAGGTAATGAAAGATTTAATAAATTCCAAGATTACAACCAGTAAAATCTCTTAATGTAAGCACAAAAGATGGATAGAATATTGCACAGTACAGGCAGGTATGGATTACAGTGATGCAGGAAATAATCATCCTCAAAAATAATCTCCCATAACCTCTGCTACAAATTACATTCGAAAACAACATTGACACTAGATCCCTCTTATTATCTAATTTTCAATTCAGTTTTAAGCACTACAGAAATTTTTAGGACCAACTTGTACACTCCGATATTTCTAATTACACTTGTTACAAGTAAAATGCACTGTTTTTTTAAAAAAAAAAAAAATATGTTTAGTCCAAATAGTTTTGGTCACATTATTTCTTTCACCAATAGTGGACTTGGTTGGCTATGTCACTTTCAAAGATTAAACCTGGTTATTACGCTTTTTAAATCAAGTAAGATTTTACACTGGAAATACGATAAATAGTAAATGTGAATCATTAAATTATCAAGATGTAAGATCAGGAGTGAGTATTTTGATATTTTTACCTTATAATAGAGAATTCTACATAAATCTTTTATAATGGCCGATGTTTCTTGTATTTTTTCTCTACAACCCTCAAATTGAGCTGCTACACTATAACATTTCGATACATTTGTACAAACCTGTAAAATAAATCAATTAAACTACAATAATATAACAATCCTACATCCCTCTGTGTTTCTATATTTACTTCAAATTATTGTGTAAAAACTGCCATACATTATCAAGGCCAGTGATTGAAATTTCAATTTCTAAAATCGTTAATCTGCTGTAAATATCTTACCTGGACTGCCATATCATCTGGTTTACTTGATTGACTTAAAACATTGACACATCTGGCAAATGCTTCTTGTAACACCTGTAACATATTGTCATATAGTGGTTTCATTGGGGTCTGAAACCTTACATTTAAGTATATATAAGTTGTCTCCCTTATGTTGTAGTTCTTCTGCCTTTTTGAGTAATAAAGATAGAGATTGGAATTCTAACATGGAGACTGGTTGTTTTTCACTTTTACCTACAAGCTTAGTGTAACACCCCAGGATCTGAATATAACAATATGAGTATAGAGTCGTATCCACAAATACTGACACACAGATAAAATAAACATGATAAAATAACAATACATTTAACTACCATTCTCTTCTAAACAAGATCAAACCATACCTGGATGCCATTTTCTCTTCTTAGTTCTTCAGCATTCAAAGCTGAACAGTTGACTGTATGATAGGCTAACTCACTAGCTGCTGTTAATAATGGTGCAGATTTAGAAAACAGACTATCATCACCAGTCTCTAATCTTATAGTCTTTATCAACATTGGGTAACCAGCATATTTATATGGCTCGAGAACTATAATAGATAAATTTCAATAAGTCATTTTCACATTCTAAAACATACCAAGTTTCATGTTAATCGTACATACTAATCAAATAGCAGATAGAGATGAATCACTTTTTGTGAAATGAAATGACATGGGCTTTAACGTCCTACTCTTCTGCTCCATCCGTTCTAATAAAAACAGGCAAACACCATGCAGTATGCTATGAGGGAAATTTTGCCATGACAGCGGCGCTACCGCCTACTCTTATATCAAATTCCAACTGTCAAGGGTTCTTTTACGTGCATGCCAATGTGTACGCAAGACCTCAATTGTTCATACTATCTGAGAAACCACGGAGGGAAGGATAGAAGTAACAAATTTAATAGCCCTCTGCTAAAAGGTTGGATTTTGAATTCATCATATCATGTATGTTTGTGTTATGTTGAATTTCAGCAATGATGACAAGTAATCGTATTGCAATATCAGAGACACTTTTCTTCCATAATAGATTCTTTTCAGAAGTTTTATATGAATTCAAACTGTTTTGATCTGTGAAGATCTTAATTCGACTCACCATCTTTATATCTACTAAAGAGTATTGATTGAGCTTTTAATATAAGAACTATATTATGTGGATCAGGTCCTTCTTGTATCTTTGATTTACTGCATAAAAATTCATACGCCTTATTCACTTGCTCAAATATATCCTACAAACAAGAAAACAAAATTAGAAAAAAGTGTAATAAATAAAGCAATGTAGTCATTAATATAAGATCTGAAGTATGAAAGGATTAGAATCATTGATTACCATTTTAATTTCTCATTCTTCATTAAATTACTTTTTCTGTGGTCTTTAAATGATGCACATTCAAATCAGTTTATATGTAAAAGAGGGGAGAGAGGGAGAAATGGGGTTTAACTCCACTCGACTCAAACTAGGTCATTTTGGGACTAACATATAGTTCCATTGGATAGGCAACCCTTCTCCTTGTCACGTACAACCGGGGAATCGAAACAATACCTGTTGACTCAATGATAGACCTTATGATACAACGTGCACGCGCTAGCCATTCGGTCATCCAACTCCCCATGTAAAAGACAAAATTTATTAATCTTTCACCAAAGATACATTTTCTTCAAAATTTTGAGAGAATACTCTTTGAAACATTGCCCAAAAAAATTAAGTAATTGTTCTTCTATAGTGTAAATGTTAATTTATTAGAGAATTAAAATCAAACCTTTCCATCAGGATTTTTATCAGGATGATATTTCTTAGCTAGTTTAAAATAAGCTTTTCTTATCACATTTTCTTCATGTCTGTAAAATAAATTTAAAATATTCAGTTTTAAAATAGTGGCAACTACATGACTGTTAGATAAAGATTAAGTTTTATTTATAAGAGCCATCTTCAGATAGTATTACTATATACTTGATAAACAGAATGCTGTATTTTTAACAGTAAGAGTTAATCTAAATACAGAAATACAAGATTTTCTTCTTTAGTAAATTAAACAGTCAGCAATTTTTTTTAAATATACATATAATAATATAATTTACCCTCCTGCGCCAGATTTGAGATTAAGTACAGTATAGGCTTCTTCTATGGACATGGTAGGTGGTTTCTTTTCTACCTCTTTCTTCCATGCATCCAATATATCTTTTAACAGACGTACCTACAATATCATAGCTATATAATTCCTCTACAAATATATAATTACTTTACTTCTTTATCTCAGTCATTTATATCAAAATTAAATACTGTACCCAATAAATACAATTACACATATAAACAACCAACATAACAAACATATAAAACTAAATATTTCACATCTAAACATGTACTTACTGGGTCTTTAATTGGCCAGTCAGGAAATCTTGTTGTATCACATAAATGTTTAAGATAATATATATTGCAGAATAGTTCGTTCTCTAATTGTGGATAGTTTATAACAGGTATAGGACAGTACTGATATAAAGCTCGAGTATTACTCTGTAAACGTGGACTAAAATCAGCAATATGTGATGCTATCTTCTCGATCATCATACGCCTACAAATTATAATAAATTACTACAGTAAGTACCAATAAGTAAAAATAATCAAATTAAAAAAAAACCTATCTATTTACTACCTTGCTTCAAGTTTCAGTTAAAAATATTTATCTTGTTTTATTGTCATGTACAAAAGTCAGGTACCTTTCTTAACTTCGGTCCTCATAGACATTTTTTTATCTAAACATATGCAACTATCTGTGGCTTGAAGAGAGAAAATTTGCTCAATCTGACAGTGAATTTCTCTTATCACAATGCTTCAGAAAAGGATAAAGTTTCCTTTTCACCCAATTTTTCTGGTTAAAAAATATATCCGGGTCTGGAATGTTTTAGTAAAATTATCATATTTCTGCACTATTTAATATAAAGTCAACTCACCTCATTTCACTGTTCCAAATTGCCTCTGGTGTATCAAATTCTCCTAAAAATATCTCAGCAAATTTTTCAGGAGAATAGTTCTCTAGATAACAGACCATTGCCTCGGGTAAAATATGACCCAGAATACTTCTCATCATAATATCTGAACTGGTGTTCTAAAAATAGATATATAATTTATAATCAATCAATATTAAAGATACATTATGTAAGATTTAAATAAAGGGCTGACCATTCTTGCTATAATAATATCTTAAAAATAGATAATGTAAAATGAAAATTTCATTCAAATTACTTCATTCTGAGACATTGTACATTGTGATAACCAGGGCACTCGTATATTCGAGACTTAGCCTCGTTTTCCCATTTTTAAATTAAATCTTTAAATGGCGAACCGTTCTAACCTAGTCAAAATCTTGAGTATCTGATGCCATTGTGAGTTGATTATGGTCTTTTTTTGTAAATAAATGTCTAATTAATAGTTTATAAATAAAATAAAACCAAGTACGAACAATCCAAACCATTAGACAAAATTCAAAGTCCTAAAAAACAGTACAGGCAAAATAGTGTAATAAGGCAAAATAGTGTAATCAGCATATGGACTGTTCACCGTGTACAAAATATATGACAAACAGTGGTAACAGGTGTCCGGAAGAGTAAGCTTACCCTGCCTGGCGTCACACCCGCCTTAGCTGCATCCAAACTATTAGGCGAAATCTCGGTAAAATAGCTGATTGGCCAATGGACTATCGGTCCATGCAAAATGCATGTGATGAACAGTGTTAACGATGTAGTAGACAGACATTATCAGGGAGATAGTATACGCGTCAAGTAAATATATCTAGAATAATAGCCGAGAGAGACATGTTATATTTACCAATCAAGTCAATATGACGCCCATAAAACTTTTTAAAGGTTTTAATATGTTTAGTTCGCAAGTATCCCTGTAGTTGAAGCTTAGATGACAAATGCCTCGATCTACTTAAAAAATCAGAATAAAATGAACAAGCTCTCACGTAACGATTTAGTTGAGACACAAACACTCCATAAGCTGGTGATATTGGAATGTTACTACTAATAAATGGAAAGTTAACAATCCGAAAGTCAAAGTCATCACGTTTATCGTACAATTTAACACTAAGTTTATGGCAATTGTCAAAATCGAGACGCAGATCCAAGTAGGAAGCGTAATTGTCACTGTCAGTAGTGTTTTTAATTTCGAGCTCATCAGGATATATGAATTCCACATAATCACTAAATTTTGGATTATTCAGTGATAGAACATCAAAAAATATATCGAAGTGAAATTAAAATATCTGACTAATCGTTTATTTGATTTTACGAGTGCCTGTATGTAATCGGCTTCGTAGGAATAGAGAAACAAAGGTGCACAGTTGGTGCCCATGGATATAACATTTCAGGCCCAAAGAAAAACCTGCAATAGGCAGATTTAGCTCTTACATAATGTATGTTTAATAAAATTGGTTTACTATGATTACAATGGAATGGAACTAATTTTGATATTTCCCTGATTAATCTCCATAGATACAATAGTAAATATATTCAAAATAAGGCAAGAGAGTTATGATAATCAAAAAACTGCTGAGCTATCAGTACAATAAATCACTAAAACTTTAGGTAGTACAAAACAGAACAAAACCCCATTTCATTTCAATTATGTAGTAAATTCAAATGTTAAATATCTTACCTCATCTGAGCGGAAAGCCTGTTTCATATGTGTATATTTACATAATTTGGACACTGGTAAAACATTTGATCCTGTATACATCATTATAAAGAAAAACACGCCCACTAAATATAAACGTGAGACACTAGGATTATCCTGCATTAACAGAAAGAGTAATGTAGCTACTTTCTCGACTAGAACTGGATCAAACGTTAATAATAGCTGAAAAAAAAGAAACAAATTACAATGATAAAAAAATAATCTTCTGCAGCAGATGCAAGGGACATCCCAGTTATATGGAATGTTGTACCACACAGAGAGATGAGGGGGTCTGAGAAGAGATTCTTGTCTCATGTGGAAGTCTTGTGGTGAAAAGCAAAACAGACTAAAAACATCATCAAAACTATTTTATGTCGAATTTCTGTCTTGTGAATGTTTGTGGTGAAGAACTTCACACAAACATCTACAAATCAGACAAAGAGCAATGACAGCTACAACCACATTGTCTGGTGTCTTCTTCAAACTAATTTTCACACAACTGTAAAAACTGCTAATGACATTATTGAGACAAGGGAAATCTCTTGCTGTAGCTGTTGTTTGAAATTGCCTGCCTTTCAGTATAGATGTAATAAGATTGTTTACCTTTCAGTCTAGATGTAATAAGATTGTTTACCTCTCAGTCTAGATGTAATAAAATTGATGTAATAAGATTGGTTACCTCTCAGTATATATAGATGTAATAAGATTGTTTACCTGCACAACATGTGGTAGACATGTAGCATCTGATAAAATACGCTTAACTTTAGGAAGAGGTCGGATTACAGCACCATCTACATCACTGATAAATAAACAATTACACACATTCACAAATATACATAATACAGACTAAACACTCCTTACAGGAATAATAGAAGACTTTTTTTAAATGCATGTTTCTTAAACCGAAAGTAAATGCTTATTCATTTGTAACATTTTTCATTTGTAAGATTTTATCTGAATTATTGCCCTTATTATTGTTAAATTTATTGATGTTGTCACTTAGAACTTCAACTGGCAGACTATCGCCATTCAAAAGATGACCACTGTCAAGACTGGTCGCATTACGTCTTTCTTGCTAATCAATACTTTTACAGGTACGGTGGGCGCTTATGGCTGGCCCCCGGATCCATCCACTTGAACTGATATTTGTTATTTATTTCTTGCAGTGTCTGTGTAGTTTGTCTTGTCCGCAGGTTTGTCTTGTTGGTTTTGTTGGAGCGTGTAGTTTAGTTCTTAATCTAAAAAATAATTACAATTACTCACCGACTAGGAAAATATTCTGTCATTTTAATGAGCATATTTAATATTAATGTAGCTAGATCACTTTCATTCAATACAGACTGACTTGTAGCCAATAAAATCCATTTTAACTGTGGGACAGTCTGCAGTGGTCGCCAACCATCCATACCTTGAGCCCAACAACGTGTCTTAGCATGAATAATTCCTTCACTCCAAAATTCTTTCATCTATTTAAAGTAAAATTTCAGTGAAATAATCATTTAACAGTAAAACAATGTACACAGGACCCTGCCAGTTTCTATCATACAGACCATGCTGGATAGCCACTGTACACAGAATGCATGACGAGTCTGTATAAATTGGTATCAATTGTTGCCTCTTAGCACAAGTAGCCCTTCCCATCAGAGTTCAGTAATAAATTGAAGATTATAAAACAAGAATGATGTGTTTAACGCCTATTGTTGCATATCAAAATTTAATTCAGTATTATTATAATTTCACCTACTTCTTCAAAACTAAATGGACCTAATCTCTCTTTTTCAGCATTCCCATAATACCATTCTTTTTCATTTTCTCTCTTCATATCCTGTCCTGCTTCTATAACATTTGTCTGCAAAATAACCATAATAAACAAGTTACCAAATAATTTTTTATTTGAAATTTAGCCGACAATTATTTGACAGCTCTATAGTGTAAGAGTAATTTAGTACCAACACATCAACATGCTACGAGGTCACATGCTAGTTTCTAATTATTGTTTTAACTTGGGTAACAATGCATCAATCTGAACAATGTCCTCTTTAGTTTTAATACAGTTTATTTCAAACTTGTGATTTTACATTCTGACAAATTTTTGTAAAGACTCTACTTGGCAAGTGTGTTTCAGTCACCCCTAACTGCAGACTTGAATTTTTCAGTAAAATAACCATATTATACTGTCTAGAATACGCCACAATATACTTTAGTGTATAGTCTAATGTACTGTTTTGTTCTTGCATTAACTATCTTATAACAATAAGGAAATAATGATGGTCAAATTATTTTCATGTACTTACTTGTAATGGAACAGTTGCTCTAGAAGTATGCAAATGAGCTAAGGTCAATAGGTCAACTAAAATCTTGACACCATTAGCATCCATGATTTCTTTGACATTTCTTGGATGAAGTATCAGTTTATGTAGAAAAAATATTAATCTATCTCTTTCCAATTTATCTGTACACTGCAAAACATATACAAGATTAGTAAATACTGGCACTAGCTATAATTTTATATCTGTAGAAGGAATATTACAGAAGGGTTGATAACTTCAAAACTCAACTTTAGAATAGAGAGAGAGAGAGAAATGAGGTTTAACGTCCACTTGAAACAAACTAGGCCAGTTCGGGACTAACACATGGGGTCTTTAGCAGTGGGAGGAAACCGGAGGACCCAGAGAAAACCCACGAGGTTGGAGCAGCGACCCTACTCCTTGTCATGTACAACTGGGGAATTGAAACCATGCCAGTTGACTCAGAGACAGACCTTATGATACAACCCCTCCTAAGAAAGATGAAATAACTTGATGAGTTTGAAGTGAGTTATCTTTTATTCTACATACCCGTTCTAACATTCCAACAATATATCGTGTATCATTAAAAGCACCAATTTCTTCATAACATCTACCATACACAACAGTCATAGCTTGTAAACACATACACTTCATATTAACTTTAGGTGTTAATAAAAACCGATGATAAAGATCATTAAAAAATTCATATCTGCAAAAAAACAACATAGACTTGTCATGCCTATAATACACCCATCAGCAGCAAAGTGTTCCATGATAATCTATCAACAAACAAGCCAACAGTGAGGCTGATGTCCCCCGCCGAAATAGGAAAATAATTAGAGGACACATATAAATTTATCACAAATTATCTTTTACAAAGTATTGAACAATCAAACAGTATATCTTTACTTATAGTCTAACAATCAAAGTAGGAGAGTTATTGTTTTCCAAAGTCTCGACCAATCAAATTGCGTATCGCTCTGCTTACCCTGAGCAGAAAATGCTCATTATCAAACTTAGTCAAGGTATTACTGTAATGAAACTATACACCAAGTTTCATCAATCTCACTTAATTAGAACTAAAGTTATCGTGTCCCAAAGCATCAACCAATCAAATTGCTTATCTCTGCTTACCCTAAGCGGAAAATGCTCATCTTCGAACTCCATCAAGGCATTGACCTAATCAACACATACACCAAGTTTGAACATTCTAGCTCAATTAGGAAGAGAGTTATCGTGCCCCAAAGTATCAACCAATCAAATTGCTTATCTCTGCTTACCCTAAGCGGAAAATGCTCATCTTCGAAGTCCATCAAGGCATTGACCTAATAAACACATACACCAAGTTTGAACATTCTAGCTCAATTAAAAGTTATCGTGTCCCAAAGCATCAACCAATCAAATTGCTTATCTCTGCTTACCCTAAGCGGAAAATGCTCATCTTCGAACTCCATCAAGGCATTGACCTAATCAACACATACACCAAGTTTGAACATTCTAGCCCAATTAGGAAGAGAGTTATCGTGTCCCAAAGCATCAACCAATCAAATTGCTTATCTCTGCTTACCCTAAGCGGAAAATGCTCATCTTCGAACTCCATCAAGGCATTGACCTAATAAACACATACACCAAGTTTGAACATTCTAGCTCAATTAGGAAGAGAGTTATTGTGTCCCAAAAAGTGTGACGGACAGACAGACGGACAGACAGACGGACAGACAGACAGACAGACAGACAGACAGACAGACGGACGAACCCATTTTAATAGTCCCCTGCTTTCTTCGAAAGGCGGGGGACAATTACACAGAACAGATATAAAAAACACACTATGAAGTCTATCCCAAACCTCAATAGTCCAAGTCTTTAAAGTAAAGATAGCTCCACAAAATGTTGAAAATTTACTATCAAAGGTACTAACTAATTTATTATCAGAAATTGAAATTGAGTTCTTCACGATAATATACAATCACATATGGGCTTAAAAATAAGGGTTATAAAAATCAATAGGCTTATTCCTCTAATATATAACCACTCTGTATAATTATCAACTGAACAGATGATAACTTTAGTCTCCACAGAATCCCCAAGATTTTACTAAGTGATTTAGAGATATAACTCGACAGCAATCATCCAAAAATGTTGAAAATTAATTGTCGTCTTTGTGTCATCAAATGCACATTAAGTGCAACTTCTACTATAGTTGATTTTTCAGTTACTTACGATTTTTTGATTGCACTAGTTTCTTCTGATTCATTTTCATCCTCTTCTAACAACAGACGTAAATAATAATCACCTGTAAGATACATCACAAACATATAACAATTTCTTTCCTGAACAAGCTTGAGTTTCATTCTACATGAACTCTTATAATTATTTTAACGATAACATACAGTGAAACTGAATAACGTACTTCACAAGAAATAACGTAGATTGGAAAGGGTGTAAACATTTGCATGCACTTTGAAACTAATGTAATAATTTCTATTTACCTATTTTAATTTCTTCACTAAGACAGATGTAAGGTACTTCAAATTCCTGGTGATTCCAACCAATAACAAATGACTGCCCTAATTCTTTATCAACAGTAAAAGCCCTCATTTCATTTTCCAATGCATCACGTAACTCTTCTCTAGTCTGAAAAGAGGATAAAATTTTATTTTCAAATATAATGTGAGTCAGAGTTTAACTTTATCCAAGAAGCTTCTGGTGACTAGTTGGTTAAATAGTCCTAATAATAGTTTATCTTTTAGTTAGCTATATATTTATATAGTCCAAATACTAACACATATGAACCAGTTTCAATGTGCTTAACATACAATATCAGATTGCTGATTCAACAGGAATATGGCGGTATATAGGAAAGGGTTGGTTTTCCTAGTTGCATGTGAGCAAGAGTAATTTTCAATAGCTTTTATTTGAGGACTATTGTTATAAGATGATAGCTTTCTATTTAGGGCATTATAATTTTCTATTTGATTCTTTTTAACAGAGAGCCAGGAAGTCAGGTACTTTAGCAGTAAGAGCTTTAAATTAATTATAAACTCTGAATTTTATAATCTGCCAGTGGATAAAATAAAGCATTTTTGTAGTCTAGCTTAGTTATTCTGGTTAATGTATTTTAATGAGGTTTAGCTGATTGAATGTGATAATGATATCACGATAAATTAAAGGCATCACCCTCTACATACCTTATAATTCCATATTAAATTTGGTTTTGCATGATCTTGATTAAAATAGTAATAAAAAAGTTTCCAGTTGGCCTCACTTTTTATTCTTTCTCTTCGTTTCCGTAGAACAACAGGACGGTCGTTTTGCTGAAAAATATAAGTTCCAGATTTTACAGAGTACCGAAAAAGAAGTTTGCATAAGAATGCAAATTAAACACCAAAGTGTTAAAAAAAGCATACTTAATTTGCATAAACGTATCAGTTTAAAATACTGAGCCATTTAGACAGACTCAGAAAATGAGTTTGTAGGAATTTCGTAACAATTTTAGGCCCCTCCTCTAATATTTTTTTATTAGGTGACCTGATAAACTTTGCCATCGGGTAAACTAATGATAAAAGTTCTGTTATTATTGAAAAGTGTTAATATCATTGGTATGCTGAGTAAATATATCAGAGATTTCTCCTTTAATATGAGAAACTTGTAGCTTTGCATCAGTATTTGAAGTATAATATTATGAGATAAATAAATTTCCAAAACACTAACTTGTTTTGTTTTTTCTACACCCATTCGAGATTTCCAATGTTGTAAAAATTCATCAACTTTTTTCTCTAATATCACAAGTTGAGGATTTCTTCGATTTTTATTTTGTTCTGACTGAAAATAAAAATAATTTTAAACAATTTAGAAATTGTTGATTCCAGTCAGTAACATATCTACATAATTACAAATATATGGTTTTATACAGTACAGGCAGTTTAAAGATTTTGTGTCAATATATAAAAGTAAATATTAAGTAATCATTTCAATTTTCTAAATGTATGACAATACATCAATTATCATCTATATATTATGTAAATTATCTAACAAAAAGTACAATTTTATGGACACAACTTTTTGAATTTACTACTGTCTTAATCAAGCAACAGTTTAAAGGAGCTTAATCGCTAATATTCAGGACATAGAATCTGCCACAAATGCGCCGCAACGCATATAATAATATAATATGAATGTATATAAACTGATTTAAATTCAGTCGTTTCCGTTTTTATTCTAATTTCAAAACAGTTATGTTTGGCGAAATACGCCAAAAGTCTCAATCGAATGGAAATCTCAAGTGTCTGACTATTTGAGTCTACACCGATAGTATTTATTGCGCATGCTCTCCAGATAAGAATATAAGGTCACAGTTTGACATGACTTGTGGAATATGTCTAGCCTTGTTCTTCGAGTCCTTTGTTACAAATGGCGCTGAAACGCATTATGGTACACGATTCGAGTACCAATTTTAAAATGTTTATTTTGTCTTGAATATTGGATATCGGAAGTCCATCTTTTCCCGGTAAGATCACAACATCAGTGCTGATTTAAATTGACAAATAATTTGTGTTTTCGATGTGGAAGACTTTGAATGATATTGAGTTAGAGACTTAGCTACTTTAATGAGGTTTCCTGGAAAGTGGACAAACCTGAGCTAGTTTAACATTATCTCTGACATGTAATTTATCAACCTCATTTACTGGAACTTTATCAGATGAATCAAGATATGCTAAAAGTCCACTTGGCTGAAATATAAAAATACATTCTTATTTGGAGACATTAGACTCAGGAGATTATTTAATCATTTACTATGTAGAAATTTGATTAATTAACAAATAAAATCACAATAAAGATGTCGATGAAGTCAAGCATAAATACTTTGTGGCATGAAATTATTACAAATCATTCCATGGAAATTATATAGTGTTTGGCCATCTGGCAGAACACACTGCAGACAGAAAGTAAGCTAGATTACAATGCCTAGAAATAGTTAGAAAAAATAAAAGGAAATGACACTGAAAGCTAATTTTATTAGACAGTGCTTGATAAAACTTTACTTACTATAATTCTACGTAATAAACCCATAGCAGTAGGATGTCCAGTTACCCATAATCCCACTAAATGACGACTAAGTTGTCTGAAAATAATCAGTGTAAAGATTAAATTTTGGACAGACTTGTGCCTCTCTTTAATTCACTGTTTCGCTAATTAGCCATAAAATAAAATAAAAATTTGCCATTGCTTATTCCAAGACTTTCAAAGATAAGCCCATTTTACCCGTCATAAAATGATCAGATATCATAATAAGAAAAATGATATACTGAAACCTTGAGCAACCAGAACAGAAATATCAGAAAAATGATTCTTTGACTTAATATTATAGAACTTATCTCTTAAGATAAATGATGTACAAGAAGTCAAATTATATAATATACTATTCAAAAAAAGTAGGGGATATTTGATTTTTAAGTGTTATTAAAGTCACCTAATGAAACTGACGAAGAAAGAAATGACAAAATGAAATGAAGTTCACATTCATCGATTTATTCCAAATGATCGTTAGACTAAGTAAGGCACAGACTGACCATTATAAGGGTAAAATGATACCCGGGGTCAAACAGCAAAGTTACCACAGCATCACAACCAAGTCAGTAACGGGTAAATCCTCCTCTGTTTGCCAAACAAGCATTGATCCGACGTGGCATACTCCTAATGAGACGTCTAAGGTCATTTTGGTCCAGATTGTCCCATTCCTGTTGCAACGCAGCAGCAAGTTCTTGGACATTGGCAGGACGTTGTTGACGTTGACGTAACCTCTGTCCAAGCATGTCCCAGACATGCTCGATGGGGGAGAGGTCGGGACTCAGTGCTGGCCAAGGTAATGTGGTGATGTTCTGTTGTTGGAGGTAACCTGTAACGATCCTGGCCCTGTGACATCTTGCGTTGTCATCCTGGAAGATGAAACGGCGGCCATGACGTCGTGCGAACGGCACAACATGGACTGCCAAGATGTTGTCCCGGTAGTACTGGCCTGTAACACGCCCTGCAACAACATGTAAAGCTGTTCTTCCAGCAACAGTGATGCCTCCCCACACCATAACAGAACCACCCCCAAATCGATCATGTCTGATGACGTTAACGTCTTGGAAGCGCTCGTTTCGACGACGCCACACCCTCCTACATCTGTCCAAAAAATCAACAGTGAACCTTGACTCATCTGAAAACATCACATTGCTCCAGCGTCGATTATCCCAGTGTTGATGATCCCTACACCAACGACGTCTTGCCTGAATGTGATGATCTTTCAAACAAGTGATCACGCGAGGACGTCGGGCGACCCTTATGCAGTCGATTCCGAATCGTCTGGCCACTCACTCTCACACCAGTGTCTGTTTGAAGACGAGCGCTGATCTGATTTGCTGTGATGACACGATTTCTCAAGGCCAAGGTACGGATAAATCGATCCTGGGCTTGAGTTGTCGCCCTTGGTCGACCTGAGCGTGGTCTGTCCTGTACAGATTGTGTATCACGGTATCTGGACCATAGCCTGCTTATGACAGACTGAGAAACATTCATCGTCCGCGCCACAACCGCCTGTGTTGTGCCGATCTGTAGCATGCCAAGGGCACGTAACCTTTCATTTTGGGTAAGCCGACGCATATCAAAATTTGTTTTCTGGTCACTAAAACAATTAAACTGATGTTTCCACCCTGGAATTCAATGCCACAATGACTGTAACATTCAAAGTCAGAGTCGTGCAAATCTTGGGTTGGACCCCCATGATGATCCCAAGCATCACCTGCATTCCATGCGGTAGCTATTGGTGCGTTTGGGCGTCACATGTAACTGGAAATGTTTCTTCTGTTAGGTTCTATAGTGACTTTTTTCGTAGTCATTTGCATATTTTAGTATTATGCCCCCAAAATCAAATATCCCCTACTTTTTTTGAATAGTATATATTGTTGTATAATATTGATTACCTATTTGTTAGCATTCTACTATCATTACTCTGTGTAAACATTGCAGTATGGAGATGTTTAGGTAATGCACCCTCAGCTAAAGCAAGATCCTGCATCTTCGCAGCTATTTCAGCATCTCCCTCCTAAAAATATTATATATATATTTGCTCTTACTTTACCATTTAAAAATTCAATGTTCACACAATGATTTACCGGTACTGCTTTTAGAGCGTTGAAGTTGTCATTGGTGAAGTCATATCTGAGAGTACCACTCCCAATAAATTTTACAAAGCATGTGGGTGTAGAAAAAAATAATTCTGCAAAATAAAAACAACAAACTAACAAGGGGACAAAAACCAAATGTATACCCTCTGATTACAGTAGGGGACTAATAATGAGAATATTTACCTCAATGATAGCTTTCATCACCATTCCTGCACCTTTTACAATGGCTGTTGATGGATGCTACAATAAAACAAAGGTAATGTTTTATAGTTATATCAACAACTAAACCTTCACTATACTCATTTATTACATATATAATGAAAAATTAATTCAAATATCTCAATAATAATTACCTGAAATAATTTAAAAATAATTCTACCATTTGCAGCCACCATTTCTAATAATGTGTCAAAATGGCTACCATCTGTTGTTTCACTGTATGGTGCACAGAGAGAAAAGGTCAAGAAATCTAGCATTGCTGATATAACTAAAGCACCGGTACTATGGACCTATAAAATCAACATCAATCATCATTAATAATATTAGATCTATTTTTTTTTTTGGGGGGGGGGGGGGAGCTTAAAATTTTTGAATCTGTTTATAATTTCTAGTATATACAACCACAACTGCTAGGTCAGTAACGAATATAACAACCTAATCAGTAAAAAACTACAAGATAAATTTTATATGAAATAAGTTACTTATAAAGCATTTATATTGATATTTTCTGAAGTTATACTTGTAATCATCAATTTTGATATTCAAGACTCGGTTATATAAGATATTGTTGAGGATTTGTGTTGAATTATACATACCACGTGGGAATGGAAGACTTCAAGAAGTTCTTGTAAAAATTTTCTAGATGAGAGTAAAGATGTTTTATTCATTTGTTCCTGACGTAAATCATAATCATCGTGCATTGGCTGAAATAAAATTCCATCATAAACATATTACTTTTATATTTCTAAAATGGTAAAAATAATGTTAGCATTGGTTATGATAGACAATTTGAAATACAACCCTGTCCAATTCAAAGCTGGAAAGTATTGATGTCACTAACGCATTCTTGAATTAATAATAGTATTTGAACGATGGACGTAGCTGTAATCATTATCTCCGTACAGAAACAGATAGACAATATCCTTCAACAACAGATAGTCTTTATCAGACTAAATTTGGGTTATTTATTGACTGATACAAAAATAATTTTAGATGTGCATAAATCACCTTGGCTGTCAAACCTACCCTGATTGGCCCTAAATCAGTCCTACAATGCTCATGTATACACAATATTATTGAAAATAGATGGTAATTATCGATGTTATTGCACAGAAACTATCAACCATTCCAATTTCAGGAACTTCATTAAATATCACATAATATTGTTGGGGGTCAACACACGCTGAGCAGTCTTACAAAGCATAACATGGAAAATATAAACCATGAGATTTGAGTAATAGACATCTATTATGTTGGCTATTATACTTAGCCTTACTCATCAATGAAAATTCTTAATACAACTATACCTGCATCAGGGCACATAACATATCTATGGCAGCATGCGTTACACCATCATTATTTCTTTTAAAAGCTTTAATTGTCTTTAAACCCACACATTCTCTCATTCTATAGTAAAAAAAAAACAAACAAAACAAATATCTTATTAAAAATAACATTCTTAGTAAAAAAAAAAAAATAGTTCAAGCCACATATTCTCTTATTCTATAGTAAAAAAAAAAAAAAAAATAAAAAAAAAATACTATCTTATTAAACATACACATTCTCACATTCTATAGTAAAAAAAAACAAACCAAAACTCCAAAACAATTAAAGAGACAATAATACACTGAATGAAATATATAATTTTAAACATGTTTTTTTTTTATACTTAGTTAAAGATATAACAAGCCAGATTGCTTACTGTCTGAGCACAAATATAAACAGAGCTTGTCAGACATTCTATGTAGCCACCAGCAGTAAAGTCGTATAGGTAAATCATTGTCAACAAACCTCACACATATTGTATCAAAATATCTATTTTGAACTGTATTAATCTGTAAAGATAGGTTGCCAGGCAACGAAACATACGCCCACAGCGTCTAAATCGTCCGAGCGGTCGACAAGGGTTGTCGCATATTTATTCCTTTGTAGGTAATTGGGGGCCTTTACAAGACAGTTCCATACAGATCAGATTATAATTTTTGCCGTTTGTGGATTCACAAGGTTCTACAAATTGAGACAAGGGTCTCAACTCTGGAAGTAATCTACAGAAATTGTTGGAATTTGACAGGCTTTTTCGTTTCACAAATTTAAATGATGCATATAAATTTCATACATATCGGATGAAAACATTCATCAATCGAGCATTAACAAGGTTGAACAAAGTGAAACAAGGGGCATAACTCTAGAAGTAATAAACGGAAATGCTGAAATTCAATAGGCTTCTTTGTTTCCCTAATTTAAATATTGCATATAAATTTCACAAAGATCGGATGATAACTTTTGGCATTAGAGCGTTCACAAGGTTCAATAAAGTGAAACAAGGGCCATAACTCTAGAAGTAATACACAGAAATTGCTGAAATTCAATAGGATTCTTCGTTTCACTAATCTAAATAATGCATATAAATTTCAGAAAGATAGGATGATAACTTTTGGGGTTAGAGCGTTCACAAGGTTAAACAAAGTGAAACAAGGGCCATAACTCTAGAAGTAATAAACGGAAATTGCTGAAATTCAATAGGCTTCTTTAATTTGTTTCCCTAATTTAAATATTGGATATAAATTTCACAAAGATCGAATGTTAACTTTTGGCATTAGAACGTTCACAAGGTTCAACAAAGTGAAACAAGGGTCATAACTCTGGCAGTAATTATTGGAAATCACTGAAAATCAATGGGCTTCTTCATCTCACTAATATCAACAACATATATCAATTTCAAAACAATCAGATAATAAATATAGTCTGTAGAGTGTTCACAAGAAATTGTTGACGACGGACGGACGGGGGTGACGGTAATATAAGACCACATTTCCAATGTGGGCGTATAAAAATGAAATGAAATGAAATGGGGTTTAACGTCCTACTATTTTGCTCCGAACTGGGCAAATGAAGACGGCTAATCTTCAAAAGTAAAATGTGAACAATCTAAAAAAACGTGAAAGACGCATAAAAGTGTTATGATCTGAAATTAACACTTTATTTTAAATTCATAATGCTAATGCAAAGAAAGGATTGCTTACTTGGGTAATGTAATAAAAGCTGAAAATCCTGCCTTAGATGCAACAAGTCTACGTAAAGCTTGAAACTGTGCCTGTAATTGTTCGTTACTAATAGTAGATTGATCTCCTTCTCTCTCCAATAAACCAGTTAAAGCTGCATTAATTAACTTCTCTTTATTCTTAGCAAATAAACCCTGATAAATAAAATATAGTTTGCAGGTCAATGAAACATGGGCTATGTCCACATATAGCAGCTGAGTTATCCAAGCAGTCCTTAAGGGACAATAAAAGGTATTCAATGCACAATAATATATTAAGTAATTAGCAACAGTCGTTACTATCTGATAAACTTCTTTCCAGCACAGAAATAAACGATACATTAAATTCCAAGTAGATTAAGTGACAACTTGAGATTAACTCAAAGTAAATATCATAAATTTATGGATCAACAGGCTTCGTCATCTAATGAACATAATTACTGTGTACAAATTTCAGGTCAATAGACTAATGATAACTTTAGCTTTCACAGCCATTACAAACTTTTGTAAAGTGATCAAGAGCATTAACTCTAAAAGCAATTGTTAGAATATATAGCTACATTTCAATTCTTAAAAAATACAATGAATTGGACATCTACAAAGTGAACAAGGGCTATATTAAATTCAATTAAATTGTTGAAATTTGAAAGGGTTCTTAGTTTCACTAATCTCAAAATTTAAGTCATCAAGGGCAATCACTCTTGAAACAATAACCAGATATTACTAAAGTTCAGTAGGCTTGATTGACTCACAAATAACAACAACATACATAAATTTTAATAGTCTTAAGAGTGTTCAAAAGAAATTGCGGATGACAAATTTGTGCGATAACAACAGATTTCTTATTTTATAGTATGTTAATTGGTTAACCATTCAATTATTAATACTGATTAAAGATTTACTTACATCTTGTGTAACAGCATGAAGTAAACCACTATATGATACATTAGCATTAAATCTGTGTACGGCTTCATCAAACGACATTCCACCTGAATACATATACATTTAACCATTAAAGAATTACCAATCCATAAATATTCAGCCATCAATTGAAAACTATCATAATCTTTAAGTGGCTTTTAGTGATTGGGAAACACAATAACAGAACACAATTTTTATGGGAACAATCACTAGTTTTTATTCCAAGAGCATGACATTTCGACTAGTATGATAACGAGAAGAGGATACTTGTTGAATTGCCACGCTTATAGAATAAAACCGCGGACTCTTTCCCATAAAAATTGTGTTCTGTTAATTGAAAACTATCAGTTATAAAAAATAATGATAGAGTAAATTTACCCTAACCTGACGGTTGCTGTATAAACTTTAAATGTTGACTTTCTACTTCTTCATCTACAGGTACTGTGAATGGACCTTAAAATACACATACATAATAAACAATACAAGTTCAAACAAATTCTCTTTCATTAATTGATAAGTTTGTTTGTCTACATCACTGCCAGCAATGAAAATTATGCACACCAGCAGTTGTGTCCTGACAACAAAAAAAATGGTCCAAATCTTAATGCTTTCACTGCGACAACTTCTGGTCTTTTTTGATTTTGAAAATTATGAGCTGAATATCAATATATTGTATGTTACTTTTGTTAACGATGTCTGAAAATTTTGATCCATATAATAAAACATGTAAAGATATATATGTATATATTATACTACTCTGACTTATTACTTTGAAAGTCACCAATTTTCAATCAAAAAATATATATGAATTTTGTTGGGGTTCCTATCTGTTTATTTGAACATGACTGACGTTTCAGGAGTACCAGTACATCAACAATCTTTGAAAGAAATTTTGGAAATTGAGACCAAATGTGAACAAAACTTATATTGCTATCACCAGCTTGGTTTAATTCTCTATTTTGGGTCCCTTCAATCGTAAACTAGGAAGTTTTGACATTTGTTTCAGAAAGCTAACTATGAAAAAAAATTTCCTAAATATCTGGAATTATTATAAAATATCACAAATTCATTACATATGTTTAATTAGAGCAATCATTAATGAAAATAGTTAAGATATTTTTCCAAAATTTGGAGAATTGCCATGGTCTCAATCGATATAAACTTGACAAAGCCTCCATGATAAAAACATTGGTGAATAAATAGTCATTTAATCAATATAAAGATGATGCAACAATGTAAAATATGATTTTCATAAAATATACCTTTATACGCAAGGGGGGTTGGATGGCCAAATAGTTAGCATGTGGTGCTGTATCATAAGGTCTGTCATTGAGTCAACTGGCGTGGTTTCGATTCTCTGGTTGTACGTGACAAGGATTAGGATCGCCTATTAAACCTCGTGGGTTTACTCTGGATCCTCCGGTTTCCTCCCACTGCTAAAGACCCCAACGAGCAAGCGAATTATTGAAATAAAATTGAACCATGCATTAGTCCCGAAATGACCTAGTTTGTGTCGAGTGGACGTTAAACCCCATCTCTCTCTTTATACGCAAGAAAATACATACCTAATCTAAATCCCCGATAGGTTGATGTCATTCTAACACATACATCTCTATTACCAGATGCTCTTACACCATCTAAAATAGATGCTATCAATGCATCCCTGTAATATAATTTAATATACACGACTAAAGTGTCAACCTTCTGTTTGTAAATATAGATCAAATTATTGTTTGTAGTCTTTGGTAAAGACGAAACTTTTACAGAAACATCATTGTGATTTGAGTTGTGGTAATAAATTGTATATCAGTACAAAAAATGCATGTTATTTTCTATTCTTGAACAGATCTTCCCTATTAAAAAGCACTGACTTCTAATTAGTTTGTCCTATATAACATTATCACTACCACGATCAAGACCCCCAAAATGAACCATATGTTTGTCCAGAAATGACATAGTTTCTGTTTTGTGGATGTTAAACCCCATTTCTCTCTGGTGTTTATTTAGCTGAAATAAGAAGTTAATAAGATATTATCTTACCTATCAGTTGATAAATATGTTCTAATTGTACCTTTAACATATTCTATACTAAATTTCTGAGGATTATCAGGATGGCGAATTAAAGCAAAGACCTGAAAAAACCCCAAGGAATTTAAATTACAGAAGAAGATAATGATATTGATCTTCAGATTACACAATACAATAACATTCTACTAAAAAACAGACAATATCACAGTAATACAACAACATTCTACTAAATAACAGACAATATCACAGTAATACAACAACATTCTACTAAATAACAGAAAATATCACAGTAATACAATAACATTCTACTAAATAACAGACAATATCACAGTAATACAATAACATTCTACTAAATAACAGACAATATCACAGTAATACAACAACATTCTACTAAATAACAGAAAATATCACAGTAATACAATAACATTCTACTAAATAACAGAAATGAAACGAAATGGGGTTTAACGTCCTACTGTTCTGCTCCGAACATGGCTAATGAAGACAGGCATATGCCATACAATGTGCTATGAGGGAAATTTTGCAGAGACAGAGACACTACGGCCTACTCTTATATCGAATTCCAACTGTCAAGGGATCTTTTACGTGCACGTCAATGTGACACGGGACCTCGGTTTTTTGTCCCATCCGAACGACTAGACAGCTGTCCTTGTACTAAATAACAGACAATATCACAGTAATAAATGTTAATAGCTATGAAAAATACACATAAAAAATACAACTTACATCACATAGTGGTTTAAGTGTAACAATATTATATGTAGCTGGATCTCTTTCAACAAGACATGTCTCTGTAAGACAGAGTGTCCGTCGTACATTATCTGAATGACGTATAGAAATTTTCTGCACAGTAAACTCAGCATAAGATGTAAGAGCTTCATCAGAACTAGAACAATATTAAAATACTTAATTGCCAGCATTCCAATATAATACTGTTTATGTTGAAAATATGTAAATTTGCACAATGTCCCCATAAAACATCTTGTATCCCACCACCAGATTAGGAGAAGAAGTCAACGTTTTCAAAACAGGGGTCATAACAAATAAATGAAATGGGGTTTAATGTCTTACTTTTCTGCAGAGACTCGGCTAATGAAATAGAGAGAGAGAAATGGGGTTTAACGTCCACTCGACACAAACTAGGTCATTTTGGGACCAGCATATGGACCTGGAGGACCCGGAGAGAAAACCCACAAGGTTGGACAGACGACCCTACTAATTGTCATGTACAAGCGGGGAATCGAAACCACGTCACTTGACTCAATAACAAGACATCATGATCCAACGTGCACACGTCGTTAACCATTGGGCGATTCTGTCAGTCTGTATATTAATGGTTTATTTGACTTATCTCACCTATATTTTCCCATACGACGAGTTTGAGCTTGTTCAAAGGTGATCGGGTCCTTTCTTTGTTTTATGGCAACACCAACATAATTAGCTCCACTCTCCATTATATTTTTTATTAAGTCATCTTTTTGTTCTAGAGAGAAAAAATGCTGGAAACACAGAGATGTGATTTTAATAAGGAACCATATTTAATAGAACAAGTTTGTCTTACTATTATATATTACATACTCTTACTAAAATATTCAATACAATACAAAATACAAGTTACACAGTTTATATTACTTAAAGTCTCTGATGCTGATTTGAACGAAATTGTAAAAATTGAATCAGTCCAAAAATGGTTCTATTCCTTTAAGTATTCAGTATTTATAACGATGTGAAGAACTGAAAATCCTTTGATCTAAGCTACTCCTTATGTAAATGGTACACTGACATCTTTATGTTTTGCGAAATCTAATTGATTGGCCTGTTTTAACTCCAACTGAACCAACAAGTTAATATATTTTGACTTTGTTTTCTTAATTAAATATTGTGTAAAATAATTAATTTAAGTACGTATTAGAGCGGACTAAGCCTTGAGGAATTTGATATTTTCCGAAAAATGCAAATCATGCATTGTTACTTTAAACTTTCACTGTAAAAAACTAGATTAAAAAACTGTTAAATCATCGTACAATCATGTTCCGGAATGCAACAGTAATTTAATTTGAAGCATCAGAAACAATTAGAGAAAGTAAACCGTCACATATTTTTAATTGTTCTCAAAGATATATTTTGTGAGGCAATTTAGAATCTGCTGATTAATATGTAGGTGTTAGTACATTTATGAAATTATTATATAATATATTACCAGTCGACTAAATCCACCATATATAATAGCCACACCACCAGGCACATCAGATATCTAAAAAACAATACAGCATCACTTACACTATTCACAATCACAAGGTATTTACACCAACAAATTAATCTGAGCCAAAGTTATTTATGATATTTAATGTCAACTGAACACAACTAGGTAATTTCAGGTGATGGATCATGAACCTGAAGCAACGACCTTGACTTTTACAACATCTAGTCATTGCTAAAATAGTCTGAAATTCTCAAACTTTTAGGTACGTTAACTCCCTTTATAACAGACACATGAATTAAAACTTGTCCAATCAGAGGTTGTGATACAAACAAATACCCAAAACAAACATGGCAACCTCCTAGGAAAAAGGCATAGGTTAAGTTTACAGTCGAAAAACAAATGGAAACCAATCAAAGCTGTTTATTAGCTTGAAAACCAGCAATGGCAAGTCTCCTTATGAATGAGTTCGGGTAATTTCCAGCAACTTTTAGACACTGAATGAATCTTGAACTTTACAATTCAATTATCACAGGTAGAGATTTCAATTGAAAAGTGGGAGACTTGGCATCCATGAGATTATCTATCCAGGAATCTTTGAGGTCATCAATCGAAATTAGTGACCAAAAATGTTGAGTCTATTGAAGACGGTTATATATCTGATAATTAGCCAGTATTGCGAGAATAATTAAAACATTAAGCAGACAATTCTACTCCTTGTTCAGCATATTATTACTTTGCCACGTCATATTACTGCATGTTTTCAAGAACTAATAGAAAGATTGAAATCTTCCAGGGGTATGCTGTGTTAAACTACAAATACTGAGTAAATTCAACTAACCTGAGCTAAACCTTCAATATCTTTATAATCATACGAACATATAACTTTATTTGTAGCCGGGTCTATCTGGTCTAACGAACCATGGTTGATTTCTAGTATTAGCGGAACACGATTGTCAGACCAGTGTAGTTTATATGCATTAAATCTCTAAAAATAGAAATAAATGGTAAATATTCTGACAAACCAGCGGCTGCCAGGCAGGATAAGCCCACATTTTGCAAAAGATGGATAGAGAACAAGCTAAACAAAGATAGGTTGCCAGGCAACGAAACATACGCCCACAGCAGCTAAATCGTCCGGGCAGTCAACAAGAGTTGTTGCATATTTTTACTTTTTTCGGTAATGAAACATTTATAATACACTAAAATCTGATTAAGAGCAACAACTCATGAAGTAATTATCAGAAAAGTATTAGAATTTGTTTGGTTTTTATAAAGTTCTGCCCCATGCTAATGTTTTGTATACAAAGCTTTTAATATCATAGATTTAACTGTTAAAGTCATAAAAATTCATTGAAAATCAATATAATTGTTCGTCTCAGAGCCTTTAGAGCTTCACAATATTTTGCAAAATGATCAAGGGCCATAACTTTGGCAGTAATTATCGGAAATCGTTAAAAATCATTAGGAATCTTCCTCTCATGACCTCAAACACTGTGTATAAATTTAAAGTCAATCGGATATTAACTTTAGCCTCTAGAGCATCCACAAGATTTTTTGAAGTGATCAAGGGCCATAACTCTGGCAGTAATTGTCGAAAATCAATAGGCTTCTTCGTCTCATGACCTTAAACACTGTGTATAAATTGAAAGTCAATCAGGTATTAACTTTGGCCTTTAGAGCGTCCACAAGATTTTTCAAAGTGATCAAGGGCCATAACTCTGGCAGCAAATATCGGAAATCGCTGAAAATCAATAGGCTTCCTCGTCTCATGACCTTAAACACTGTGTATAATCGGATATTAACTTTAGCCTATAGAGCGTCCACAAGCAATTGTGGATGCCGGGCGGACGGACGGGTGTGACAACAATATACGACGACATTTCAAAGTGGGCGTATAAAAAGCGATTTTTCGTACAATCAGGGGGCATAATTCAGGAAGTTACGATCCGATATGCGCAAATATCGAAAGGAACCAAGATCTTTGGGTTATAAACTTACATTTCAAGTTTCATCAAAATCAGAAGAAAATTGTCGCCTCTAGAGGATCCACAACCTTGATACACCATATTTTTACGCTATTTGAGAACGAACGGCGGCCATTTTGTCTGTCAATTTTGGGTCGATTTTCACGAAATTCGAACTCAACCTTCCTTAGGGTGTAACGGTGATATAATAATATGTTTTTTTAAATCGGATAAAAATTATGACCTCTATAGGGTCCACAAGTTAAAAACGAGATTTTTCGTACAATCAGGGGCCATAATTCAGGAAGTTACGGTCCGATATGCGCGAATATCGAGAGGAACTGAGATCTTTGGGTTATAAACTTACATTTCAAGTTTCAAAAAAATCGGATAAAAATTGTGACCTCTATAGGGTCCACAAGCTAAAAACGTGATTTTTCGTACAATCACTGCCATAATCCATGAAGTTTCGATCCGATACATGCCAATATTGAAAGCAGCTGAGATCTTTTGGGGATAAACCTATATTTCAAGTTTGGTCAAAATCGGATAAGAATTGTGACCTGTAGAGAGTCCACAAACAATTGTGGACGTCCGGACGGACAGGGGCGACGGCATAATACGTCCACATGAAAATGTGGGCGTATTATAAAATGATTATAGACTTTCTTGAAATTAGTAAAATTAGTAAACAATATTAAAGTAACATTAGAACTTAATGGCACAAAGGTCTTCCCACTGATGCAGGTATACAGTTCTATACTTTAAATTATTGTGGTATTTTGCACTGATCAAAATATGGTTTTACAAGTCTGAGGGAATAAAATAGTACACTGTAGGTTCTTCTTCAATACTAACTGTACAGAAAACTACTGATCTTGAAAACAAATGTTTAGTGTGGAAAAATTAATAGGTTTGAAATTTAAAATAGGGTTGAAATTTAATAGAGATCCTAGCTTAACAATCCTAGGTATTTTCTGTAATCTCATTAGGTTTGTAAGAATTTATCAACAATACACTCACTTTCGTTGTCGTGTTTACTTCCGCAAATTTATTTCTGAATCTCTGAAAAAAAAAAAACAAAAAAAAAACAATCAAGACCCCAATTTTTTTAATTAACAATTTCAGATTTTCCATACTTTAGTTGAAATGGTGGTAATCAATCTTTATGTTTCTTTTAAATAACCATGAAGCTGCTCGACTTTTATTACACATCCGAACAAACGATTAGATGCTTTCACGGCCAGACCATCTTTCTTGTATTAAAGAAAAGGGAGGAAACCAGACTGAAAAATCCTGAGGAACTTTCTAAATTGGGACTGAACCTGGGATCTCCTGGTTAGCGATGAGTCAACGGCATACACATTGAGCCACTTTGGCTTTTAATAAGTTATACAAGGTTTGACTTGATATTGTGCCATACTCATTGATCTGATTTATAATATAATTAAAATACTTACCAGAGCTTCTGTTAAAAGATCTGCTCTATGATCTGTAGAAAACTTCATGTTGTCTGTTTTTTTGCCTTTACGCATGGTAATAACAAATTCACTATTGGATGGGGCTTTGACTGTGGGTACAATACTAATAAACTCATTGTATGGCCACTGAAATCATATTATAAGATGATGAAAAACAAACCAATATCCAAAACTATCTCCCATCCCCGACTTTGTGAATTGATCTAATGATGAGTGTAAACTGGTGACAACAAATGTAGATAAGATATAGCCATGGAAATATGAAATTAGTAGAATGAGATTTTATAAAGTTTTAAACATATATGTAAATATACTCTACCTGATTAGTTATTTCCATAGATTGAGGATTATAAGTTGTTATGCCATGAGTTCCCACAGAAAAAATTCTCTTGTACCTAAAATAAAGTCAATTTCAACACATTCTAAAACAAAACAGTCATTACCCAAGGACTTTCATCGCCTACCCTGTAATATTGTGCTGGCATGATATATTGTTGAAAATAATGTATTTTTGTAGGTCATTTTGATTCAATTTTATAACAATAATTCGCTTATGCGCTTGGGTCTTTAGCAGTGGAAGTAAAATGGAATATTTGTAAAGCACCAATCCATCAACAAATGCATGCTCTATTATACCTTATTCAATCTCAAGGTACGAATCATGATATGAATTAGTGCAAAACAACACACATTGTATGCTCTTAACATTTTTGGTGCTACATGTCAAATTTTCTTGATAAGATCATGCCATGTGCCAAAAGTTTTTAAAATTATGGTAAAGCAAACCTCTCATTTTTGGAAGGTTAATGCTAATACCAATTTCAATTTATTTGTTCTGGAACCACAGGGCTTTGTTGTCCGAGCAGTTTACAAGGTGTCAAAAATTTGATTCAACTTATATAAAGAGCCAGATATATGTTCTTAGTACATTTTACTTGTTATTGGGCGATTGGAATGGCCTAGTGTTGTGCTTCAAGCCCTAGCAAGTCGGTTACTTCTGGTTTGTGGTTGTGGTTTAGATCCCTGGTGTGAGTGTACATGTATGTTGCTTGGAGAGAGTGAGGGGGGGGGGCTTCTTAACCTCGTGGTGTTAATCCACTTTGTTCCCAATAAAAAAGGCTCTTGCGCATGTGCTGAATACACAAAAATAAAACAACTTGTCTGCGATATCACACTCGGTGGAAGCTGAAGTTAAACCCTACGAACAACAACAATTCGTCATTGTACAAATGTACATTATTAGGCTTGTTAGTCTCTTAGTTTATCCTTTTTAACCTGTGTCTGTTTGTTTGTCTGTTTCTGTCTAGTCTTTCTTACAACTATCATTACTTTTTTGTAAATACTTATCATGTATAATTTGTATTACATGTATTTTCAATATCAATTCGGTGGACAACGGTCTGACAGAATGATGGACACAAGTGATAACATTAAACCTAAGGGCTAAATAACAGAGTACAAACATACTTTCCCTTCCATGAGTGCTTTGTTATAAAATAACAAGCAATGTCTTGATTTTCTTTTAACAAACTCATTTTAACCTAAAATTAGAAAATATACACATGTATTATGGGAGATTTCACGTCACACTTTTCTGCTCCATCCTGGCTAATGTGGGGCTTATGTCAAATTTACAACTGAGAGCAGCTAGCTTCTACTGACATTAACTGAAAATGTTCGACTGAGCACCTCTTTCAACTGAAAGCAGTTGCTCATGTTTAACTTTCTGCAACTCAGTTTAACTAGCAGGAACTAGTTGCCGAAAACATGAGTTCTCTTACAACAGACTTTAAATCGTTTCCATGAAAACAACATCTCATGATGAAAGGAATATAACATGTGCTTTTGATTTGCTGAACCCAATCGATAACCTGCATTCTGCGACCTGGCGTTCCAGAGTTACACCCAATATAACAAAAGTGATACCGGCTGTGGTTTTTGAAGATTTGTTTCAAAATTGTTGTTGAAGCAATCGATATTCAACATTTTTCAACTTTTTGTTCATGTGATAGATAATGCTTCTTTAAAATGAAGAATCATGTTACCCAGATCACAAGAAACATTATAGTAAGTATCCTCAACATATAAATTTGTTTTCTGTACCTGTTGAACTAATCCTTAGAAAATCTATGACTATTTATTGACAAAACAAGTCTGCAGTCACTAATATTATTATAGCCACTACCTGACTATTATGAGTATGTGGACATGCTTGATTTTAAATGGCAGTTATATAGACAGTCATTATTCTTAGAAAGTAATTATCGAAAATAGACAGACTACAGAGTATATTGTGACTATCTGTCACATCCAGACCCGGATTAAAAAGGGGGAGTGTCGACACATCACTTACTTCAACAAATGAAAACATTGCACCGACAGCATTTAAAATGCTTGACAGATTACTACAGTGACAATGCCTTGGTCCTAGCTATACTTACACGTCTTGGGAGGGCAGATAAAATGCATGGAAAGTGCTAATTGTATTTATCACTTTAATAGTTGGACATAAATTTAAGAATGAACTTCCAATTTATCTGAAAAAGCTGCCATGACGGTCAGCCACTTCCGGCTTATTTAGATTCTGCGCAATCGTATTTGAGTTACCGTTATATCACGCGAGAGAGAGAGAACGGTTGTTTGCGCGAGGTTGAGTTCCTGACAACCGAGAGAGACAAGAATACTGATATTCGCCCGGTGTGTATAACGAACCTATATGTGGTTTATAGCATTTATACACTGTTTCGGGATAATATTAGACAAGCTCACAGAAGGTAACCTGTAGAAATCGTACGTTATCTAGATGTGTTATATTAATTTACAGGCAATTTTTGTTTTCTAAAAATATCTAGATCTACTTATAAATCTAGACATCTTCATAATGTTGGACAAGGATTTTATTATGACGTCAAAATCTTTTGCCCTTTTCTACATACAGGCGCATGTATGAAAAATCTCTTTGTAAAATAAAGTTGAAGATGTAACCTGATTATTTATTACGGTACTAGTTGTCCTATAAATTGGTCGTAAGAAAATCGCGTTTTTAGCTTTCGGAGACTAGGCCAAAATTTTTATTTGATTTTTTAATTTTTAAGAAAAACGTTCAAATATACATGTATCACCATTACACCATAATTCGTGATAGAGTTCGAATTTCTTGAAAATCGGAACGAAACATTCAGTCAAAATTGCCGTTATGTATACAATACATTGTATTTAACGCTAACCCTAGCCCAATTTGTGTCCGATTTATGTAACTTTAAATATACTTTTACACACCAAAGAATTTCCCCGGAATTCCAACCCTTTAAAATACTTTAATACAACAGCTTGAAAGTGGTCTAAGATATAGCCCTATCTATGTGTTTTTGCAACCGAAATCCCACTCTTTGTCGAAAGGAATTCCAATCAACGAATGAATCAGATTGTTTCAGTTGCATCCTCCGGACACCAGCAATTTAAACTCACTAAATGATGATGCCCGACAAAATTCTCGTTTAGAATCCATGGAGCCGCGGCCTGTGAAACCGTTCGCACGCGAGCGCCGAAACAAAATTAATAATGACGATGCCCCCAAAAAATGTCGGACATAAAGCGTAGTAACTACTGTTTATTACACTGATTTTAAATGCTTAAAAGTTTAATACATTATTTAATTTAATTAAAGGAATTACGATTCACGAAAGATTGATAAAAAAGAAATTAATAATGGTCGATACCCGACAAATGTCGTACAGAGCAGAATAGCTCCAGACAAATCTGTTCAATACAGCAGAAAGTTCTCGTTGTTGGGCTTTACACCTGTTGGCCCACATACATCAGTGGTGAATATTCCAATCTCTGAAAAGGGATGACACCGGGGCGAGTTAATTAGCTCTCAATATTTACTTTTTTTCTTCTGCAACAATTTTTTTAAATTAGTAAGAAGAAAAAAATGCAAGTGTTGGAGTTATATCTGGATAAAAAATATTTCTAATTTTGTGTAAATGGGTACATAAAATAGTACGCGAAGGCATAAAATGAGTAAAAGTATTATAATGCACTTGAACTTAAAGTAGCCAAGTCTCTAACCCAATATCATCCAAAGTCTTCGACACTGAAATCACGAATTATTTGAAAATTTAAATCGACATTGATGTTGTGGTCTTATTGGAAAAAGGTAGGCTTCTTATTTCCAATATTTAAGACAAAATAAACATTTTACCCTTGGCACACGAATCGTGTACCAAAATGTGTTTCAGTGCCATTTGTAACAAGGGACTCGAAGAACGAGGCTAGACATATTCCACAAGTCATGTCACACGGTAACGATATAGTCTTATCTGGAGAACATGCGCAATAGATACTGTGGGTGCAGACTGGAATAACCAGACGCTAGAGATTACCATTCGATTAACACTTCTGGTGTATTTCGCAGAACATAACTGATTTGAAATTAGAGTAAAAACGGAAACGATTGAATGTAAATCAGTTATACATTCATATTACATTATTATATTCGTTGTTTGTGTCAATTTCTAGGTCCCACATATTAGCGATTTAGCTCCTTGAAAGGGGGAAAATCACTAACGCAATCTCATCCACACCACAGTCTTCGACATTGCAAACATGTTTTCTTGGTCAATTTAAATCGACATTGATGTCATGTTACCGTGAAAAGATGGGCGTCTGATATCCAATATTTAAGACAAAATGAAAATTTTAAAATGCTGCCAAGCGCCATTTGTAATGAAGCGACTGAGTGAACAAGGCTTAACTTATCTCATAGAATATTACTGGAATAATCAGATGCCAAAGACTGCCATTCAATTGGACTATTCGCGTATTTCGCCGAACACAGCTGATTAGAAATTACAGTAAAAACAGAAACGATTGAATGTAATCAGTTTATATACATTCATATTACATGTTCGAGTCTCGTAATGGCTGATCAGTTCAAAGGTTATCGCAAAATTCGACTTGAAAATAGTGTTGCATTAATATAAATTTGTGTCACGATATACAGTAGGATCTGTACGAGCAGCCACTCCTATTCAGCGACATCTTGTAAGCGGCCACGATAAATTCCCCCCGTAGAATTTCTGTTGTTTCATCTCTTTAATCAACGATCACTCCTCTAACGCGACCAGCGGTCACTATTGTACTAATAAATTTAACAAAACATCGCCAATTCAACGGCCGTTGTTGGATGATACCATTTTGTACTTCTTCGCACCTCCGCTAATCCCGTGATTAATAGTTAATTATCTGGCCCCCAACCGATCAGGTAAAAAAGAACTGTGAAAATAACAATAAACCCAGGATTATCTGTAAATTAATCTTTTATTTTATTAAATGACAAATCCTGATCATTTTTTTCACCCGTAACGAAATATTATTTGATACTGATTGAATAAACTAAAAGTACCCTCAAAGCCGAGTTTTGTCACGATCATCTAGTATCTATTCTCCATTGCCACTTTGTTGCTAAACAGAAGTTTTAGCGCCTCCTGTATTACATACACCCCTTGAAAATCGGTGACAATTCAAAGATGTATTTTTTGACATGTGCTTTTTCGATAAAATAACATTAATTCATGGATTTTCTTCACAAAAATGGATAGATATTATCGAATACATCACAATGGTAGATGGTAGAAGTAGTATCAATGTTGGTACAAAATGACACGTCAAAGAATTTTCGTTCCATGCAAGTTTCAGCGACGGCCAAATTTACCGATGCAAGTATTGATGTTTGCTCCCAATGCATCTGTACCACCTAAAACAGATTTGGAGTTTTTCAGTACCGCGACGGGAATCATGAATGACCACTGCCAGACAATTTGTGCGGTGGGTTACCCCTAACAGACACGCCCAAAAATGCCACGCCCCCATCTAGGATAGATTAGCCGACACTGTTCCCGTGGTCCAAAAAATTAAAAATTGTGCCAGGATGCATAGAATACTAATACCTAGCACGTATGGAAGAGGCGATAAACTGCGGTTTCATGAAACCGAAAATAGTTTTCGCACCATAACTCCGAAACCGGAAGTGGGAGTCCATCGTCATCAGGCCCGTGTTACTCCTCAGTCCGAGCTACCCATATACACCAAATTTCAGACAGACAAATAAACGAGTCACAAATACATGTATTAGTATCAGATTGCATATGAAAAAAAAATGTTCGAAAATAAGTTGTAGACTGAAATAAAGGAATGTTTATTTAAAGGTTATTAAGACCACTCGGATCAGCAATAAGTAAAGATTCGCAGGTAACATCAACGTAAAGTTAAGCTTAGGCACATAGGAGAGACTGCAATAATAAATACCTATTATATTTGGTCCAAAAAAACCCCCCCGAAACATCCGATTGCATAAGTCTTATTAAATGTGCACAGATGACGTCGATGTTCGAACTGACGGTGACCGTCATTAATGATTGTATATTTCACTTTTTTATCATTATCTATTCATTATAATTTATAACTGTAGGTAGATTTTAAAGTCTCAACCAATCAGATTGCGTTTCAAGAGGTGTGGCGGAGGGAAATGAAATTGGAACGTCCTACTGTTCAGCCCCGAATGGGCTAATGAAGATGGGCATACGCCCTTCAGTGTGCTCTGAGAGAAATTTTTGCCCGCCATACCCGGACAGCGGCGCTATGGCCAACTCTTATATCGAGTTTCAACTCCGGACAGCGGCGCTATGACCTATCCGAACGACTAGACAGCTGTCGTTGTCAGGCCCTCCGCCCTGCATCACTGACAAGGGGAAACCACGCTGGAAACTCACGACGAACTTCCTCGGTCAATACCGGGAGCGATCCCGCGATCGCCAGGTTAGTGAGCCAGCGTCGTACTCACTTAACCACCGTGGCTTCCCAAGTATAATAGGGCATACATTTGTTGTTGTCCATTGCCAGGTCCTCGGTCCTGCACCATTGACATGGGGGAACCACGCCGGATAATCCAAATTAACTTCCTCGTCCTCGACCAACATCCTGACAATGAGGGATGAACGGGTGTAACAAATTTAATAGACCTCCGCAAAAAGAAAATGGCAAATTATATATACCCATTAAATAGACCCACAGAACAATATATAGCAATCTATTTAATTAATATTATTCTTTTTACATTGCTATATTTAGAGTTTATTTTGGATGCCAAGTTGCTCCCATACATCCGCCATCATGAAATGCAGCACACTGTGTTTGTATTGACGTCCCCGGAGCCAAGTTTTTGTTACCACCCTGTAGTATATTTTCAATTGGCAAGATTGTTATAGGTATACATAATAATGGAAAAATAGTCGGAGTTACGGGTGCACACATGTGACTGTCGTTGAACGCACAAGATGACTCGCGTGCTAAGGCTGTCCGTGGTATAGAAATGTCTTTTATTTTATTTATTGGCTTTGTCTGTGTGGCAAACGATCTTGTGTGATTTTCAACTTCTACATAATTCGTTTGTGTAGACACAGTTCTCATTGAAGGTCTTTTAGAATTGTTTGGTTTATTTGTTCTGGTTAAACGTGTATTATTATTGTCAGGGGTATCGAAATAGCACACAGTTTGCGTTTCTGGAGAATTCGTCACCCTCACCCCTGTTTCTGAAGTCAGTTCTCGGGTTATTGTTCCAAGCCTCTTCAAATCTTCTATACTGCAAAATTGACGGGTTTTCGCGGGATTTACCTTCCCAGTCATTGAACTGTTAACCACAGGATTCAGCGACATATGTACCGAACTTTCAACATTCGAAATTTTATTAGTGTTTCCCGGACTGTTTGAAGAACTAGAAACATTTGCAAATTGACCTGAAGATTGATTCGAAATATTGGTAGTTTGACAGGGGATATCAGCCAGTTGATTAGATAAATTAGTAAACCGATGAGGATCATCACCCACTTGATAAATGTAACTAACTGTGGAAGAATCTGTAATTTGATTGGGCAAGACGTGCTTTGTATTACAGTGCAATATGTCACACTCTGTAGACGGAGTTACATCAGGTGAACAGCTTATAGTCTCGGCATTTCCAACACTTTTATATAATCTTTGTTCAGGGTTTAACTCGTAATCCGACATTTCCAATATGTCATTACCAAGGTCTTGATAACTTGTAGACGGAATGTCTTGGTAACATGTAGTCAGTATTTCTTGGTAAATTGTAGTCGGTAGTTCTTGATAACTTGTAGTCGGTATTGTTTGATAAACACCGTCTTGATAACTTGTAGTCGGTAGTTCTTGATAACTTGTAGTCGGCAGTTCTTGATAACTTGTAGTCGGTATTTCTTGATAACTTGTCGGTATTTCTTGATAACTTGTGGTCGGTATTTCTTGGTAATATGTAGTCGGTATTTCTTGATAAGTTCTCGGTAATTCTGTGTAACATGTAATCGGCAGATCTTCGCAACTTGTTGGTAATTCTTGGAAACCTGCAGTGGGTATTTCATGATAACTTTCTTGATAACTTGATTTCGGGGGCCACTGTGTACCACCAGAAATTGAGTGCAAATTATTATCTGGGCTGCACAAAATATTTTCAGAATGTCTTAATAATTCAGGAGCCTGATTGACACCATCTCTGGGAGGAGAATCGATTCTCACCAGTACAGTCTTCTGTCGTGATTTTGGAGTCCCATAAGAGCAGGTACTGTTAGTGACAACTTTAGGCAGAACATGTACTCGCTCCAAGATTTCCGATTTCATCATTTTGCTACGTCGTGAATTAAACCATTTCTGAAAATATTAATTAGAAATAAAACTACCGGTAGTAGTTTGGGTCGTCAGGAACAATGTGTTCTACCACAAACTACCCATAACCAAATAAGATGTGTCTATACGAGGGCCATTTTTCTCCAGAAATTCTATGACTCCCCAACCCGAAATTTGCGTAATCCTGCATACGCTGCTGGCCCTTCTGAAATGGGTGATGGGTGTCTTTATCAAAACTTTAAATTGAAATATAAAACATAAGGTCAAATTTATGTTTCCCTACGAAAACTCATTATTAGTGTGTTACTTTTAGAGTGCCGGATGATAAGAGGCCCTAGGCTATTCCACTAATGAGTCCCTTCTACAGGGGGCAGAACTGTATTGCCCCAAAAATTTGCCGTTTACAGACGGCATAGCCGGTCGTTAGAGAGCGTTTTCCTGATATTCCAGAGCGTGGTCCAAAATATAGCCTAACTTAGGTGGCTGACCCGAACACTAATCAGTCAACCAATCGTCCACGGAGATGGGACCGTCGGGAGAATATTTGAATATTTGACGGTAGTAAACGCGGCCGGGAGATCCAGTCTTTACGGTGTATGGTGGCCTCGCCCTTCCCGAGAAAATTTTGAAAATCCAACTGCCGTAAATGCACTTGTTTGTTATTCTAGCCCATGAATTAAGTAACTTCAAAGTTGTCCAATGGTTTTGCAACTACAAGACTACTGTGCGTATAATAAATATACACCTTGAGGGTCTGGACTTGAGTCTGCCAAGCCTATCGATATACCCGGTACTGGTCAGGCATTTGGAATAATAATACTTAGAAATGTCGTTATGGCATTGTAGTGTTTATGATTTCCTACCTTGATGATACAAGAATTAGTTTGTATTTTTCTAGACAGATTTAATATCATATTGTTATCAGGATACAATGTCTGTAGAAAAATTTCCTCTAATTGTTTCACTTGTTCATCATTTAATTTACCAGTAATTGGTCGTCGTTTCTTATTTGTAATTATACCATCATCTGAAATATACAGGACATATCGAGAAACTGTAACTATATATTTCTTCTTTAATCTTTAAAGTCACTCGGTGGCGCCGATACAAAATACACAAAGAAACAACAATTCCGGTATAAATAAATTTGAAAACCGTTTTTAAAGCAGATGGGTAGAATGTTAGAAAAACATTAATAAAGGTTAAATATTAATTGGACCCTTCTTTAAAACGAATAATAAAGTAATGTTCCGTTTTGATCTCAATATAGTTTCAACTCATTCCATTTTGGAGAGAGGGAGAAAGAGAGAGAGAGGGGGGGGGTAACTCCACTCGACTCAAACTAGGTCACTTCGGGACTAATGGTTCAATTTTATTTCAATAATTCATTTGCGAGTAGGGGTCTTTAGCAGTGGGGGGAAACCGGAGGACACGGAAAAAACCCACGAGGTTGGAAGGCGACCCTACTCCTTGTCATTTACAACCGGGGAATCGAAACCACGCCAATTGACTCAATGACAGACCTTATGATACAACGCATACGCGCTAACCATTTGGCCATCCCTCCCTCCCTTAGAGATACAGACTGATGGTATAATCAGGACAATGAGCAACAGATAAACATTCGACCATATTTTAAACTTTATGCGATACGCAACAGGTAATCGAGCTGATTCTTTTAATAGATGGGTGATATGTTCTCTGCTCTGGGTTTTGGAAATGATAGGAGCTGCTTTATTTTATATCTTCGTTTATATAGATCATGCTAATAATTTATCCAAAGCAAAAATGAATGAATGAATTAAATGGGATTTAACTGGGCTAATGAAGACAGACAGGCATACGCAATACTAATCAATGCAGTGTGCTATGAGGGAAATGTTGCCCGGATAGTGGCACTATGGCATACACTAATTCTAACTGTCAGGGCTCTTTTACGTGCACGACAACGTGTACACAAGAACTCGGGTTTTTCGTCCCATTCGAATTACCAGACGTCATCCATTACAGGCCCTCAGCCTCGCACCACTGACAATGGGACACCGTGCGAACCACTGCGGCTTCTGGACAGTTAAGAATGTTGACCAGTATAAACTTACTTTTAGCAGATGGTATTCTTTTCGCTGCATCTGTATTATACTTAGGGGTATCCATTTTCAATACTATAAACAACACCCAATACAGTGCGTCCACGCCACTAATGACTAACATTAGGAACATGTTACAAAATGCACGTGCATATATTATGGGTCGCGTTTGCTTAGTCTCGTTAATCCAGCCCCTAATCAGCCAGCGCCTCGTTAAAGAGATAATTTCATATTTTCTACAACCAAAACATAATTTATATCTATTGCATAATAGGTTGTCAAATCACTGACGTCATTGGTTTTGGTGTCTTAAATGACACTTTCAAAATCAAACGTTTTACTTTCAACGAGAAACTTAAGATTTTTGTCAATTTTCCTAATGAAGGGGGTACTCGATTGAACGTTCCGGAATTGAATTCTCTCAATCACAAAAATAGTGACAATCGAGTGAAAAGGTGGATTTCGAGCTACAACGCATGCGTCGACTGAATAAGTAAATATCTCAACCAACCATGCAGCCGAAACATATTCGTTGTGTTTAATTACGTCACGATTCTACTCACACCACCTCCGTTGTCGGGACTGACAGAACTGTGACAGAACTGAATTCCGCGTTACTCGATTGCAATTCTGTCAATTCGGAACGTTGTGGACTGTGAATCGAGCATCCCCATTATATTATGCAATTATTCTTTAACAAGGTAGGATAAGGACTATGTATAGATGCCAGGTATTTTAAGGCTTTATTTTAACATATTTTAAACATATGACTGAAACAGCAGACTGTCTAAAAATGTAAAAAAAAATGACTTATTTTAAGCGCGCTTTTACAGAACAATTTTACCAATTGCCCATACGATTATTTATTTGAGTTTTGTTTTTAAAAAATCTTTTCAGATTAAAAATGGAAGCCGATGACGTTGGTGAGGAAGAAGTAACACTTGGCGAAAACGAAGTGGTTATTGAGGAAATGATGTACCCACAAGGATCGAGAGTGGTACTCGATCTAAATGATTTAAAACTACCCCGAATCCCTTCTACAGTTTTCCAGTCTGATAAATTTTCTTGCTTATTTTTGTCGAATAACAACCTTGAAGAACTTCCAGAATGTATTGGTGACCTAGAGAATTTAGAGGCCCTGGTCATTTCCAACAATAAATTAACGTCGTTAGTTAGTCCAATTTACTTCTTACCACATCTTCAGATTCTGGATATTTCCAACAATGATATCGATGAAATAACGACTGAGATATCCAGTCTGAAATCTCTGACACAGTTTATTGCTAACGGAAATAAATTGACACAGATACCGGCCACTTTAGGTCAAATGACACAACTTAGGGTCCTTGGCTTTAATGAAAATCGACTTAAAAACACACCCAACTCTTTCAGTGAACTGACAAATCTTCAGATTTTGGGTCTAGAACGAAATGAACTCGAATGTCTTAACCCAGTTATTTGTAAATTGGAGAGTTTACGGAGACTTGGTCTCTCTGGTAACCACTTGGCGAACCTACCGCGAGACATTGAGAACTTGACAAATTTAGAACAGCTTCTTTTAGACGATAATGAGTTCGAGTTCATTCCGATTCAAATCTTTTGGATGGAAGAGCTCAGGGAATTGGCTTTTTCTGGAAACAACTTGCAAGAAATTCACCCAGAAATAGGAAAATTAAGCAAACTGAAAGTGCTTGGAATGAACAACAATAAACTTCAAAAGATACCAGCCGAGTTGTGTCAGCTAAAACAACTTGAAGTTATTGGATTTGAGAACAACGAACTTACATCTTTGCCTATAGATATAGCAGAATTATTCCAGCTTCGACACGTTTATTTTGGTTCCAACCAAATTGAAGAGATAGCAGAGGGAATCTCTTGGTGTTCAAACATAGAAATTCTGAGCTTGGGAAATAATCAACTCTCAAAACTACCCCTAGAATTCGGAAACCTAAAAAAACTTCAAACTTTAACGTTATCTAACAACAACTACGAGTATCTGCCCGTGGCTATGGGAACTGCAAGGGAAATTGAAGAATTGGCTTTGGAAGGAAATCAGCTTCGAGATTTGCCAGACGAAATAGCGAACCTTCAGAAACTTCGTCATATTAATCTTTCCAAGAACAATTTTCGCGACTTCCCATCTGTTCTTTGCAAGTTGCCTTCTTTAGAAATACTAGAATTTGGCGATAATAATATATCAGCTGTTCCTGTGGAAATTTCGAACTTAGAAAATTTGAAATTTTTGGACTTGCACCAAAACAACATTGGTGTGTTTTTGCCAGAAATGTGCGGTCTCGTTCAATTAAAATGCGTGGATCTATCAGCAAATGTTCTAGAGGACATTCCCGAAGATGTATCACAACTTAGTGCTCTAAACGAACTAAATCTATCCAACAACAGCTTCCCACAATTTCCGAAGTCAGTGTTTGCCATCCCAAATTTACAGAAATTGAATTTTGATCAGGAAGAGGGTAATAGGGTGTCTTCTTTACCGGACGAAGTGGAATTTTCTAAAATTAACCATCTTATTGTGTCCCATAATGCCTTACGGCTTTTACCGCGTTCAATCAATGGTATGTCTGATATCCGGTCTTTGATACTGGATCACAACGAACTTTATGAAATCCCAGAAACTCTTTGTGAAATGAAACAAATTGAAATACTCCATCTTAACGATAACCGTTTGGCTTGCTTACCGGAAAATTTTGATCATATGACCGGATTGAGAGATCTTCGACTTCATAATAACCCTCTTAAAATTCCACCAATGGAAGTATGTGTAAGTGGAGTTCTGCAACCAATAGGACGATTCATAAGAAGAGCTGTAGAAAGAGAGGGTAGGAATTAATTTTTTTCTTCAATTTTACCATTTATTTTTAAACAAGTGGTTATACCATGCAAGATACGCCCACATTTTGCAAGAGATGGACAGGGAACAAACCAAACAGAAAAGCGATTATTCGTACAATAAGGGGCCATAATCCAGGAAGTTACGGTCCGATATGCGCGAAATTTTAAAACCAAACATTGATGCAGTTGTGACAAAAAATGAAACTAGGTTTGGGCAAATTTGACCAATTTCCCCAAAATTGGGCCCCGCACTAGAAAGGGATCCCGCAGCTCACCAACTTCAAAATTTCCCAAGCAATCTGGCAGCAGGGCTGCTGAGTGTGGCAAATTTTCATAAACTACTGCCAGGCCCGTAGCTAGCCCAAAAATGTTAGGGGACAAGGGCTTCTGGGGGCGCCGATGGGGCTTCTGGGGGCGCCGATGTACCTACTCTTGACGGTCCAGGGCGAACAGCACATTGGGCGCGCCTCCCTTCCGAGAAGGGTCTAGGGTGCCCTGCTTGAATCAATCTCACTCGGCATTATGCTTTATGTGCAGCCCCACAATCATATATTGTCATTATAAGGCGCCCCACCAATCATGTCATTATGGGCGCCCCTCCGGGATAAGGCACCCCTTAGATCACACCGTTTTGGGCGCCCCGTCAATCAAGTTGTAGTGTTAATCGTGTGATTCATTATGAGGGGCCTCGCCATTTGGGGGGCACCTCATACACAACGACATGATTGGTGAGAAGCCCATTTGTCTACGATATCACCCTTGGTGGAAGTAGACGTAAACCTCAGAAACGAACGAACGAACGAGAAGCCCAAGTGACATAGGTTGGGCGCCCCACTAATCTCGGGCCTGGCAATGTATTCATATCCTGTATCTTCGAGCCTTCCAAATTGAGCCCCGCATTTTCTACAACCGGTCATACCGCGATACAGTTTTTCGATCTGTGCTCTTTCATGTCAACGTTGCAAGTAATATTTTTTCATACCATATCTTTTTTTTCAGAATTACTTCTAACACGAATGTTTGTTGAGATGAAAACTGGCTTGAATAAAAATGAGCTCAGATATCTGGTGAAAAAATTCAGATTTCCCGAGGAGAAAATTATGGAAATTGAGCAGATGTATAGTGGAAAGGAAAATCTACCGGAAAGGATCTATGCCGCGATGACGTTTTGGAAGGAGTGTAAAGGAGCCGAGGCTACCATTGACGAACTGATACGAGTTTTGCACATCGTGGGTTATGATTCATTATCACAAAAACTGTTAGCCATGAAAATTTATTCTCAGCGGCTAAGATTCTAAACTGGAGGATATCCCAAGTTTTCATATAAGAAAACCGGTGTAATTTTATTTTCTTCATTTATGAACTTCTTGAATTATAGGGTTTTAAAATTTTAAAGGGCTAGATGAAACAATCTTGGCAACAGCCCACATTACCCATTTCTTGTCCAGTGACCAAGAGTCAGTGTTACAAGTTATTGTCATTGGCCATAGTGGGTCAAAAATAGCCCATAAATATATGTTATAATCCGGTCTTATATCCATACGATTTTGGAGTTAAAATGTTAATTTGAATCATCATTTATTCGTGGATTTGGTAGGCATATATTGCCTAATATATCAGTCGATTTCGAACACGAATGCAAATTGTCATTTAGTTTGAGAACATACTAGCGTAAACTAGTGCCGCTGTCCGGGCAAACTTTCCTCCATACGCCAAACACTTTGTCTGAGGGACATTTTGCTCGGAAAGCGGCGCCACGGCCTTCTCATATTTCGAATTCCAACTGCCAAGAATCTTTTTCGTGCACACCAATGTGTAAACGTGACCTCAGTTATTGGTCCTATCCGAACGACTAGACAATGTCTCTAAATGTATTAAATATTCCGCGGATTATTCTTTTGTGAAAGTCGGGATCCCGCGGCTCGCAATCTCGATAGAAATACAATTGGCTAGCACTGGGCAGTTTATAAATATGTCAAGGTGATAGTCTCTGTATGTCTTCCGAGGGGTTGGATAGCCGAATGGTTAGCACGTGCTCGCTGTATCATAAGGCCTGTCATTGAGTCAACTAGCGTGGTTTCGAATCCCCGGTTGTATATGACAAGGCATAAGGGTGGCCTGTCCAACCTCATGGGTTTTCTCCGGGTCCTCCGGTTTCCTCCCACCAAGCGAATTATTGAAATAAAATCGAACCATGTGTTGGTCCCGAAATGACCTAGTTTGTGTCGCGTGGACGTCTCTCTCTCTCTCTCTCTATATATATATATATATATATATATATGTGTGTGTGTGTGTCTTCCAGCGAGCACCAGGTGTTTTGAGGTTTTAAATGTAGCCGCTTGTACACTATTGTATAGCGTTTGAAATAACACATTCATGTGTTAGAATTAAAATCACATTTCATTTTAGCTGACAAATATGGTAGTTTACTTACATATTTAATTGTTATAGGGAAATAAAAAAAAGGAGGAACGAATTTGGAACTTAGTTCTCTGCATATACAGTAAGAAACGCCAGAGATCTTAGGGATTGATTGTATTCCATCATACGGTGCGGGCAAATAACCTAGGTCGCGTATAGTACACGTAATTGGTAATTCAAAGTAGAACAGGTGAATTCGTTTCCTGTTAAACGTAAGTATGTTTTTTAGTTTTTTGTTAAAAATAGTTTTAAGAATATAATTATATTTGTTTCAGTATGTTTTTGTCCAAGGCTACCAAAACTTTACGTTTTCATTTGCATAGTGCTAAAAATATTATTGACCTGATTATATGCCAAATGATGTTTTTATAAAATTGTATTGTATTAACGTTATAATTATTAAATGTTGATTAATATCCTACATGTCATTGCTCTCTTAGTGTCATTTGAATGGGTGTTTCACCAACAGAGAGACCATCAAATGACGAAAATCTAAATTAATCCGTTGTAAAACATGCATTTATGCAGGGAGTACTTGTCTAGCTCTAGTCCTAGTCGGCGGAATCATTATTTTGTATCTCGTTTCTTTCCGAAATTTCAGTCAGCCTGACTCTTATCAAATTTGGAATTTTTACACGGACAGTGGCGTTTCCAACTATTCTTCATCGAATTAAACCTTAACGCCATCGAGTACCTGCACGTGCTTTTTCTAAGGGAAACGGTATGTCACCCTCATTCAACCAGGCGCTAAACCGATGACAACTTAAAATGTATATTTAACTGTCTATACTTCAAAATAGGAATGTAAATATAGGAATGTAAATATTATATTGTAGTTCATTACAGATACATACATACATATTTAAACAAAAATAACCTACTACAAAAAACACATGAAGATGGAGAACTAATATCACAGTTGATCACAAATAAGAAGTCGTAAGCGCCCTAAAACAATTTAAAAACAACAAGTCTCCAGACATAGAGATGTCCTATCAACATCCTTCTATCTAACTTTCTGGAACATAATAGGAGACGACTTTGTAGAGGTGTTGAACAACATCTATCTCAAAGGTGAACTCACACCTACAATGAAATTGTTATCCATAAATAGTGTGTTATTTGATTATGTTCCAATTACTAAATGCCATTTAAAGAATATACAATGAAAGAAGCAATAATAAATATAAGCTATAAAGGGGAGGGCAACTCCAACTATTTGAAAAATCTATAGACCTATAAGTCTATTATGTCAGGACTATAAAATATTAACAAAAATTATCACTAATCGGTTAACACCAATGTTAAATAAAATATATCCCCACCCCAAACAGGGACTGGGGAAGGAAAATCTATATTAAATAACTTAATGTCAATCCATAGTATTGTTGCATACATAGAAGAAAGAAATATACCAGGCCTAAGCTTTGATCAAATGAAAGCATTTGACTTGACTGAACATAGCTACATTCTTAAACTATTGCAAAAATACAACTTACCAGATTTCATTATAAGATGGATTACCATAATCTATACAAACATTGTCAGTAGCGTTCAGGTAAATGGCTTATTTACGAGGGAAATTAATGTAACAAGAGCTATAAGGCAAGGGCGTTGTTTATCAATTTTAATATACTGCCTTGCCATAAACCCTGTTGCGGTACCTAAAAGGAATCCATATCCCAAACACGCCCGAAGAAATAAAACTATTTCAACATGCAGATGATCTATCATCAATTATAACAAATAGTAAATCATACCTTATAGAAGAAATACAATCCTTTGGCTCTGCTTCTGGATCAAAACTAAATCCATCAAAAACTGAAATTATAAAAATAAATAATATTGCTATACATAGAAAAGATATTCCACAAATAAATATTAAAACACACATAAAACTCCTAGGAATATGGTTTGGTCACAACCATATTGCCCCCCCCCCCCCGCCCCGAAAAAAAAATGGCTACCCATACTGGCAAAACTAAGAAAAGTAATAGATCAATGGTTAAAATATAAACTAAAAATAAAATATTTAGTATTATATACTTACATACTCAGTAAACTCTGGTACACATTATCCATGCCGAATGCCGAATTATCGCACCACCAAAACACATTATAAAATCTATAAATAAAGAAATAGTTAGATTTATCTACCAAGACACACCAGAAGCCATCAAAAGAATGACACTACACCAACCATTCAATATGGGTGATCTACTAACACAGAAAATACGATAAGGGCAATGGCACTCCAAAGAATTATAATCATGAAAAATAACATAAACCCATGGACGAATCTTTTTCCCTATTGGTTTGGGTATACATTTAAAGGAATACTGCCTTTGTTAGCATCCAAAAAAGTATCACAGACAGTAAATACATCACAAATTTATAAAAGCATAACAACTAATCACCTTCATTATCGTAATAAAATCAATCTTACAGGCACACCGAAATTAAAACATATCTACAATGAAATAAAATTAGACTTGACTAAACCAAGTATTATATACAAATATCCAACAACAGACTTCTTTAAAATATGGCAGCAATTTGCTAGTATGCCTAAATATCCTTTTCGATTTTGACCTTGTCATTTTCATAACACACCAAGCACTGCCTACAAAGCAAATATATTATACGAGAGAAACCTCAACAGTAACAATAGAGGAAACATTTACACATATCTTCCTACAATGTGGGATGATAAAAAACTATAAACAAAACCTCCAAACCTACCTAAAAAAGCTCTCCATAAATAATAATTTTGAATTTAACAAATACACATTATTGTTCCATGATATAGCATCACTAATTATAATTTGAGGAATACTGTATTATCTAGTATGGGAATATAAATGTAAAATCAAACCAAAGGATATCATAAACAACAAAATAAACATAAAATTGACACAATTAAAGGCCTAAATGCCACTATTGCTATATATAATCTAACAACAAACATAGATAACCTAATGTAACACTGACTCACTGACCATAATCGAAGTCGAACCACAATCTAGATTACAATAATAATAAATAGGACACAGGGCATGCCAAATGAAGGGGTCTATTAGACTTGATTAATCTAATGAACAAAACAATATACCAACCAACTCTAATTGAATAGTAAAGATGTATGCAATACAGAAATTAATATATTGTATAAAATAGAAAAATAAATAAAAAAAGAGAGAAAAAAGGGAGCAGAACAATGGCGTGTTTTGGATTCCCCGATTGTACGTGACAAGCAGTTGGGTCGCCTGTTATGACTCATGGGTTTTCTCTGGGTCATCCCCCGTCCCATTGCTAAAGACTAATACGCACACGCGAATTATTGATATAGAATTGACCCATATGTTAGTCCCGAAATGACCTAGTTTGTGTCGTGTGGACGTTAAACCACATTTCTTTCTCTCTCTCGGAGCAGAACATATTACTTCTTATATGTAAATATGTAAATAAGAACTATTAAAGACTGGACCAGATAATGGCAAAATGATGCCACTAGAAAGTCGATGAATTCAAATGGATTCACACTTAGAACATTCGCACCGGTTTGCATTAAAGATAAGATATAACCCCGAAGGGCACCCCTCCTTTTCTTTTTACTGTCCATAATATGATATATAATGTATATTAAACAACAAGAACAATACTTCAAATAAATCAGTCTTTGAAGGTATGGGAAATTGTTTTTCGAAAAAAAGAGTCTTCTATTTCGGGCTCTCGCCTGACCGTCATCCAACAGAGTGGCCACCTGACAGGCAATGCAAAGGGTCAGACACTTCGGACTAGAATTTCGCACAAATATTATTCGAAATAAAAATCTCAAAATGAAGATGCCCATATGTATTAAATAAACAGAATACCGAAAAATAGATAGAATTCGTCCACTCTCACGATCCCAATGCTTACAACAGTGGTTAACTTAATAAGGCTTTCGGTAGAACACTGAATATCGTTAGGGTTCGCCTATCATGACCACAAAACTTCCAACAAAATCCAAAAGAATCCGTCAAAAACAAGATTTACTAGTGGGGGTTTCATATTGATAATTTGACCTAGATTATATATGATAAGTTACTTTAAGATGATTTACTATATATTCCAAGTGCAATCTCTCTACTGATAACAGACACGTTTATAATATCAAATTGTGGTCGCCGTAATATACACTACGTAAGTAAATTATTCTCTCTTTTTACCAAATGTGAATTGAATTCTTGTTATACAGGACATTCAAATGGCTGGTGTTTGACATGGGCCCTAAATAACATTGTCTGTCTGTTTATATCATGGTATTACGTAAATACAATTATTGATGTTCAAAAATATTATCTACGTTATGAAATGAAATGGATAGGTTTAACGTACTATACTGTTCCTCTATACGTCCTATACTTAGACACCGCTTTGAAATGGCAATTAGTTACCAGGAAGAAGGACTGTCTGTCATAAATTTGAATGTTATAACGATGCAAAATCATGACCAAACCAGAGGTTCGCCTTTATTATCCCGAATGGTGCACAGATGTAGGACGTTCAGCCTTATGTCACTTCATTACAACATAATTAACCTGTTAATCCAGTAAGAGAGGACCCCGATATTTATATTAGAGCAGCATATGGAGACATGTTAAGATCTCAAGAGGTGTTTTGCCTGAAGGGTAGTTCTTGTAGTATGTGTGGAAAAAGGGTGGGAGATCCGCTGAATATCACACAAAAATATTATATCCATCGCCAATAATCCCCAAAATGATCTTCCCTTGGTTACTAAATGGTGTGAATACAATGGGATGCTAACCAACCCCACGCAAACAAAATCAATGCAGATTTCATCAAAACACAAAAGAAATCAGAACATCCTACATATTTTATTGATGTATTGCCGAGATCAATGCTCTGGAACTCAAAATTGAAAAAAACTGCATGCTTATGCCAAATTCCATGACAATGTTGTCGTTGGAAATAGGGGCAACTGATGTGACAATGCACCATAACGTTTGTCAAACTAAGAATATATTCTCTGCATAAAATATAGTAAAATTTATAAGATGCACCGAAACCCACATGTTATTATAATAAGGATATACTGACCACTAGAAATGCTGGTTGTATTTACTTACATACTTGCCGCCTGACAATGCATATATTATAATTACCTATGTGTTGTTTCATAAGATAAAGTTGGTCTTAATAGCCTAAATGGAAGAAATACGGGTTAGCTATACAGTAAAATGTGGTATATAAGAAGCAATATGCGCAATCGTCTAGTTTTATAAGTGATTGCATCAGCTTAGGATTGTCCTTGCATGGGGGAGTGTCAATGGATTGATATGCATTGCGCTACCCCCATTCAAGCTTCGGGCAATATAGTGGAACCCAAAGGGCAAGCGAAAATGACGACATGGAGGCGAATCATGGTCTGTGTTAACAAACACATTGTGTAATGAAACAAATATTGTGCAAGGAGTTGGACTTGTAACTCTCTAATCTAATAATGTTTACGTACATTAGTGGTTATAAATGCAACCTCTGTTGTTATATCTCTGGTACTAGTAAGTGCATGAAATCCTGGGAAGATTTCTCATACCCCGACCTGTGATTTAATAAGGCATACAATAATAGATTACCATGACAATCAAGTACAAATACAGCACGAGGTTATTAGTTGTATTATGCATTAAAAGAAAAGTTTTACTTCCTAATTTGGGTTTGGTTTGAGAAAACTGCAATTAAATATTAATTTTTAGAAGTAAAGAGATAAATGAATGTAAATTGGCGATAAAGCATAACACTATGCACACTTAATGATAGTATATATAAAGCTTTCAATAGGCGACGAATCTCTATCAAAAATATATAGGGGGTTAAAAATTACCTTTAGAAGTATAAAATATATAAAATATTAAATATGTACATATTCACGTATAAAAGAGGGGAGGGGGTGGAGGGGGGTGTAATAATAATTGCAATTATAATTTGATTATGACTTTATAAAATAGGACACAAACCATTACATCTAACATCTAATGTAAGGAGTGGGTGGGTTACTTCAGAAGTTATTTGACCTCATCCCCAACACCTCCAGGCTGCACTACTGATTTACATTAAATATTCGAGTCGGAGTTTAGCTGGTGATCGGTTCTTCCTCCTCTTCTTATTATGTTCCCTGACAAATACAACGTACCGATTACATCACATAAAATCTATCTTTTCATTATTACATCCTCATATTCAAATTATGAGTCAATTATATATCATTTTATTTTATTTAATTCCAGTATAATATGGCTTCTAGACAATCACCAAGTTTACCAGTACTCTATACAACAGGTACCCATTATGATGTAGGCTACAACACCGGGGTCACCTTTTCCAATAATATTCGACAATATGTCAATTCCTCTAAAAGAGTTTGTGAGAAAATCAAACCATATTACGACACACAGGAGGGAAGAGAATTGTATGACATATTTTTAAAGGCCACGGAGGACAGCTACCCACAGTATTGTCGAGAGTTGCGGGGAATTTCTGACGGTAGCGGCGTTCCGTTTGAGATGTTATTTCTCTTAAATATATCACCAGAAGTTAGAAGGCATTTGGAAAGGGAGGCAACACCTAAAGTTGAAGCAGATGGTTGTAGCGATATTTTCCTTAATAGTCCTAACTTAAAACTTTTAGTTCACAATGAAGATTGTGATCCATTGGTAAAACAATATGGATATATGTTGAACACAAAAATTGATGACGTAGAAGGAAAAGAGAGGTTTTTGGCATTTTGTTACCCAGGAATTTTACCGGGACCCGCCTTTGCTGTTAACGGGGATGGCTTGGTAATAACTGTTGACGGATTATATCCTAAACATGTAACGCTAGGAGCCCCACCACGTTATTTTGTGAATAGATCTTTGATGCGCATGACTGATATAGATAGTGCTAAGAAATTAGCAAGAAATGCCGGTCACGGAATGGCTTTTGGATTTTGCGCTAATATATCCTCCATTCGAAATACAGAACAATCTTGGGCGCTAGAAATTGCACCAGGACATCCAAACGCAGGAATCCAGATTCACACGATTGAGGAAGGTACAGATTTGGATCCTAATTACTATTTTCGTTGTAACAGCTATAAGCATTCCTCGGTGGAGGAGGCGACTTATCTTAGTTCAACACACCGGATGTTACGGGCCCAGGAGTTACCTACACCAAAATCATTGCACGACATTCTCAACATACTTGGTGATACCCACCACGATTTATATCCGATATTCAGAACACCACGAGAAACAGACCGGAGTGAAACTGTGCTGACAGTTTCCATGAATATTTTAAATAAAACCATGAACTTTTATCAAGGAAATCCAAAATATCATTCTTACCCATTCATGTCTTTGCCACTGGAATTGTCCAATGAAATAATTTGAATGGAAATAGTTTATCAATTAAATGTTAATAAATTCACTGAATTATGTAACGATAACCATGCCAAATGATAATAAAAAAAGGCATGATAGAATTAGTAAAATCCATTATGAATTAATACATTATGAAGTAGATCGTGATGAAATCCTATGTATCTCTTATTTGAGGTTGTTCGCTGGATTAATTAAAATTTAATTGATATTCAATATCAAAGTTTGTCAAATAGATCGACAAGTTCTCTTTAAGATGCAGTATGTAAGATTTATATAGTACAACCTGTCGCCCTTGCTATGATAGTTTTTTTTTGTTGTAAACAATATTTTATTTCATTTGAAAATGGATTGGAGAACTGTCTAGGCCTATATTGACTCCTCTCCAGAATTGACAAAAATAAGTTTAATTTATGTACATAAAAACATATATACAACAGGAACATATAATAATACAAAATATAAAAATTATTTGAGACTTAAATATAAACTAAACATATACCATTGTCCGTTCCGTTATTTGTACCAATATAGTAGTGCCGCAAACCCCCGCCTCTCCATATAAGAGCTACCTACACGTGAAGTATTATTTGGTATATTGTGTATATATATATGAATTATACAGTAAATAAATCAATAACAGACGGGATGATTTGGACGTTAGAAACGTTTTGAACAGTGTTAAAAATCAACTGGTTTTGATCAACTGAGAGGGCAATCTGACCATTTAATAAAATACCAATATTTTGAAATTTCTGCTTAAGTAAACCAATAGTTTGTCCTCGGAACACCCGAATACAAGGAGCATACTAATATATAATGATAACAATCTTCAAAATGGTGTCCTCACGCGCAGGCGGGGCAATCCGTTAAATGTTCCAAAACCTTATGACCATTTAAATCGCTGCAGCCTAATCTCAGTTTACTATGTGTCATTTGATATAAAAGTACTGTGGAATAATATAGTCGTTTTAAATCAAGCTTGAAACAAATGTTGAGACAGAATTCGAATTCTGTACATCGGTTTCCAATGTGTTCCATTCTCTGATCGTCGACGGAATTAATGAATTTAAAAAAATATTTGTTCTACAAAAGTAATCTTCGAGATTATTACAATTTCTAAGACGATATGGCGATTTTTTCCTTAAAATAAGCTTAGAAATATAAGAAGGAGCTAGACCATTGATTAACTTATAGAATAATTTTAGTTTGTGTCTTCGTGGACGTTAAGCTAATGGAACAAATCCTGTTTCTTTATAGAGGTTTGCACGGCTTGTACCTCTAACCGCTACACAAATAATCCTTAGTGCATCTAACTAACTGTAAAGTTTCTATTTGTGAAACTAATTTGTCTGAACAACCAGCCGAAATTACGTCAGCATAATCAAAATGTGGTGGAATAAAAGAAGTATAGATGTTGTTTAATGAATTTCTATAAGTCGATATTTTAATGATCTAAAACAGATATGATTTATATGGACATCCCATTTGCAATTTGGCTGAAAGTTTAACCCAAGATGTTTATGCTCAGATACTTCTTTTATTTGCACAGTATCCAAATACAAGTGTGGTTTAGTTAAATTTATTTTAGTTGAAAAAGTTATTGTTTCAGTTTTTAGTGGATTGAAAGTCACAAGCTTTGACCGGTTGTTAATAGTAATCAATCATTATTCAGGACAGCCGCGTCTGCGTGAAGATCCGTTATTTGTAAATAAAGGGAAGTGTCATTTTCTAATATTCGAGTTAATATCATTTACAATATCATTATTATATAACAGAAATAAAAGAGGACCGACAACCGAGCCCTGTGGGACACCGACGGAGACAATCCTGGGGTCAGAGGAGGCACCACTAACAACTACTACTTGCTTTCTTTTTTTTGTTAGTAATCGATAAACCAATCAAGCAACCCACCTGATATACCAGACGCTCTCAGCTTCTTGACAAAAAGAGTGAGTTAAGTCAATTAGTTGATAGATAGCACTATCTCCCTTTAAGAAACCATTTTGAGACGAAGTTAGTATGTTGTTTTCACATATATGCATTTTTCGAATATTTTTACAACAATGCTTACTAATGATAGGTCTATAGTTCCCGCATTCAAAAATAGATAATGAAAAATGAATACATTGAAAACTTCATTCAAATTACTGTATTCAGAGCGCATATTGTGTATTATCGTAGCAACATCATACCTGTTAATCTAGACTCAGTCTCGCTTCTCCATTTTAAATTAAACAATTAAATGGCGATCTTATTTCAATCTGTTTAACTCTCCGCCATCCGATGATATAGATATTTGATTGATAGGCTTGCCACGTGAATTAATGTTTAAAGAATATTTTACATAACTATTAAAACCTGCAATATGTAGATTTAAATCTTAAAGGGGCATTAGGTAAGATTGGATAAAGAGAAGACAGTTCACCCTATAAAAGATAAAAATAGATAAAGAGGGACCTGCAATAGGCAGATTTAGCTCGTGCATAATGCATGATTAACTGTCGTTAGCAGGGGATGGGACTTACATTAGATGCATTGAGCCCCACGTGTTATTGACAATATAAATATTAAAATAGGGATATACCGACCACTAGAGAAAAAGAAGTTTTTGTAAATTAATGTGACGTTATGAAAATATAAATTCCCTACCCCTGACATTAACCTCGATAATACAGCTGGTCAACGCCAAAGTCGTGTATTGAAAATGGTTGCTTAGTGCCATATCAGAAATGTTACCATAACCTGAAACCCGAAATATTATTTCTGGTTGACAAGTAGTGGTCTTGTTAATTGTCCAATATTTTCGTCGGGCCCCTGTTTCTCAGTCAACCAGCTCGCTTGACAAGAACTGCGAACCGATATCATCGGCCTCGGACTGGCAGTGGGGCCCCCTTCCTACTGGCCCCCTCTCTGCAATAGTTTTTCAGCTTAGAACTAAGTATATACTCCACAGACCACCATTCCAGGTCGAAATTTCAAAAAAGTTCTCGGGGAAAGGACACCTAGACCCCGAGAGGAGAGACCCCCCAGGGTGTCATCTTGTCACCCGGGCAGCTAGGTTGCTTCAAGGCACGACGACCTCATGATCCGTCACTGGGGAGGACCCCTGCCCCCCCCCCCCAAAAAAAAGGTTCACTGACCCCCGGCAGTGAAATGTAAATCTAGTATCTAAATCTTTGCACTTTTTTTAAATGATGAGAAAATTTCAAAGCAGGATCTTGTTTTCATTGCTGCCTATAAATATGACTCTGAGCAGCCACTGATTAAATTCATTGTCGAACATCAAAATGGCAAACTTATGTTTTCACACGGACCCCAAAATATTTCAATACAGACCAAGTAGGGCTACACGGTCGTAGAGTACCATACGGAATGTGTGTTTGGCTTGTATGTGGTGTGGGGGGGTCACAGGTAGCCGTCGCTAGACACTTTAATGTCGACCAATCGACCATTGCTCGCCTTAGACAACGCTTCCACGCCACTGGAAGAGTTGCCGATCGACCCCGACCTGGAGCGCCAGATGTAACAACCGCTGTTTAAGATCGCCACATCCGACTACAGCATCCGCGCAACAGGTTCCAGTCAGCTACTGCTACTGCCAGGGGAACTGTTGGAACACGGCAACGTCAGATCAGCCCTCACAGTCCGAAGGCGCCTGGCTGCTCTTGGGTTACGCTGCCGTCGACCTTACCAAGGTCAAATCCTTTTGCATCGTCATCGACTTGCCAGACAGCAATGGACTGCAAATCAGGGGTATCTGCACAACACACCATGGCGAAATGTCATCTTCTTGGATGAATCCCGATTCAACCTCAGTTTTCCTGATGGACATCGACATGAACGCTTTGCTCGTAACTGCGTGCTGGAAAGGGATCGTTACGGGAGAGGTGGCGTCATGGTTTCGGCCGCTATCAACGTCAACTTCCGGTCCCAGTTTGTGGTGGTCCAAGGCAATCTGAACGCTCAAAATTATGTGTTGCTTCCATTGCTGGCTCAACATGGCGTCCGTCGATGGATGGTTTTCCGGCTTGACAACGCCTGACCCCACACTGCCAGGTTGACAAGAGACTTGCTGAACAATCATCATGTCTGTGTTCTGGGATGAACTTGGACGACGGGTTCGAACCTCAAGCCGTACCACCACGAACTGTTGCAGACTTGGCACAGGTACTCCACAATCATTGGCAAACAATCCCACAGCGTGTAGTGAGACATCTGTGCCAGTCCATGCCAAGGCGACTTCAGGCATGTGTAAGAGCTCAGGGTGGACATACTCGATATTGACTTCAGCTGATCCCTGCTTTGTTTCATGGTTCTCTGACGTTTCGGTTTTGTGCATTTGTAGTGAATTCTTTCATGAAATTATCCACAGATGCTTGTTATCTCGATTTTGTCAATTGTTATGTACATTTGTTATTTGGCATTGTGTTTTTAATGGCTTTGAGTGTACATGCTCATATTCAAATTATGAGTCAATTATATATCATTTTATTTTATTTAATTCCAGTTTAATATGGCTTCTGGACTATCACCAAGTTTACCAGTACTCTATACAACAGGTACCCATTATGATGTAGGCTACAACACCGGGGTCACCTTTTCCAATAATATTCGACAATACGTCAATTACTCTAAAACAATTGTTGAGAAAATCAAACCATATTACGACACACAGGAGGGAAGAGAATTGTATGACATATTTTTAAAGGCCACGGAGGACAGCTACCCACAGTATTGTCGAGAGTTGCGGGAAATTTCTGACGGTAGCGGCGTTCCGTTTGAGATGTTATTTCTCTTAAATATATCACCAGAAGTTAGGAGGCATTTGGAAAAGGAGGCAACACCTACAGTTGAAGCAGATGGTTGTAGCGACATTTTCCTTAATAGTCCTAACTTAAAACTTTTAGTTCACAATGAAGATGGTGATCCATTGGCAAAACAATATGGATATATGTTGAACACAAAAATTGATGACGTAGAAGGAAAAGAGAGGTTTTTGGCATTTTGTTACCCAGGAAGTTTACCGGGTCGCGCCTTTGCTGTTAACGGGGAAGGCTTTGCAATAACAGTTGACGCATTATATCCCGAATGTGTAACACTAGGAGCACCACCACGCTATTTTGTGAATAGATCTATGATGCGCATGACTGGCATGGATAGTGCTATAAAAATAGCAAGAAATGCAGGTCACGGAATTGCTTTTGGATTTTGCGCCAATATATCCTCCATTCGAAACACAGAACAATCTTGGGTTCTAGAAATTGCCCCGGGACATCCAAACGCAGGAGCCCAGATTCACACGATTGAGGAAGGTACAGAATTGGATCCTAATTACTATTTTCGTTGTAACAGCTATAAGCATTCCACAGTGGAGGAGGAGTATGATCTTAGTTCAACACACCGAATGTTACGGGTCCAGGAGTTACCAACACCAAAATCATTGCACGACATTCTCAACATACTTGGTGATACCCACCACGATTTATATCCGATATTCAGAACACCACGAGAAACAGACCGGAGTGAAACTGTGCTGACAGTTTCCATGAATATTTTGAATAAAACCATGAACCTTTATCAAGGAAATCCAAAATATCAGCCTTACCCATTCATGTCTTTGCCACTGGTATTGTCCAATGAAATAATTTGAATGGAAATAGTTTATAAATTAAATGTGAATAAACTCATTGAATTATGGAACAACAACCTTGCCAAATGATAATAAAATAGGCATGATAGAATTAGTCAGGTCCTAAAATAATGTGCCTTGAAGTACGAATTTGCTTCGAAATGAAAAATCCGTGCTTCGAAAATAAGAAAACCGTGCTCTGAAAGAAATGGTGTAGGGCCCCGAACAAATGTTAGGTAGCGATGCCTCCTGACTCCTAATGAGTGTTTCCTCTTGTGGTGGTCAGTTGCACAGATCAGATCAGATCAGCTGCGCTCGATCGACTCCCTCGGAGGAGTCGAGTGAGCGCCAGTCGCATCAGCTCACTAGTAGGCTTGGTATCTGATCCGCTGCGTCCCTGACCGTCATTTCACTTTCACTTTGAAAAAGCTTATTTCTGACATAATTTTCACGAATTTTCGGTATTATCTGCGATTTTAAGTATTGAAATCTCGATGGGAAAACAGGGCGTGATCCACCGGACACAGAATCCGTGCTACGAGAATTTAACCTTATTTTAGGCTCTGGAATTAGTGAAATGTGTTATAAATTCATACATTGTGAAGTAGATCGTGATGAACTCCTGCGTATTTCTTAAGCTTTGTGTTATTCGCTTGATAAATTCTAAACAAGTGATTAAATATCAAAGTTTCTCAGATCGATAGACATGTTCTCTTAATGGTGCATTATGTAAGATTTAGATAAACAGCTGGTCGTTCTTGCTAAGGTAGTTCAAAAATAGATAATGACTAAAATTAACATATTGAAAATTTCAGTCAAATTACTTTATTCTGAGCGAAGATGTTATCAGATGTAGCGCATATTGTTTATTATCGTAGCAACGTTATACTTGTTAATCGAGGCTTCTCCATTTTTAAATTAAATCATTAAATGGCGACCGTATTTCAATCTGTTACAATCTCCATGGTCTATAGAGTTGATTACAGGCGTGTCATGTGAAAAAATATCTAAATAATAATTTATATAAATTTTTAAGCCAATATAAAAACCGGCAATAGGCAGATTTGGCGCTTAACTAAATCATCTATAAATCATGTTTTATGAAAGAAGGTGGTGCTGGTGTCCTTCCATCTATTACCATTCAACAGTATAAACTCTCCTTGGAAAGATATACCGGGAGCCCAGGGGGTCAACCTAGCTGAAAAGTGTACCAATTTTCTCCTATATGGTATCAATGTATGTATATCTGGTATCATCAGAATGTAAGTCTGCCGGGTTTCTGGTGGTGGGTGTGGTATTCCACGTCCTAAATGCCATGACCTCCAACTAGGCTAGATTATATAATGTAATATGAATGTAAATAAACTGATTTACATTCAGTCGTTTCCGTTTTTACTCTAATTTGAAAGCAGTTATGTTCGGCGAAATACGCCAGAAGTCTCAATCGAATGGTAATCTCCAGCGACTGGTTATTCCAGTCTTTACCGATAGTATTTATTGCGCATGCTATCCAGATAAGAATATGGGGTCACCGTTTGACATGACTTGTGCAATATGTCTAACCCCGTTCTTCGGTTCGCTTGTTTCAAATTGCGCAGTAACGCATTATGGTACAAGATTCGTGTACCAATCGTTAAATGTTTATTTTGTCTTAAATATTGGATATCAGAAGCTCATCTTTTCCCGGTAATATCACAACACCAATGTTGATTAAAATTGACAAAAATTCGTGTTTTCAATGTCGAAGGTTTTGGATGATACTGAGTTAGAGACTTAGGTACTTTAAGATTTATATCAAAATGTCTTGAAAAGTGGTATCGTAGAGCATTAATTTTATTTTACAGGGGAAGTCTTATTAAAAGCTTGTTCTGTCTTAATAGCGTTTCCTATCTTATTTATAACATTCCATTTTTATACTGACCACTTACGATTATAGCTTCTACGGGTAAATAGGTAGGCTCACCTGGCACATACATCTCTAGGCACATGGAGAAATGAAATGAAATGGCGTTTAACGTCCTACTTTTCTACTCCTATACTGGGCTAATGAAGACGGGGACCAATATGGAATCAAGTTTCAGCTGTTTGCGCTAAACTAGGATACACCATTCAGAGAAGGAGGTTTTATCGGTTTTATTTACTAAAATATATCTGGGACGGCTGCTTTAAAGGAGCGAATGTCTTCCCGTACGCAAGTGAAGTGTACACTACTTTGGAAGTGTTCACTTCAAATCCACTTCAATGAACGCTCCACCGAAGTATTCACATTAGAAACACTCCGAAAGAAGACACACCCCTCCCCTTGAAGTGTTCAATTTCGTAACTCTTCCATAGACACTTCTTTTGAAGTGTTTAAAAAATTCCACCGATGGTCTGTTTCTACAGACACTTCTTCGACACTTTTGGAAATCTATCTACTATAGCATTTCCTCAACACTTTTGAAAGACAGTCTATAGGCCACGGCATTTCCTCAACACTTCTGAAAGACTGTGCATAAAGCCAATCATGTCATTGACACTTCTACCGTTTTTTCCATAAAATTCGAAATTAAAAACGCGAATTAAAATTCTATATTGGTTCATTTCGATCATTATTGATGTCGTTATCCAAACTTATCAGCAGTGAACATTCGCTAGAACGTTACACAATCACTGAAAGTGATGACATTGGCACGAATTAATTAGCTCACAATATAAACTTTTTTCCTTCTGCCAAATAAATTCGAAAACATTGTTTTGAAGTATTAGAAAAATAAATAAAGGTGTTTGAAGAGTATCTTGATAAAAAATACTTCCTATTTAGTGTCAATGGGTGCATAAAATAGTACTCGAAGGAGTAAACGGCACCATTCTGCCCCAGCCAGTTTATCTCGCTACGTGCGTAAACTATGCACACGCTAACACATATTTAGAAGAAGGCGTTCGCATTACATCTGTGAAGAAACAGATTTGTAGTTATGTTGCCAAGAAAATATGTGGGGGTTTCATATTTCAAATCATTTGGCTGATAATTTGACCGAGATTATATAAGTTACTTTAAGATGATATATATATAACGGCACGTTTATAATATCAAATTGTCGTCTCCGTGATATGTATGCGTAAGTAAAACTATTCTCTCTTTTTACCAATTGTGTATTGAACTCATATTATACAAGGTCTTGGACACCTTCAATTGGTTGATGGTAGACATGGGCCCTAAATAACATTGTCTGTCTGTTTATATCATAAACCCCCCATTAATCTGGTCTGCCCTCTGTTTGCCCCCCCCCCCCAATAATTTTAGAAAATAAAAAAAGTATTTGTGATACGTTTCGGTAATCAATACCTTCTACGGTGAATAAATCCCACATCCCCACTCAGTCATAAACTTGCATGTTGTAGAGCATTTCCGACAGTCTATTTTTCAAAATTTTCTTGGCGAGGTCCCCAATGGACTCGCTACTTTGGCGCTCACAAGGGGAATTCGTTGAGGTTCGCAAGTCCGTTCGTTTGACATTTTGTTCTCTAGTCGGATAAGCTAGTGATCAGGCGACGGACGGTGTCTGGTCAGATCTATTTATCTCGACGATCGGTGCCTGACAGAATACTGTAAGACAGCATTTCCTGCAGTCTATTTTTCAAAATTTTCTGGGGGAGGACTCCCTACTTTGACGATCTTGAGTGGGCTTCGTCGTGATTCGCAAGTCCGTTCGTTTGACACTTTACCTCATCGATCAGTGCCTGAAATACTGCCAGGCTGCATTTCCGGCAACCTGTTTTTCAAAATTTTCTGGGGGAGGCCCTCAACCCCTAGTTAAAGCTCGTGCCTTTGTCCCCTTAACCTTGGACTTTGCCCCAGCTTTGCCCCTCCAATCACCGACGGCTGGCGCTGCCACTGTGTCAAGGTATCATTTACGGGTACGCCAACATGTGTACACGTGACCATCTGGGCGGCTATAGGTTGTCCCCTGCCAGACCCTCTGTCCTGCACCACTGACAAGGGAGAACTGAGCCGTAAATCACGATGGATTTTCTTGACCAACACCGGTATCAAACTCCGGACCTTCAGATTAGCGAACCAAAGCCTTTTGTATCTTGTAAAATGTTTATTCAGGAAATATACACCATATTCCGAGCTGTGAATGGTACAATAAATAAGATAAATTAAAACCTATATTTTTGATTATGTACATGATTTTTAAATACATGTATTAAAAAAAAAAATAAAACAAAGCCAACGTCTTACTCACTGATCCACCGCTGTGAAATGGCAATCAGCGGTCAGGAAGAAGGACCATGGAAGCCTATAACTACCACTCATTTACAAGAATGTTCATGATTTCCCGATCAAATTGCAAATGTTATGCAACCGTCAGCAATATTATAAAGCTTACATATAGATAATCTATATAGGGATAATATTATTAAAGTTTTTGTAAATAACTGCCATCAATACTAGACATTATTGCTCCAGCAAGAAAACGTTATTTCCGCCAAAGGTTTGGCTTTATTTGGAACAATCTCAATGGGTATGAGGTAGAGATAACCTGGGGTTGTAAGGAGGGAGTGTATAATTTTCAAGTACGGGATTTGGTCGGTAACAACATAGAACCCCCAAGTCTACAATATGCATATTGATTTACGTCGGAATATTCGAGTAAGCTGGTGAGTGTTCCTTTCACCTCTTCTTAGTAAGTTCCTTGACATACTCCTGATATCGATTATATGGCATAAAATCTATTTTTCTATTATTACATCCTCATATTCAAATTATGAGTCAATTATATATCATTTTATTTATTTAATTTCAGTTAAATATGGCTTCTAGACAATCACCAAGTTTACCAGTACTCTATACAACAGGTACCCATTATGATGTAGGCTACAACACCGGGGTCACCTTTTCCAATAATATTCGACAATATGTCAATTCCTCTAAAAGAATTTGTGAAAAAATCAAACCATATTACGACACACAGGAGGGAAGAGAATTGTATGACATATTTTTAAAGGCCACGGAGGACAGCTACCCACAGTATTGTCGAGAGTTGCGGGGAATTTCTGACGGTAGCGGCGTTCCGTTTGAGATGTTATTTCTCTTAAATATATCACCAGAAGTTAGAAGGCATTTGGAAAGGGAGGCAACACCTAAAGTTGAAGCGGATGGTTGTAGCGATATTTTCCTTAATAGTCCTAACTTGAAACTTTTAGTTCACAATGAAGATTGTAGTCCATTGGTAAAACAATATGGATATATGTTGAACACAAAAATTGATGACGTAGAAGGAAAAGAGCGGTTTATGGCTTTTTGTTACCCAGGAATTTTACCGGGACCCGCCTTTGCTGTTAACGGGGATGGCATGGTAATAACTGTTGACGGATTATATCCTGAACGTGTAACATTAGGAGCACCACCACGTTATTTTGTGAATAGATCTTTAATGCGCATGACTGATATAGATAGTGCTAAGACATTAGCAAGAAATGCAGGTCACGGAATGGCTTTTGGCTTTTGCGCTAATATATCCTCCATTCGAAACACTGAACAATCTTGGGCGCTAGAAATTGCCCCAGGACATCCAAACGCAGGAATCCAGATTCACACGATTGAGGAAGGTACAGAATTGAATCCTAATTACTATTTTCGTTGTAACAGCTATATGCATTCCACAGTAGAGGAGGAGTATGATCTTTGTTCAACACACCGAATGTTACGGGCCCAGGAGTTACCAGCACCAAAATCATTGCACGACATACTCAACATACTTGGTGATACACACCACGATTTATATCCGATATTCAAAACACCACGAGAAACAGACCGGGGCGAAACTGTGCTGACAGTTTCCATGAATATTTTAAATAAAACCATGAATCTTTACCAAGGAAATCCAAAATATCACTCTTACCCATTCATGTCTTTGCCACTGGAATTATACAATGAAATAATTTGAATGATTGAAAATAGTTTATCAATTAAATGTTAATAAATTCATTGAATTATGGAGCAACAAAATGTGCAAAGTAGAATCAGTAAAATCTCCTTTGAAAGAGTCGACGTTCCCAGAAAGTTTCATAGTTGATGGGGGGTTGGATGGCCGAATGGTTAGATCGAACACCTCTTCCGAAGTACTTTTAATTAATTATCATATTGCTAGAACTTAATATAGTTGCTTTTCTGGCCTAAATTGCCATTTAAAAGTATGCTAATATACTGTCTAAAGAGCTTGGAAGCCATTTCTCAAATCTGAATGTAATATAGTCAAAACACTCAAAGCCTTTGCGATATTTTGGTTATTCTTATTTCCAAACTTTTCATTCGACCCCTAATCTTGTAATATTTTACACCTTTCCCGAAAAGCGACAAATTCTTCTATCGTTGAACCTAATAAAGTCAAAATCTCCATACCTGGGGGATCTTGTCGGTTTTTATCTTATTCAGAATCTCTTATTACTTCCCACTTTTATGACTATCCGTTGATTTTTCCCTCAAACACCTCTTCCGAAGAACTTCTAAATAAACAGCATAGTGTTGAACGTAATAAAATAAGGTCAAAACCTCAAACGTTCTTATGTAATGTTGCTGAGTTTCTAAAAATTTACCTTGCTGAGAATGCTCGAATTTTTTACCCCGACAAAATGTATATTACTAGTATGAGCAAAATATCAATTTACATCAATGTTCGTAAACATGATTATGATGCGGGTATAAGTATAGATTATGTGTCAAAACAATAGATTCATTGAAACGTAAACAGAAAAAAAACAATTTATGGAAATGAAAATGATTAAATGGCAGTATGCTCATTCAGTGTCATCGAGAATATCTGCTTCAAACGTAAATATAAACCTTAATCCTATATATTTTTATATGTGTGTATATATTGCAATATTTGACGACCTTAAGCTCAAATAAATCAATGCTAGAAAAAGAAATATATTGTCGTCACAATTTGTAGAGAAAATGTTATATACAGGTTAAGAATGAGACAGTTTCAATAAAATAATTTCCTTTGAGTGACAACTGTTGTACATTATCCACCCCAAAATAGACTTGAAATTTAAAAGGCAAACCTCAATGTCCTAAAACTTACTATATTTAGTGACTACCAAACATAACAATGAAAGTGTGTGTAAGATAGATGTGTTAAATTATTTATCTCCAGAGAATTCTGCCTTAACAGGTTTACAATAGGCCTTTTCAATGTAAAATTTTAAGAGCAATGGAAAATTAGGGCTTATATGATTTGTAGTGTTAAAATATACTAATGTCCAAAAGAAAGTATACACTGTGCATTTTGTGCTACATCAACCAAAGTCGTTTTTCCATGGTATACGGTATTTGGGTAGAATGTCAATTTGTTTCACATTTTTATTTTGCTTAGAAATGTTGAGTTTGGACGCAAGAGACCAACCCAGTAATGCTTTATCAAATGTTTTTAATCTAAACAAAACTTAGTCATACTTTTAGTGTGTATACTTTCTTTTGGACGTCAGTATAGGTCTGGAAAGTAAAGGCTTGTATAGCTGACACACATCGTCTTGAGTGTTTATAGAATAGGTCAATAACTAGACTCGTCGCGCAGACGGCAGAAATTTCGTCTGCTAAAATTTCGTCTGCTACTTACTGTGTAAAATCCTACCAGCTCGTAAATATAAGCTTCGAGTTGTAATTGGTATGACACCATAAATCCATTAAAAATTGCAATTTCATATTTTTACGTTATATTTTTAAAATTTATTAAAATAAAGCCTTAAAATAGATGGTATCTATAAACAGTCCTACCTTTTTAAAGAATAATCCTATTAATCCTATAATTCACTATTGCCAGTTGAGAAATTGGCAAAAATATCATTTTCCTCTTCAAATTCAAACGTTTGAGGATAGCTACTCCATGGTGGAGAATAGAAAACAAGGGAGATAATTGGGAGGTAATTGTGTTATTATTTCCGGTGTAAATGAGTTTTAAGTGTGAGAATGAACACCTATGACCGTATGATAGTGAGTTGACAACCTATTGCGCAAAATACATAGAAATAATTATGTTTTGACTTTCTTTTAGAAAATATGAAATTGTAACTTTAACTAATATAAATGATTAGAAAACGATGAAGTAATTACTATTTGATTTTAAACTACTATAAATTATAGGCTATACAAATATTTGTTGTGGGTGAAAATAACCAAGTATACCTGGTATTCGTATTGACTTAGATTACCATATACTCAATATCAAAATAGTCAAAATATCTTTAACATCATTTGTACATGCTATGTAACTTATTGTAATTATACCTTGATTGAAGTTTTAAATGCAATGGCACCACCTTTTAATATATATTTTAATTAACCTGATATAGACATACTTATGAATTAATTTATTGATCCATTGATCTATTGATTTACTATTTCATCAATGTGTCAATAGTTTTATATGTTGATTCATCATTTTTTTTCTTTTCCTTTCCTGTCCTTGGGTTTTTTTTGTTTTTTTTTTTAACATAAATATAACTCCCAAAATAAAATAAAAAAAGCACGCGCGCGCTGTATCATACAGTCTGTCATTGAGTCAACTGTCGGGGTTTCGATTCCCCGGTTGTACGTGACAAGGAGTAGGGTGGCCTGTCCAACCTCGTGGATTTTCTCCGGGTCGTCTGGTTTCCTCCCACTGCTAAAGACCCCTACGCGCAAGCGAATGGTTGAAATAAAATTGAACCATGTGTTATTCCCGAAATGACCTAGTTTGTGTCGAGTGGACGTTAAACCCCAATTATCTCTCTCTCTCTTCCATAGTTGATTATGACACACAAACAAACACCACCCTTGATCCGAATCTGAACAAGAACTACCGACCGATATCCAACTCAAAATGTCTTGAAAAGTGGTATTGTAGAATAGTAATTTTATTCATCAAGAGAAAGCTCAAGATATATCGTGATAGCCATCGATAGTCAAGCCAGTTGATTACTTGTACTGTTACGACCGTCTTCAACAGTAGACACTGTTGGCCACAATATATCTTATTATCCAAACTGCTTTAAATATATTGCATTATTATCTGATACCAACTCGTATTGACAACGAGTTGTGAGAAATGGGGATGTTTTATTCGGTGTTCGGCCAGGCGGTATCTTGGATCCGATTTTATTTACACTTCATAAAACCACACAGGGCAAAATAGGTAGAAAATATGACGATTAAATTCCACTACACAAAGCTTTTAAAACCTGCGAGAGTTAAAAGGTTGTTTAGATTGAAATGTAGGGCAGAAAATTGCATGTTTAGTACTCTCAACTTCCAGTTTGTATATCTCAAGTTTTCCATGATGAACCATATACGTGCTTTTGAGCGAGAGGTTTTCACATATTGCTCCATCTGTGGTAGAAAGCGTTCTACCCAAAGAAAATTTGGTAAAAGTGGGAAACCATTGGATTGGTGATCTATGGTCATACCACAGAGTAAAAATACAAAGACCAGGGGCAGGGGAAGTAATCGGCCTGTCTTCCCATTCTAAAAATAGACAAACTATGTACGTTATACAGCGACAAAAATAAGTTTCAGGGAAAGACATTAAACTTCGATCTATAACTTTAATATCGTTGACCGTGAACCTTACTATAATTACTATAGGGTCCATGTTAATATTTGCTACATTGGGTTTTAACAGTAAATGAGAATAAAAAATGATTAGCAGAGCGTGGTTTCGATCCACGGACCTCTGGGTTATGGGCCCAGCACGCTTCCACTGCGCCACTCTGCTGCTATCAAGCGGGAAGTTTGTCATGTTATTTAAAACAGTTAGTTAGAGCAAATTTATATGCTTTTGTTGAATTTGGCATTGATCATGTGCTATATTAATGTTAGCGCTTGATGGTATTACTAGGATGGTCAGGGAAGGCATGCCACAATAGAGTTACAGAATTTCTATTATTAGTGTAGGAACCGTCAACATTCAACATAACACTAAAATCTACAGTGAAAAAATATAAATCTGACTATGGTCATGGACACTAGGTAGCGCACACCGAAAGCCGACATATTTTACTCCACACAAGTTAGTTGTATCACAATTATGCATTCCTTAACGGGTAGAGTGGCCGAGCGGTCTAAGGCGCTGGTTTTAGGCACCAGTCTCTTCGGAGGCGTGGGTTCGAATCCCACCTCTGCCATACAATATCTTTTGTTCGTCGTCCCCTTGATCGATCGATCTTGGAATGGTTTGATTTCTGGAAGGTTAGAAAGCGTTATACCGTATAAGTTATCTAATCGATTTCTTAAACTTTTCTTGCTCTATTGCAAATTCATCCCGACACAGTTGTCTACATTGCTACTTTCAAATATTGAAATAATGGGACAACAACAGTAAAGAATGAGGTCACGTCCGCATTTTAAAGGATAATCATCTCTTGAAATTGATCAAGTTTGTGCATGGATCGTATATAATTCAGTACAGTTCTATTGTTTGTTGCTCGTCCAATGCTCAAAAGGATTACAAACTACCTACACCTTCTACATTTCACCGTCCTAAGATCGGTTGGATGGCCGAGCGGTCTAAGGCGCTGGTTTAAGGCACCAGTCTCTTCGGAGGCGTGGGTTCGAATCCCACTCCAGCCATGTTAACTTTTAGTCTAAACTCAGCATTCAACGTTTCAAAAAGGGGCATTTTGAACAAACAGATTTGTTTGATTAACTTTTTACAGGTATTATTGACTTAACTTTGCTATTTATACGGTTATCAAAGTACAATGCAAAACAAGTAGACTTGCTCTAGAATGTCTAGAAAAAGACCCGCTTTAGTTTCACACACTCACCGGCTGGGAGTTGTGGCGTGCTCCTGTAATCTAGCTACTTAGGAGGCCTGGAATGGAGAACGGTTTGAGGGTGGGGTTCCTGCTCTCAGATGCGCTATGTCGATCGGGTGTCCGCACTAAGCTTAGCATCAATATGGTCTCTTCAAGGGAGCTTGGAGTTACCAGGTTGTCTAAGGAGGGACGAATCGGCCCAGGGCGGAAACGCAGCAGGCAAAAGTCCCCGTGTTCAGCAGTAGTGGGATCGCACCCGTGAATAGGCATCTGTTGGTAGCCTGCCTGATATAATCGAACCCATTCCTTTTTCCCCCCCCCGTTATTTTTAAATTTCTTTAGTTAAATTTAATACCTTAAATATGCCGATTTCAAGATTTCGTCTGGTTAATGTCAAAAACATAATCTTGTTCTTTGATCGCACAACATTCCTTGAATTTATTATATTAATTAAAGCGCAAGACAGGAAGTGTACACACGAGGACACGCCCACCGTGGACCATCGATTTTATCCTACAACCTGTATTTTGCTTAAAACAACGCATTTCCATGGCTTGTCTTTTTTATATATGTATACTATGATTAATATTCCCACATTCCTCTTTTTAAAAAATTAGTTCTGAGATGAAAATATGAATAAATGGAAGATATAAGCAAGAAAGACAACTCTTATTGTGTATTCGAACTGATTATGGAGTCAGACTAGTAAAAGACTGCAAGGTTTGCAAGGCCCACCAAGACAAAGGTTGAGCGAACGAAAATAAAAGGAGGACATCGTATAATGATGACGTAAAAAATTATTATTATTAACTGGAGTGTCAATGAGGAAGCTCTGAGCAGGAAGCCATCTTAGGTGTGATGATATTTGAGTCTAAATAGTAAATAATTATAAGCAAGCCTATATGGGTCGCGATGATTGATTTCATTGTTCACTAAAAAACTAAAAGGTCTGGTTGAGGTGCAAAGTACAATAGTGTCCATTGTATTTGCATACAGAAACTGTTGCCTCTATTCTGTTAACAAGTCAAGTGTTTTGCAGACAGGGTGACAACATAATATTACCCAAAAAGGTGGACCGTATTACAATTATGTACCGGGTATTGAACTAACATGTTCTTTTCTATGGCAGTATATTAGACTCAAAATTCTAACATGCTATCATCTAATTTCTATCTTCTATTCATGTAATTTCTAACTTTTATTCATGTAATTTCTAAATTAAGACAATGTATAATCAAACTTCCGTTTTTGATGAGTGTAAATTTTAATTCTGTTTCATCTTATTTCTATTATTAAGACGAAAAATGTCTACTTTCTTGTCACTTTACATGTTAAGCATGAAAGTCAAACAAATTTAGAATTTTGATACTTCTACTTAGCAACCATCATTATGACGTTGTTTGGTGTCGCCACCGTGTGATCGGGAAATTATGTTGATACCAACGACTCGCTCTTCGTCAGTTTGAATGGTTTGGCGGAGTGTTGAAATTGAAAACAACATCGAACGTGACATGGTTTGCGAATTGAAATACTATTTCAAATATAAGCTAAACCGCAAATGTTGTTTAGCTTTTATTTGAAATAGTATTTGTCAACCATTTCAGGTTCGATGTTGTTTTCAATTTCAGCATCGATGCCCCTGTTCGGCGGATGTACGTGACCAGGAGTAGTGTGGCCGGTCCAACCTCGTTGGTTTTTTTCCGGGTCCTCCCGTTTGCTCCCACTGCTAGACCCTTCCTCGCAAGCGAATTATTAAAATAAAATTGAACCATATGTTAGTAACGAAATGGCCTAGTTTGTGTCGAGTGGTCGTTGACCCTCTCTCTCTCTCTCTCTCCGGCCTGACAAGGACAGCTGTCTAGTCGTTCGGATGGAACGATAAACCAAGGTCCTGTGTACACATTGGCGTGTACGTAAAAGATCCCTTGACAGTTTGAATTCAATATAAGAGGAGGCCGTAGTGCCGCTGTCCTGGCAAAATTTCCATTATAGCACACCGGAGCATGCCCGTCTTCATTAATCCAGTTCAGAATCGAACAGTAGGACGTTAAACCCCATTTCATTTCCAGACGAAGAGAGAGAGAGATGGGGTTCAACGACCACTCGACACAAACTAGACCATTTCGTTACTAACATATGGTTCAATTTTATTTCAATAATTCGCTTGCGAGGAGGGGTTAGCAGTGGGAGCAACCAGGAGGACCCGGAGAAAACCAACGAGGTTGCACCGGCCACACTACCCGCCGAACCGATAATCGATGCTGAAATTGAAAACAACATCGAACGTGATATGGTTGGCAAATACTATTTCAAATACAAGCTAAACAACATTTGCGGTTTAGCTTATATTTGAAATAGTTTTTCAATTTGCAAACCATGTCACGTTCGATGTTGTTTTCAATTTCAACACTCCGCCAAACCATTCAACCTGAAGAAGAGCGAGTCGTTGGTATCAACATAATTTCCCGATCACACGGTGGCGACACCAAACGACGTCATAATGCTGGTTGCTAAGTAGAAGTATCAAAATTCTAAATTTGTTTGACTTTCATGCTAAACATGTAAAGCCTCTAAATAATAGAAATAAGATAAAATAGAATTAAAATTTACACTGAACAAAAAAAGAAGTTGGATTATACATTGTCTTAATTTAGAAATTACATGAAAAGAAGTTAGAAATTACATGAATTGAAGTTAGAAATTACATGAATAGAAGTTAGAAATTAGACGATAGCATGTTAGAATTTTGAGTCTAATATACTGCCATACTTTTCTGCCTGACAATTTTTATTTACTTATGTCAGTTGGTATTTTAATGACTTTAATAATATCTCAGTGCATCATATAGGCCTACAACATTTTCTAATACCATATTTATTTCACATGATAAACTCTATAAAATATAATTACTATTTATTACTGAGCTTCTTTTACTATGATTTGTTAGTTTAATCTAAATAAACAGTAATTATGAATGGAACGAGTGTATACAACGAAGTGTTTCATACTTATTTAACATAATATACACTTTTTATACTCAATAGTCACAGTGTCTGGCTAAACCTAGTAACCCATGCACTATAGATTACTCTCATCAAAACCTTGTAACCCACCACAATTGTCCAAACACTACTCCAATGGAAAAACATGATCAAAAGACTGGAAACTCTACATAATATAGATTTGTGTACTATAAAAGTGTAGTTCAGCATCCTTTGGGCAGACTTTCTATGCCAAGGTTGTCGAACATGCGACCCTTGGGCCAGATCCTGTCTGCCAAGGGTTTCAATGTGGCCCGTGGAACAAATTTCAACAAACTGACGTGTCGATAATTCTTAGAACCCAGTGGTGAAAATATTTATTATTGTTATCCGGGTTTCAGTAAAACTTTCACTTCCATACTGTATATCATAGATATGTATGTAATACACGAGAAGGTTATGTTCAATATTATATCTTGGCAATTTGGAAACCAGTCTAAAAAATTACCTATGTCACATCCACGTTTGGCTTTGATTTTAGAATTCAGTAAAGTTCAAGGAGGTTTTGCTTTGTTTTTAGAATTTTTGTATATCTCCGGCTCACTTGATGGAAAATTTAGTTCATGTGACCCCTGGATCGAAATGAATTTGACACCCCCTGCTCTACGCCATTATAGTGAACGCCTAATGTGCATCATATATTTAAGATCTTGATATACCATAAAGTAATGTTGATTACCGACACACAAAAGTAAAATTAATGTTTTTATTTTTTTCCTTTCTTTTTTTTTGAGGTTTGTTTTGTGGATGGTGAAGGTACAGTTTGTGAAGAACGTCTTAAATCTTCAATGGCACTCGACACTTCAAGTCCCTGATGTTCTAAATCTTTGTATTCATGCTCTAATTTAGATGGTGCTTCTTGTAATATTTCACATAATTTAACCATCTGACGAGCTTTAGAACATGCTTCACTAATCTCAGCATTCAGTTTCTCTAATTTCAATCTGTTATTTTCATCATCTGCGTCTATGTCACTTTCTTCACTACTGGCAGCATCTGGAAGAACAAAGATGCATAATTGATGAAAAATAGTTTGAAAAGCAAGATTGATTTACAATACAAAAGTTGAAACAAAAATATTTTAGGTATGTCAACTGCTAAAGGTAGCTATGCAAATCATGGAAATATGCCATTGCAACAGTCATGTCTCAACATCAGTTTATTAATTCGACGACAGAGCTGGGATAACTCTGAAACTTAAAGTCAAAGAATGCTGAATATTGATAGGGTTCATCATATAATGACCACAATGCTTCACATCAAATTTGAAATGAAGCCGATAAAAATTATAGCCTCTATTGTGTTTAGGGCTGACGAAAAATATCAATATTACTGATTATCGCCGGTAAAGCTTTCTGAAGATCGATAATTGATACAGTAAAATATCGATAATCGCGCAATTTTAGGTAGTCACTTGTGAGAAGAAATCCTTAAAAGGTAATCCTTATCACCGTAACCCGAGCTTGGGCCTAGCTTGGTAACTGTAATTAAACAGAACAGCCATTCCACACACATTTTGTTTTTCAAGTGAGACGCCAGCACTCCAGATTAAAGATGCGAGCGCTAAGAACTGTCGGCCACTTATGTTGAGAGTAAATCGTTCCTCATGACGTAATGTCTTCTTGAATATTGAAATTATATAGATCTCATAGAGACCAATAGCCAAAAAGATGACTTAAGCCACTATAAAAGGCATTCTGTGCACATGAGAAATCTAATCGTTAGCAAGGATGATTTAGACATGAGAGGAACAGAGTAAAATGAGATTTAGCGTCCACTGGACAAAAACTATGTCATTAAGAGACAAACATATGGTGATGCATATGGACATCTTTACAAAGTTAATATATTCCATTCAGTTGTTAGTAAGGATGATTGTGACTTAAGAGAGAGAAATGGGGTTTAAGGTCCACTCAACACACTAGGTCATTTAGGGACTAACATATGGTACAATTTTATTTCAATAATTCGCTTGAGTGAAAAGAGAAAATCCATGAGGTTGGACACTACACTATGTCACCTGCAAGCTGTCACGCCACTTAACTCAATGACAGACCTTATGATATAAAGCCTATGTGTTAGATTAGGGACAACTTTCATGCAATTTACACAGAATAAATCATCTTATATGACAATGATATGGTAATGACATGTGAAATATGGCACATGATTCAGAGTAAGCATATTTCAGCTCTTGGGTAAAAGATCACCATGCTGTCAATAGCTGCGGAAGGTTTGCAGCAGCATCTTCAGTACGTTCTTGTGGCTGGAAATGTTCTGTGGAGAACCGAGCAACCCAACCGTGATAGTTCTTGGGTGGCAGAGAACCAAGTTCACGATCACAAACAGTTAATCGCCGGTGGCTTGAAGAATGTACATGTTCGCTCTTGTAACAGGTTATAAGGACGAGGGGATTGTAGATGAATTAGTGACATTAATTATAATTCAAAGTCACCCGATCAGCAGATGACTACACAATAGGCATAGGATTAGTGGGTTTGCGTGCCCAGTCACTTGCTGAATATGACCTTTTCTGCCAAATAGGTTTTTTTGATCAAAAATATTTTACGAATCAGACCCACTTATTCCGATCTGTATTTAGGAGCCAATCATTAAAATCCCTGAAGGAGAAGAGGATATAGGCCAAAAACAATACTACAAAACAAAACAGTACTCTAGGATACAAAAACTTAAAGAAAGGTCAGAGAGCATTTACACTCAAACATTGGAATATAAGTATGTGAGCACTTCTGCTCAAACGTAGGTACATGCAGGAGGTTGGCACATGAAGTCAACATTATCCTGGAATGCCATAAATCTTGTGATCTATGCCATTTTCCACTTCAGAGATTTCAGTACCAGATATTAAATGTCCCTACATAAACACTTCTAAATGTTTCTTCTTATGGTTCTTTTTTACATGAGAAGGTGGACAATATATCAAGTTTATGATAGTCATGCCAGTCAATAAATCTATACAATGATCTGCTCCTAAATACAGACCTTAATAACCGTGGTCTGATCCCTGCAAAATTATATACAACTTATGATCCTTCACTATGGCTATAAAGTGAGCGAAACGTATAGAAGTATCAGTAGTTATTTGGAAATAATCGTTGGTCATTGCTGAAAAGGTGTTGCTTTGGTTAAATTGTGCCGATATAAAAGCTTGCCATGCCAGGCCATACATTTATGCACTTCCGTGATACTAACTACTGAATACAGATGAGAATAATTGTTGCTTGATTCTGCAAAACTTTACACCAGTTATGCCCCTTTCATATGATGACAGATGACCGCGAATGTCCGATTTTGTCACAAAAACATCATGCTTTTTAAATTTAACCAAGATAGCATATTTGGTACAAGGAATGGTCAAGTAACAAAACATAGTATACTGAGCGCCATGGAAAACGCATCACTTTTTTTTCCCAAATATTTTATTACTAGGTGGTTTTGTATGTATAATTTTATGCAATACTATGAACTATTGTTTCACACAATGCTCCCAAACGCAAAAAATATCGGCCCGTGTGCAAAAAAAAAAAATGCACGAGATGCACATGAAAAACCCAATATTCACGTGCAGCATTGTGTGTGAGCCCTTTAAAAGCATGTTTTCAACTTAATGTGCAGTACATGAACTGTGAAACGTCAATCTGTCGTAATTTGTTGTTTGACGTGTGAAGGAATCGAGCTAGAGATGCCGAGACTTACTGAAAATCAACGGAATGAAGCCATGGGAATGTCCTGGGCTGGCATGTCTACACATGCTATTGCCAGACACTTCAATTGTCATAAGTCCACTATTGTAAGGTTGGTGGAACGTGTTCAAGTTACTGGATCAACACGTCACTGTCAACGTCTTGGTCCACAACACGTTACAACCCAGACTCAAGACCGCTACATCCGGGTCACTCATCCATGTGACATTTTCCGGCCAGCGACTCGAACAGGTGCAGCAGTCGTCAGAAGACAAGGACCAGTAAGTGCAAACACCGTAAGACGTCGTCTAAGAGAAGTAGGACTCCGTGCACGACGATCTTATGTTGGAGCTATCCTCAGGGATCATTACCGTCAGCGGCGTTTGATATGGGTCAAGGACACCAGACATGGAGAAGAGTAGACTGGCAAAGTGTGCTCTTCAGTGATGAGAGTCGCTTTCATCTTTATCACGCTGATGGCCGTCAACGTGTGTGGAGACGTCTTGGGGAACGTCTTGCAGACTGCTGCGTCTTCGAAACGAATCGCTGGGGTGGGGGAAGTGTAATGGTGTGGGGAGGCTTCACATTTCATCACCAGGCCGCCCTACACATTTGCAGGGGCTGGGTTAATGCTGTAGCCTACCGTGACGATGTCTTGAATGCAACCAATTGTTGTTCCAATGTTTCGAGCGCACCCACAACTTCAGCACTTCCAACAGGATAATGCACGTCCGAATACCGCCTGTTTTAGTATGGACTACCTGGCTGCTAACAACATCAATGTCTTAGACTGGCCAGCCATGTCTCCGGACATGGCACCGATAGAACATGTCTGGGATGAGATTGGACGCCGTCTGAATCGGAGACTACAGATGCACACCATTGCTGCTTTAGAAGCTACTCTTGTCCAAGAATGGAACAATTTGCCCCAGGCCTTCTTTCAAACAGTGGTAAATTCCGTGCGACGTCGCTGCACAGCATGCGTAAGAGTCCGTGGAGGACACACGCGCCACTTACATCTGTGTCATACTTTTGGTTTTGACCCCTCTGACTTTGTACCGTTGAATACAGATTAAACATTCATAAGTGTACAATTTTTTTGTTATTGATGTGTTCCCATTTGAATATTGTTCACAGTAAGAAGCAAAATAAATAAGATATGTTTACAGGATCATTTTGTTATACGAAAAACTAAGTGATACGTTTTCCATGGCGCTCAGTATACTAATGTTGATAATCAATAGCCATTTGAACTCTTGAAGACAGTAGTGGTCATCAGTGAAAAGAAAGAGAGAGAGAGAGCTGGGGTTTAACCTCCACTCAACACAAACTAGATCATTTCGGGACAAACATATGGTTCAATTTTTATTTCAATAATTCACTTGCCCGTAGGGATCTTTAGCAGTGGGGGGAAACTGGAGGACCCAGAGAAAACCCAAGAGGTTGGATAGGCAACCATACTCCTTGTCATGTACAACCGGGGAATTGAAACCAAACCATGCTAGTCGACTCAATGACAGACCTTATGATACAGCACACACATGCTAACCATTCAGCCATCCACCCTCCTCAGTGAAAAGATGAATTGCGTGGGAAATACCATTTTTTACACCTTTTCAGAATATTGCAGCACTTCTGACATTTACTTTGAGGAATACCCTCCACAACCACACCAAGCAATTCTATGCCAGAGTGAGAAAATAAAACCTTGCTTACCTCGCTAGAGTCTGTATGCGCGACACAGGGTGAGTGTAATGAGACCTACGTTCAGAGCTGAACTACCTCGGCAGTAGCTTATCCGAAAGGAAAACTTGAATGTTAACCAATTTGATATTTCAACAAAGGGGGGATAGCTCTGGAAACGAAAGTCACAGATTGCTGAATATCAATAGAGTTCATTTGATCTCTAACGGCCATACAATGCTTCACACAAAATTTTAAATGAATACGTGAAATAATATATCCTTTATTGGCCCGGTTCACAAGGTTTTCTGAGAAGGCTGGTTTAACTCCGGAATGAAATATTGAAGAGAGAGAGAGAAATGGGGTTTAACGTCCACACGACACAAACTAGGTCATTTCGGGACTAACATATGGTTTAATTTTATTTACATAATTCGCTTGCGCGTAGGGGTCTTTAGCAGTGGGAGGAAACCGGAGAACCCGGAGAAAACCCACGAGGTTGGACAGGCGACCCTACTCCTTGCCACGTACAACCGGGAAATATTGAAGAAGACTGAATATCGATAATTGTTTTTATTTGGTCTTCTCATGGCCCTGGCCAATGCTTCCCACCAAATTTGAAAAAAAAATCTGTTAGATTTTTGCAAGACGATGCCATCAGTAGGTGCCCCTTCTTTGTCAATTTAAAGTCTTTAGCAATATTGGTCATGGAAGGAATTTTCGAACGCTCAACGCCGTACCAATATGTCGTAATGCCATTATGATCATGAATATGTAATAACTAGCAGGATACCCGGCTTCGCTCGGGGGTCATAACTCCGAAACCGGAAGTGGTAGACTAACGCCACCTAGCCTATGTTACTCCCCGGTCCGAGCTACCCCTATACCCCAAATTTCAGACTCGGGGCAGACCTAGTGTAGCCACCAACCCCGAACAGACCGGCTTCGCTCGGGGGTCATAACTCCAAAACTGGAAGGGGTAGACTAACGCCACCTGGCCTATGTTACTCCCAGGTCCGAGGTACCCCTATACCCCAAATTTCAGACTCAGGGCAGACCTAGTGTAGCCGCCAACCCCAAACACTACAGACAGACAGACAGACAAACGACAGTCACAAATATATATATAGATTACTATTTAAGGCAACACAAATAAAATAACTTGTTTCTCGGGCACCGCCCGCACGCAAAATTGGTTGCGCGTGCAGTCTATTTATTGGTCTTGATGAAAAAAAATAAATATGTAACGCCCGCCCGCACATCGACAAGCAAGTCGTAAAAAAAATATCCCGCATGTACCTACATCCGCCATACATGTATATCTATTCAAATGTATTAAAACTGATTCAGATGAACATGCTGTCTTTTTTATCCGAACAATGGCGAAGTTTGGCAGATTTGCCTTTTTTATTGATATCGAAAGAACCTCCATTTTGTATCACGTGATATTAATTACCTCCCCTGATAAACTAGAATTTGATTCGTGTTAAAAGTCATTGGCGACAATATTTCAATCATTCGATCGTAATCGGCTCATTATTGCCGGCTTCAGTCGGTCCTTGTTTGGAAAATCCTATTGATAAAATAATGAACCGTAGAACAGGTTAATTAATTATAGCTAAGAATACGATACGATGACGATAGTCGTCATAATGCATACCTTAGAATCTGGGTCATTATTAGCACATTTACGGTAGTTTCGATAATCCGGAAAATAATAATTGGATTACCGATTTGATGGTTTTACTGACCAGTTGTTAGTTAGATTTAAATAGTCATTCAATATAAACACCGGATAGAACACCGAATATCCTGAGAAACACACCGAATATCCCAAGAAACAGTATTTCCGGCAATCTCCAATACCGATGCCACGGTTACGTGACATGCATTGGTTGGAATTCGGTAAATAATTATAAATAAACCGGCGATACTAGATTTAGTTTTAAATACTGTTTACCATGATTATTATTTTTGATACACCTGGTGAAAGAGGCTTAGTTTTTAAAAATATTGTTGTCTTTATGGAGGGCTATTACATAGTCGTATGGAATTTTATTTTAAACCAATTTCAATTATGTGAATTAAATATGGAAAATTATTTTCCTTTCAGTCAGTGTTCAGTCTCAGTGTTTTAGTAGACTTGATTTTGGGTTTATGTTTTAAGTATGTACAATAAAGTTGAATATAACGGAAAGCAAAAACGTAAACAAGTAATGACTTTCTCATTAAAAAAAAAAAAAAAAGAAAGACCGCCCTCCCGCCCCAACAATTTTCAGCAATAGCCAAATTTTATTTTGCACCATCAATGAGTAAAAAAAAAAAAGAAACCGCCCTCCCTCCCTACAGTTTCAGCTGTCAGTTGCCCGAGAAACAAGACATTTATTTTGTGTGGCCTAATATTATATTTTATATACCACTTTAGTACTTACTACTGCCAATACTATGAGAGGACACACAATTTAATTTTTGTAAAACAACGTCATCAGTAGGTGCCTCTTCTAAGTCTTTAGCAATTTCGGTCATGGAAGGAATTTTTGGACGTTCAACGAAGCTCTTTGACATGGTAAGTGATCTGGTTTTCCGTTTATAAGTATAAGCGATCAAGTATGTTTATCTCTTATTAGACCGTCAGCAGGTGCTATTAACTTTTGTGCTTTCACAACACGAATGAGATACCAAAGGGGAGTAACTGTAAATGTAAAGAAAAAAAACCAAAAAAAAACAGCCTTATGGTATCAAACTACTAGCAATTATTTGCCCATTGACTTCAATGTTAAATGTCTGTAACATCACAGGCTGTAGCCTTTTGCTCAACATTCCGTTGGTTCCAATCTTTATAGGCACAATGAGCACCACATTTGGCAATCTCCGCATCATAATTTTGTAGGGGGTTGACTGTTTATCCTAGATTTTTTGCTACGGGGATTTGATGTTGACTGGAGTGAAAATCTCATCCGACACAATGATTTCTCTGCATAAAGACACTTTACACCCCCTATCCCTCCGCTCTGATATCATCAGTATTACCCAAAAATGCTATGAAATTGCAAATTTGATCAAACAAAAAATGCAGGAAGAGGGGAGAAAAAAATAAAGAGAATAATTGTCTATTACCAGTCTTAGTACATATTTTTATTTTTTTCACACCCCCCCCCCCCAAAAAAAAATACCCCACTATTTCTTTTCAGATATAGAATATCACCCCGTATCCGATTTATTTTACAAATGTTACTGTCCTGAAAGGTCAAAGTCGAGTTTATAAATAAATAAAGTGCCCAAAATTTACTTATCCACACCTGAATTCACTTTGAAAAACATCGGAATACGCCCTAAATACAACTATATTTACTTACATTTTGTATTAATATTAATAATAGAATTATTGTAATAATTGTAATATAAATTATTATGGTATAAGTTGAAATAATTGTGGATTTGGGTAAATAGAGCGCTCCCGGTATTCCGTGCAAAATTCAAGAAATTTATTTAAAAACACCGAAAATTACCGGAATTCACTTTGAACAAATTGTAAATCATCCTCAAGACAATTGAATATACTGATATTTTGCATTAATATTAATAATAGAATATGTCTTTTGCAGGAAATTAATATAAATATTGTTGTTGTTTTTTTTTTGTATTTTTTTAAAAAATACCGAAATTCAATAACAATCTATAATATTTACAAGGCAAGAACTCGATCGAGGTCTGACTTGTTAATCATATGTGCGGCCGTTGAGTTACGTCTCGTCTAGCGAGTTTACTGGAAATACAAGATGATTATAATGCAGCAGTATTCCATGTAAATTAATGTCAAACGAAAAATAATCCCGAATTATGAGCAAAATGTTTTAATTGATGACGAGCTTACATTATAGAACCAAGAGAGTTATTTAAAATTAAACTGGAAATAAGACAAGATACAAAATTGTTACACCAAATAAATTCTGATTAATAATGGTATGAATGTTATCATAGACAATCTGTTTCAACGTGAAGCTGTCCAGATTGTTAATTGGGAGTTGTCATATACCGTTGGTCGATTTACCGAAATTCACAAAATATACCTGAATACGATCTCCAAGCAAGAGATTTCGTGTAATACACGAGTTCTGTGCATTGGTTACTTCTAACCTTGCTTTGAAAAAATCAGATTTCTTGTGCAGACGGGTAAAGTGAAAAAACAAAATGAAAATAATTTTTTTTATGGAAAAACGCCCTTTGCCTTTTTAGCCAGGTAAAATAAAGTGCCCGAAATCCCATGACTTTTTGGTTTAGAGCCATTCCACATTGTGCAAAAGTTTTCGGTCAACGGTCATTAATTATAGTATTATCAATTTTTCGAGAATCGAAATTTCTTTAAATTGACTAATGGGTAACGCGTTTTGCGGCCGTCTAATTTTCATAAATTTGTTTAGGGAGACAGCTAACCCCCCCCCCCCCCCCCGAACAAATTCCTCGACGGCACCGCTAGATGGTAACCGGGATTTTGTTAGGCCATATCTTTATTGTCCACTCTCCTCCAAAGTCTGCATTTCAGGTGGGCGAAACAAAATAAGGCTATATTAGATTAGACTACTTTTTTGTTTCTTTACTCACGGACCGGAATTCTAATTTTCAAAACTTCCTTGGGGAGTCAAAGCCACGGTGGCTAAGTGCGTAAGTTCATCGGAATTTTCCAACGTGGTTTCCTCTTCTCAGTGGTGCAGGACGGGGAGGGGGGGGGGTCTGGCAAGGACAGCTGTCTAATCGAGGTCCCAAATATACATTGGCGTGCACGTAAAAGATAAAAGAGCAGGCCATATGGCCGCTGCCCGGGCATAATTTCCTTCATAGCACACTGTATGGCGTATGCCCGTCGTTATTAGCCCAGTCGGAGAAGAACAGGACGTTAAACCCCATTTCATTTCGTTTCATTTCTTGGGGGAGTCACTAATACCTACCGACGCTCTCTGGTACCAGACGACGGAAATTTTGGGGGTATTTTCATTTCTGCCCCCCCCCCCACACCTCAACCCCACAAAGGTGACCTGGCTCGTACGCCTATGTAAGTATTGTCGTAATTTAGCGTGAATAACACGTTTCACCGATCTGATTGGCACCATCGGTGCAGAAAAGTTGGACGTTAAATTAAACCCCACTCCATTTCATTTCAACGATCTGATGAACAAAATGGGTCTGATTTAATCTGGGCAGCCTTTAGAAGAAAGTAGGAGACTATTAAAGTGGGTACGTCTGTCTGCCCGTCACACTTTTTGGGTATTTACTGCTCAGGCTTAACAGAGATAAGCAAATTGATTGGCTGATGCAATGGAACTCGATAACTTTGCTTCTAATTAAGTGATGAATTTTGGTGTATAGTTTCAGTATATCAATGCTAAATTCGATAATGAACGTTTTCTATTCAGGATAAGCTGCTGTTGACACGCAAAACAGACTAACATGACTTAATTTAAATAAAACCTGTAGAGAATTAAAGTATTCTTAAGCAAGTTTCAACTTTAATCCGTATTAAGAAATTAGGTTAAGGATTAACTGATTGAACGCGCCTGGTTGGCAAGTATCGGCCACACCACGCTTTTAACCTATAAAACTTCGAGTGATATTTATTGTTTCAGTTACTTAATGTTTTTACTTCAGCGAGGAAATTACTTTGGTTGAAATAAACGCCCCAAAATGGTAGCTCGCTATAATTAATGAGAACAATGTGATTAAATATATTTTAATCAATGAACCAAAGATTATGAACCAAGGGATATTAATCTTAGGAAATCTAAGTGACCTGCAATTTAATAACCCCCCCCCCCCCATCAAAAGGCTAATAAAATAAGAAAAGATTGTATGAAAATGTAATTAAAAAAGAGCATTGTCACTCGCTTAGGGCCCGCTTGACCTAGTTTAGTTCATTTTACAGTATATTACCACAGAACGACTTTGTTTATACAAATTCCAGTCTGCTTTCAAGACTTTTCACGGAAGAGAAACAACATAAATTAGTGTTTGAATGAAATGTAGATAAAGGCAATGTTGACTTATTTGTTTTAATTGACCTTTCTGTTGCGTTTTGTATTGATGAACCATCTCAAAGACAAATTTAAACTAGATGGTACGGTGTTGAAGTGGTTCAAGCGTCTCGAATAGAAGTTAATCAATAACTGCGAAAAACAGTTTAGGGACCCTACAATGTGGTATCAAGAATTCTTAGATCTCAGTCTCAACTTAACTTAATTGTGCATGTATGGAAATTAAAATCTTTTGGAAGTCGCGAGTGCAATTAAATGGAATTCACTGCCCGTATCTCTCAAATCTGCCCCATCACTAACAATATTTAAATCACGTTTCAAGACCTATCTGTAATTTCTTATAGATAATCATATTTTCTTAGGTTTTTGAGCAGACATTTTGTTCTGTAATTTAGGGCAATGTAAAAACAAATCCTTAATATTTGTTATTAAATCAAGTAAATGACACTTTTCCTGATAGGAAGTGATACTGGTTATAGGGTAAACTATCCTTCTATGACAAGTACGTCTTTACCCTTCCACGAACAGTTTTATCACACATCGGACATTTTAATAAACCAAGGACACATAATTCACATGCAACAAGATGCCCACAAGGAAGAAGAGCAATATTAGATTTAACATCCATACACATTTCACACAATTGCTGTTCTTTTAATTCCTCATTTTCTGGCAAAGGATTCAAGGATCTTGTAAATATATGAACAATAATACAGACAAATAAGAAAAACACATGGCTTAAACAATGGTTGTACTTTTATAATAAAGTTACTTTATATTTAATCATGAGACATGTTGGACATTCCAAAACTTTCAACAATCAACTATGAAAAACTGAAATGGAAATTTACAAGCGCAAACCTTTATCCTGGTTATATTTTATTTCCCGTCGATGTGGAACAAAATAAGGTACATGTAATGCGTTGTATATATTTCTTGAATCTGAACACCTCCATTTTCAAATTCTCCTGGTTGTGCAGCCAACGTACACGATAATCCCCAGCTGGATATCCCGTTTCCATCATATCGTCAGTTTTACTTTAGGTTTCGGGGACACAATGTGCACGTCAAGGGTGGCGTTAATCCATCGAGAAGTTAATCCGCAAACAATAAACAATAGGGATGTAACTCTTTAATCGGTGGATAATCGTCAGTATAATAACTGACTTCCGTGTGTATTTTGTAACATTCAATGAGTCGGGTTTTTTTGGTTTTTTTTTTTAAAAATGAGGACATGTAACTCTTCCAGAGCGCCAGTATGTATACACATATTGGTTATGTATCAGAATTAACTATGTTATATTTTTTACTGATCTGTATCTCAAACAACCTAAAATGAAAATTAAAAATGCTAATAATGATTTGGTTAAAGGTCATGTAAACAGGGCTAGCTCTAACCCCAACCCTAACCCTAACCGTGGACCTAGCCCTAGCCCCAAATTCTTAAACCTAACCGTGGACCTAGCCCTAACGCTTAGCCTAAACCGAACCTACAATCTCGCCAACAATCACGTGCCCTAACCTTATTTACATGTCAGCGACCTTGACGAAAATTGAGTTGGCCTTAACAAACAGATCTAGCCATAGTTTGGTTAAGTTCGATAAATAACATTTTTCTACACAAGTTAAGTAAAGTGATGAATAATTTGCTCTTTGCTTTAATATAGGGGGGTGGGGTGGGGTGGGGGTGGGGTGGCTGAATGGTTAGGATGCGCGCGCTGTATCATAAAGTCTGTCATTGAGTCGACTGGCGTGGTTTGGAATCCCCGGTTGTACGTGACAAGGAGTAGGTTCGCCTGTCCAACCTCGTGGGTTTTCTCCGGGTCCTACAGTGTTTTAACTGAAAATTCGACATAATTTTAAAATTTCCTCCCACTGCTAAAGACCCCTACGCGCAAGCGAATTATTGAAATAAAATTAAACCATATGTTAGTCCCGAAATGACCTAGTTTGTGTCGAGTGGACGTTAAACCCCATTTTTCTCTCTCTCTGGTTTAAGATAATAGAAATGTGCAAGTAATTAACGAGTGTCACTTTGGAATTATTTTGGAGGACACCAGTCTCACTGTCTATCTATCGTAATCATAGTAGTAATTGTATTTATATCCATAGGCGTACAAACCCGATGGATGATGGGGTGGGGTGGGGCTCAGACATGAAATGCCCGAAGAATTTCTTCGAAAGGCGGGGGTCAAAATCTAACCAATCGTGCCTGTAATGCCGAAATAACTTCAATGGTCGTAGTGATGTGGTTAACAGGAATTATGTAAGAGCTAAATCTGCCTATTGCATGTCTTTATTTAGGCCTTAAATGAAATGAAATGGGGTTTAACGTCCTACTGCTCTGCTCCGACTGGGCTAATGAAGACCGGCATACGCCATACAGTGTGCTATGAGGGAATATTTGCCGGACAGCAGTTATTTAGTGGAATATAAACTATTAAAGGGGAATTTGGTAAGATTAGATAAAGAACTATAATGGTTAAAAAAATAGATAACCAAATCAGAATATGCTACAAATTTCAGTCATATTGCTTCACTCTGAACCGAGATAATATCAATTCAATTTTAGGATAGTCTCGATCGTAACGTTGGTACGATAATAGGCAAAGTCTCGATTATCCATTTTTACGTTAAATTATCAATCACAAAATGTATTCAAATCCATTAAATACCACAGGCTAACGATGGCATCAAGAGTTGATTATAGTCTGGATACATTAATGAATGTCAAATTAGTAATTTAGATAACATTTCAGGCCTAAAGAAAGACCTGCAAACGACAGATTTAGCTCTCGCATGATGCAGGTTTAATTAGACATTTATTAACACAAGACCATAATCAACTCTCGAAGACATCTGGTAAGTCCGATTTTAAACAGATTTGAATCCGATCTGCGGTTCAAAGACGGTTGATGATTAATAGGAAAAAGGAGATATCGAGAAGTAAATTGACTGAAGTTTTTAACATATTCCCTTTACATTATCTATTTTGTAACTATTATAGCGAGAACTGCCACCTCTATCTGATCGTTCATAATGCCGCTTTAATATACACGTATTAGACTTACGACTAAGGCCGCTACAAGAACATTCTGTATTGGTCAAATCCTGTTCCATCTTCAAAATACAAGGATAATTTGACACCCCACCCCCAACTGAACCCATGTATTCATGGGCCAATTATTCTTTTTGAATGCTGGCTGGCTGGCGAACATGTGTGCAAGGCAATGAAGGCCACCAAAACAATAAGTTATAACCGATGAAAACAATTATGAAAAGAATAAAAAATAAATTCTTTATTGATGATAACTCGGACGATAGTACAATAATAATGATAATCATTTATTTTTAATATAGCGATTTACATAAAAGCATCTCAAACCGCTTTACATCAATATAGTAATTACCTAGTGTATAATTCAATGATAGACAGTACATAAAATCATTCTAAAAATAACATTACAAGTAATTAAAAGAAATATCAACAAAAACTAGACAACTTAACCTAATACTATAAAACTCTCGAGTATGTTATATAATTTCTTTTTCTAGTTGCATATTTACAATGTATTGCATATTTCATAATCTTGCGGCCTCAACAATAAAATTTTCTAAAAACGTGTGTTTTCAATGCGGTTTTGAAGGAGGCGAACAAATCTATATCACGGAGAGAGGCTGGCAGGCTATTCCACAGATGTGGTGCATAGATACAAAAAGCGCGGTCACCGTATGCTCGTGACGGTTTTGGTCTCATATTGTGATTCAAGGGTAACAAATTCTGAAAAGTTGACCTGTAAGTATGTAGCTAGGTGCCTGCTTGGACGAAATAGCCAGGGTAGATCCCTTCAATGTGTTTTAACGTTTAAATGATATTTTGTTGCAGAAATCATTATTTTATATACTTAGTTTTGGTGTTGTGATTTTAGTGTCACATACCCGATTTGATGTCCAACCATGTGGCATAATGTCACATATTATCTGTTTAATCAACACGTCTGGGTAATAACTGGGCATGCTTTTGTGAAACACTTTTTAACTACCACATACACAAATATTTCAAAACTCCTCTTATAAAATTCATCCACAGCAATTTCTAATTTTCAGATGTATATTTATATGATAATTAAGTCTACTAATGCCATAATATGGAACCAGATAAAGATAAACGTTGACGATTAACAGACAGGTTAAATAAATGCAGCATTACAAGAATGTTTATGCTACTTTCCCATACCCCAAATCCACGTTTATGACAAATAAGTTTTGACGCTTCCACGCACTGCTTTACAACACCTCGGACATTTTGTTAAAACAGGGGCACATGATTCACATGAAACACGATGGCCACAAGGAAGAAGAACAATATTAGATTCAGCATCCATACAGATTTTACACAATCGCTGTTCTTTCAATTCTTCATTTTCTCGCAGTAGCTCGGATGATTCTGTAAATAATTGAATAATAACAAAGAGTCAGGAAAGTTATTTTGTATTAAATCAATTTGCATTTAATATATTCCGAGGATTTTATAAGACTTCTGTTTAATCATCAGTTTGAATAATTAATGGGAGTAAATTTACACACACAAACGAATATAATTTAATCATAATCATGTAATTTGTTGAATAAATTAAGGAGACATAAGAAACAACTGACTTGTTCAGAAAATTTGTTAATATCAACAGAAACATTGGGTAAACATATATATTATATAAAGAGTTTTGTTATATTAAATCTCAGTACATTGATTTTTACCTTATCCTTGTTGTGGAATAGCATCGGTTCTTGCTTCAGTTGCTGCTTCTGATGCTTGCTGTTTTGCTGTTGCCGCTTCAGCAGCAGCCAGGGTGCCATTGGGCACATGATTATTCTTATCGGTGACAACTGGATGTCCCGTTTTCATCACATCGTCATTTATTTTAATCCTAGGTCCAATTGTGACACTATCCATGTCTGAAGCTGCATTAGGCAGATCAGAACCGTTCTTATAAAGCTGGCCTGAAACACAATTGGCGGAAATCTTAAACCGCAACATTTAATTAACAGGGATGTGGTTATTTAGATTGAGGTACTCTTGGTCAAGTTTTGGGGTGGTATATTATTATACGACATCACATACATTATGTGGTGGCTCTGGATATTATAATGTCGGTATTCGAACCGATGTCGCGATGTATGTATATGTCGCGATAGTAAATAAACTACCTTGACTATATAATGTAGAAGTTATGAGTACTGAGATTGAACAATGCCTAAAAATGGCGGTAAAGTTGATTATGTTGATATCAATGATGATCATTTGTGAACATTCGTTTCTTACGCTATAAAAGCGTTTAAGATGTCCCTATGAGCGCCTTTTCCGCTTTGATCAGTAAATTAGTATGCAATATGCCCTTTTACAACTGTTTTGTTTGTAGGGGTGATGTGCGTGAGGGTGTGTGTGTGTTGAGGGGGGGGGGGATGCCTAAAATTGGCGGGAAATGTGACCAATGCCTAAAATTGGCGAGAAGTGTGATATCAATTATGACCATCTTGCATCTAAAGAAGTGTATAGGTTGCCCTTTGGGCAGCAGTATAGCCTTTCTGGTTAATGATAATTTGTAAAATGGACGAGAAATGTGATAATGTTGATATACATGATGATTATTTTATAGATGTACCAACAGTCCCTTTCCCTCTCTCACCCCTACTCACACCTGGTCCCCACACAAAACAAAACAGTTATTCAGGAGGGTCATAGAATACACTTATTTAGAGATATAAAACCTGTACTGACCTGTAATACCCGGATAACCATTAGTTCCTACAACCTAAAATAGCGTTCAAAGGTATACTAATCAATTAAATTAATATATATAGAAAACGTTAAAGTTACAATTTCATATTTTTAAGTTATATTTTTAAACTGTATTAAAATAAAGCCCTAAAATAGATGGTATCTATAAACAGTCCTACCTTGTTAAAGAATAATCCTATTAATCCTATAATTCACTATTGCCAGTTGATAAATTGGCAAAAATATCATTTTCAACTTCAAATTCAAACGTTTGAAGATAGCTATTCCATGGTGGGGAATAGGAAAACAAGGGAGGTAATTGGGAGGTAATTGTGTTATTATTTCCGGTGGGAAGATTTTTAAATGTGAGATAGATAACCTATGATCGTATAATAGTGAGTTGACAACTTGTTGAGCAAAAGACATAGAAATAATTATGTTTTGACTTTCTTAGAAAATATGAAATTGTAACTTTAATCACTGGCGAAAATATCAAGTCAAATAATATATAGCCCATCACAAAATTTAAAATGAACCAACCTCTGTGTTTTAGACCAAGATACAGTATTGGATTGGGTTGGTCTATTATTTCTATTAGTGATGGGCTTGGCTCTATACATTAAATTCGTGATTCCAGTGATGAAGCGGAAGTTGGCTTCTTTTAGTTTAAAATTTGACTTACAGTGGAAACACAAAAGGCCAAAATGGAATACATTGCAAAACTGGCTTTATCAACATAAAACTTTCAATTAAAATAAATTGTTATTCCACAGACAAATCTAGAGAAATAGACAATTGTATTGCTGACCCAAATCAAAGCGGCTGTATCACACATTACTAGTAACGTTATATTTACGATAACGGCGTTCAAATTCATAAAGAAAACTTGAATTGTTGTAAAAGAGCCACACACTGTTTCGATAGATATGGCATGCTGATACCCCTTTGTACGAAATGATCTATCTTGTACCCATCCCTTAGCTTACCTTTGCCGTACCGGTACCAGGTTGATGTATAGTGTCCACAAATTCTTGACCTTTGATCCCCAGTAAATAAGCACATTTAGGAAACCATTTTGCATGCTCATTCCATGGGATATCCTCATCTCTCCAGGATTTTAAAATCCCACCACCGAAAAAACATTCTACAGCATCTTCTCGGTCTGAAAATAAAGTAGAATTTTTATCTTATATGAATAACAATTATTACCCATGTCATAACACAATGTTTTAGATGTTTTGAAGACATCACGGATTCTATATCACTACTTACCGGGTTCAAAATCGAGCACGTGACATGTTGTGCTATACGATGTCTATATATATATATAAATATATATATGAAATTGCATATTTCAGGAAATGAAGAGATCTATTACAGTTAAAAATGAACACCTTCTATGAAAGAAAATATACGAAAAACTATTTTTCATCCATAGATACATAAAGCCATAGACTATGTTCAACCTTGAGCCAAACAGCAATTTGATATGGAGATGCTCCTGGAATGACATCGTTTCTATCTCTGATCAACATACACACCTTGAGCTCTAGGTGAGTTATTTCCTGTCTGCGACGCCTTCTACACAACGAGGCGTGTACTGTGACACCAGAGATCGAGGAATGTTTGTAACCGTCCCATCACGTTTCCCTTCGCTACCAACTGATTGCTCGGTAGTCAAATATTGGCTGTTATTCAAGGTGATCTTACACAGATAGTGTATACAGAGCCTTAATAATCCATAGGTACTGCAAATATTTACTGAGAGCACCGAGTACTCCTCTTCTCACACAATTCAAGTACATGTTATTTAATGTTTTGCGTGGATTTGTTTTAAATTATAAGTACACTGTATATTTCTATTTTGATTATTTGAAAATGATTGTAATTGTTTTTATTTGTATCTTTAACGTAGTATTTGATCCCAACCTTGCAATGTGGACAAGTGTGTGGATGTTGTATAATATCAATGTAAATAAGATAATAAATCTTATACATGAGATTCCACATTTCTAAATATGTTATGGATTTACACCACAATTTTCAGCATCGACAATATGTTACTTGGTTAATAAATTTTAACAAGCCTACCAAGGTAGTAAAATCCAGCTTCAGCAATCTGTTCTTTGCTGGGCAATGGTGATCTTCTCGGCCAATTAGCAAATGTTGCCACCCGAGTAGTGAGGATAGCTTTATCTGGTTGGGAAGCTGTTTGAGTGATGATACCCAAATCTTCTGCTGTTGCTGGTGCATCACTTTAAACTAGGTTCAAATTTCCACTATCTAAAATAGTTGATAGTGGATTAAGAGCTGCTCTAACATCTTCATCTGTAGAACCATAGAACTAGAATACTAACGGGAACGCCCACCGTGTGACGTCACTACCTTATGTGACGGCGGGCCTCTGACGCTGATATCGGGCACAGCTTACTTCCGGTTTCTGCTGGCACTAACAAAATGCCTGGCGCGAATTGTGTTTTGTTCGGATGTTCCGCCTGCAATAAAAGAAATCGGGGTTGATCATTCTATCGCTTACCCAAAAACAACATAGAGTGGAGAGAGAATCATTACGTATCATACAGTCTACCAGATCAGACCCGATAAATGACAAGACCTTGACAATATGTTCAAGACACGTTGAGCCGGATTATTTCGTTGAAAAAGTAAGTGAAAACTCAAATCAAAAGAAATTAATTATGTAGATTCTAGTTGGCAGTCCACCCTGACAACCTACAATGAAGTTAAGTTAAACCCATACTAGCTGAATGTCTGTATTTTCATGTTTGCCCGTTAGATTTTACCCTTTCTCTCATCAAAGTTGTATGCATATAGGTTTGTTTACATTAGTGCCGTAGCTAGGCCTAGTCTACTTGCAATTTGTTATGAAATTGACGAATACTACACCCGATGAGTGTGTGACAGCATGACGATTCTCTCTCAACAATCTTCTTTTACTTTAATTTTATGAATTACTAATTATTATTTTTTTTTAAAGGTCAAAGTTTTAACTGAGCAGCTCCATAAAAATTAAAATTGTATATTTATTTATGACTGACCTTGACCTGTCAAATCCTTTTACTTTTAAATTCCGAAATAATCTTGTTCCCGGTATGAATAATCAACAAGCATGGAAAAAAAATTAATTATATCTGAACCTTTTGTTTTGTATGTAGGAACCTTTTTATTTTGATTTTATGAATATTTCAGATGTTTACAAAAATTCTGGGTCCACATATCGAAGATTAAAAGAAGGGTTAGGGAGACTATCAACCTTAATTCTTCTACAGAAAAGCGTAACAACAAAGAAATTGAATCCAAGGAAGTCACCGGTAACTTAAATTTCTGTTAACTTAATTATGAATATGAACATTCGATGTTTCCTTATAAAAGATCAGTATATGAACATTTAATTCATCAATATTAAACAGACATTATGCAAGAGCTAAATCTGTCAATTGCAGGTCTTTCTTTAGGCCTGGAATGTTATCTAAATTATTAATTAGACATTAATTAACTTATCCAGACCATAATCAACGCTCGATGGCATCGCTAGCCTGTGATATATACTGAATTAGAGCCCAGTCTGCTACTTCTGATTAAATCAAAAAATCGATAATCGAGACCATGTTTTTTTTTTATCGTACCGACTATAGTAATGCTGATCGAGGCTAGGCCCAAAATTTAATCATTAAATACTTGGTTCAGGGTGGATGAATTTGACTGAAATTTTCAGCAAATTCCCTTTACATTATCTATTTTTTAACTATTATAATGAGAACTGCTAGCTCTTTCTGTAATCTCCCATAATTTTATTTATAAATACTTGTATGAATATCCGATTCTTCTTTATATTTACTTTTGTAATTTTTTCGATTTTATTCAGAAACCGAGAAAATTATGAATACATGTATCAGAATCCAATTCTTCTTGTTTTAATTGAATTTTATGAATTTGTCTATTTTATTCAGAGTCCAAGGAAAACCGAGGAAACTCAATGTTTACATATGAACGAAGTAACCTTTCAGATGTTGCAGAAATCATTTTTATGTCAAATGTCTGCTTTGTGGCTATGTCAGTCTTCAAGTGATTATATCTATCTGTTTAAAACTGAAGATAAAAGTGTAACATACCATTTAACCATTGACAAGGACTTGAATTGTGAAGTACAATATAATAATTTTTGTTTCCTGTTCAAATTAAAGTTACATCTATAGATTTACTTATAAGAACTGTTGAGAATATGAAGATATGTGGGGGCATAACATCAAAACATTTACAGTCTTATTCTCAATGTCAGCCTACAACTGTAAGATATATCAGACAGGTTGATATTTTCATGAACACAAATAAGTCAACATAGAAATTACGAAAGCTGTGTACTTGCTTCTGTATGTAATAGTTTTGTTGAGTACACTCAAAAAGAAATTTGTTTAAGTTGTCGACAGATTAACAGAGATTTACAGAGAAAGTAAATAGTAATAATAATAGTTTATTTCACATATATGGCTACATAGCACATTGCATATTCAGATTTTGATTGACAATATATAATTCAAAGAATCAATATTTACATACTTGTAAATGTAATTTACAATTCAAAAATAGCTTAGCAATAATATATAGTTGCCATATAAACGAGCAAACAGTGATAGAATATAATCATGTGGTACGTATGAATTTGATTAAAATGTAGATTTCACTCCATTTTGATTTATTTCTTCCAACTGACTCGACTCCACATAGATTTGAGGTCAAATGAGAAGTTATAGAGTTAAACTGTGATCAGTGATGTCAGGTATTTTATTTACAGCACTTTGCTGCAAGCATTTCACACAATGAAAGTAACAAAAACACAGATTATACAGATAATTTCATACAACAAAATAGAAAGTGTATAATTAAACTAAACATTTCCTGGCTCTATTGGAATTAATATCAATATTGGAAGTATAAAAATATAAATGTGATTGAATCTAGGATTAAATCTAGAACTTAATCAGCAGTGTTCTACAGATTTTTTATTTCTTGTTATTACTGTATTGTAGTTAATAAGTAATGAAAAGAAAACAAGGCCCCAAGTTCACAAAGCATTCTCAGTCTTAAGTTAAGGTTTTACTCAAAATTGTTTGTCTTATTTTAACTCAAATATAGCACTTTACTAACTATTGTTGTTTTAATGTAAATATATCAATAAGAAACTGTGCAAAGTTTTGTGTTTCTGGATCAAAGATATTTCTCAAAAACAGTGATTGAAGGTTGAGCAAATTCTTAAGTCTGGGAATGCTTTGTGAACTTGGGGCCAGGTTGATAATAGTAAACAAAATATATCGAGACGCAATGAAATAGCACCTCTGAGATGACGTGGCATAACTTTGCACCTTCCACAAAACCTAGCTTTTTAAAAGCTGCATTATATACCCCACGTGTGTACCAGAAAAATCAACATACTGATTCTGTTGGGTTTAATTTTTTTGATTGAGAATTGTTCGGGGTGCGTTTACGCAATCTTCAAAACATTCTCACATGTTATCATCGTAATATGATGTTGTTACATCCTTAATTGCAAGATTAAAGCAAATCTTTAAAACAAAATTGAGCTGAAAAGTACTAAGTAGGGCGTTAAACCTGGATTCATTTCAAACAATATTTACATTCATCCATTTATAAAAGCGATGTATTATTTTTATTGCATCTCAGTATAAAATATTAACAATGATAACAAAATTTATATAAATTTTATACAGGTGCACAACTTGTAATGTGTGAGCTTTATAAATGTATTAAATTATTCTTAAATATACATTATGTAAGATTTTGATAAAGAGCTAGCCATTCTTGCTATAATAGTTCGAAGATAAAAAATGTAAAATGACTAATTTGAAAATTTCATTCAAATTACTCTATTGCGAGCGAAGATATTAGCCTTTGAAGGCTATTTTAGAATATTTCAATTAATTGATGATACAAATTTCATCTTAACACACCTTATTTAAAAAATTCAACATAATGGTTTGAAACGTCTAACGTAAACCTTTTCAAATGAAACTTCGATTTAAAAATATTTTCGAACCCTCTCGACAATTAAAATAGGATGTAATGGTTTATTTACACAACAGGTGGGACACTTAAACATCTAGTACTTAGAGATATTATTTATTTTCTGGAGCTTTCAAGCCAGCAAGAGTGTTATTGTCCCTTTAAAGTAAATATTATACAAAATAAAAGAAACTGTTCCAAAGCAATTTGGGATCACGTGGCTAAGTGGGTAAGACGCTGGCTCGCTAGCCTGGAGGTCGGGTGTTCGATCCCTGCATTGGCCGAGATTTTCCGGCGTGGTTCCCCCTTTTCAGTGATGCAGTAAGGAGGGCCTGACAAGGACAGCTGTCTAATCCTTCGGATGATACGAAAACCCGAGGTCACCTGTATACATTGGAATGCACGTAAAAGATCCCGTGGCAGTTGGAATTCGATATAAGAATAGGTGATAGAGCCGCTGCCCGGGCAAAATTTCCCTAAAATCACACCTTATGGCGTATGCCCGTCTTCATTAGCCCAGCATAGGAGCAGAACAGTAGGACGTTAAACCCCATTTCATTTCATTTCCAAAGCAATTTGATCGTTTGTGAAAAAAAAAAAAATATATAGACATGGTCGAGACTATAATGAGTTTCATAACTTGCCCATTTGCTACGAACACTATGTGACTATATGCATGTATGTTGTATATGTAGAAAACTTACGGATGCTACTGGAACGACAGGTTGAGATGTCTCAAACAAATCTTTAGCAAAGAAAAGCTGTAGTAAAGAATACACATTTTTTTTTTTATAAACAATATTTTTATTCAAGATGTCTGAATGGGATTGGGGAACAGGCTTAGCCTATGTAAAACCCCTTGTTATAAACAAGAAAAGGGCACTGGGAAACCAGCCAAAACTGGCACGGACATGCCAAAGGCTAACAACAATATACACAAAACAATAAATAAAAAAAATAAAATGTGAATGTCATCATAATTTATTAATAATAATTTTATAATATGTAGTAGAAAATGATACACAAACGTGTGTTCGGATAATTTAATGTCCGAAAATAAATGGTTTATACTCCCGATGGTATGTTATATAACTAATTTAAAAAAAACTCATTAAAATTATGAATAACTTACATCTATTACACCGTCAAGTTCTTGAAATTCCAGGACGTCGTACGCTTCTGCCATGTTGACATACGGCCGGAAGTTACTTGTGCCTTATTGACTTCGCGCATGCGATGTACAACATAATTATGTCATCACCGTTATACGTCACCGAGTGGGCGTTCCCGTTAGTGTTCTAGTTCTATGGTAGAACTGAGTAGATGAGTTGATACATAATCATGTATATAACTATCATTTGGTATAATAGGTACATTAGATTGGTCGGTTCCTCTCAAGAATTCACAACTGGAAAAATATCCCCAGTGTTCAGCAACTGAACTTTCTGCTTCTTCCCAATCTCTTAAAAGTCCTCTACAGAAGGCACACCGTACCAGGTCAGCGGAACCAAGATAATATAATCCAGCTCGTGCTAATTCAATCGGTCTAACAGTCAAATACCTTGGCCAGTGTTGAAATGTTCTTAGTCTTGCTTCTTCTACTACCATAGTTTGTACAAAACTAGCAGAACTGAAATTAAACAATTTATATGATTTGAAGTCAATGTATAGATACTCATTTTCCACACTGTTTAAAAGTAAAATACCCAAGGGTCATTCACAATTAAAGTCTGACCAATTTAACATCCTTTTAATTTTGACACCTTCATGTACTTTTAAAACTAGATAAAGAAATGTGTTATTGGTATTGCATTCTTGACGTTACATTTTGAAACAGAGGGAGAATGTTTGAATCATGGGCCGTGTTAACAATAAATATTTTAACAAAGGGAATTCGTCTGATGTCAATTATTCACGTGATGTCAACCTAGGTTTCAACTTCTGAAAACAGTGGCGCTAAGAAATGGTGCAGAAAAATTTTTAGTTTGCATTATCCCCACCCCTCTCAAATGGAACTATTGTCTATGTATAAAGTCCAACGCGAACTTCATTCATATCAGGGGGTTGGATGGCCGAATGGTTAGCGCATGTGCGGTGTATCATAAGACCTGTCATTGAGTCAACTGGCGTGGTTTCGATTCCACGGTTGTACTTGACAAGAAGTAGCGTCGCCTGTTCAACCTTGTGGGTTTTCACTGGGTCCTCCGGTTTCCTCCCACTGCTAAACATCCCTACACGCAAGCAAATTATTGAAATAAAATTGAACCATATGTTAGTCCCGAAATGACCTAGTTTGATGTCAAGTGGACGTTAAACCCCATTGCTCTCTGTCTCATCCATATCATGATATCGTATAAACAATGTCAACAGCCAAACCAATGTCACTCGGCTTTATGGGGGCGCGCATTCTAATGCACGTTGATCGTTGGCTTCGCATTTCGTCCAATGGAAAGGGAGCGGTTCGGCGCCCAGGAGGGACAGCTGCCTCCTTGCCCCCCCCCCCCTTTACTAGCCCCGGGCCTGCACCTTCAGAAACATGCTGCTGTTCGTTAAAACATTCGACCTGCAATTTTATCTCTAAAGTGTGGATAACATGCGGAGTCGATTAAACACAAAGTGTTTTAATATAAGGAACATACAGATAACAACCCAGAAATAAGGAATATTTAGACGTATTTTTTTTACTAACCTTGCTAAGTTAAAGCGCTTTATATTGATCTCCGTATGATATGATGAACGCGTCTGTACTGGAAATAACGTATCTACTGGTGATGAAATGTCATATTTATTATGCAGCTTTTCCAAGATTGTATTATATTCATCTGGCCCGGAACTAAGATGCCAACATTTGTAGATGTGTTGTTTACAAAATTACATCTAGGATTCAGATCTTTATGTACTTGAAGAGAGTCATCATATTTAAGCCAGTTATTTTTAGTAACACCACACGTAAAACACGTAACAGTGTCATCTTCTCTGGTACCGGTAAAGACAAACCCAGCTTTAGCTAATTTTATCGGCCTTCCTTCAGATTGTCTAGGAAATGATTTGAAGGAACTTAGTCTCATCCATTCATATTTCATACAATTTGACATTGGGTATACATCTTCACCGGTTCCTTGTTTTCGAGCCTCGGCAGATTTAGCCCGATAGATTGGCGCCATAGTCAGATGAAGACTCAATTCAGAGATTAAAAGCCGGAACACTCCTTTTAAACATATATATATATATCAATCGCGTACAAAGCATTAAAGAAATGTGAGAATAGTGTTTGTTCGATCCTTTAAATTGTTTCTAAATATTTATCTTAATTGTGACCGTCTCATGCCATGACTATATAACCACCGTGTTATTAAATTGTATATTTTATCCATGTTTATTTCTCTTGTATCGTTTTAAATACACAGTTCATATCGCAATATGATATTTTTTTTTATAAATCATATATGTCTCACCTTCTTATAAATATTAATCATGAATGTTAATGTTCTAATTATAATAACAAAGCGCAAGTAGTGTAACACAAATCATCAGCGGTGTAACGCAAATCAGTTTAGATTGCAATATATGTTTATTTTATAATCACATGTGCTCCACCTTCTAAAAAATATCAATCACGAAAGTCGTGTAACACAAATCATCAGCCGTATAACACAAATCATCTGCCGCGTAACACTAATCAAGTTTATATCACAATATGGTATGTTTATTTTATAAATCACATATATACTATTCAAAAAAAGTAGGGGATATTTGATTTTGGGGGCATAATACTAAAATATGCAAATGACTACGAAAAAAGTCACTATAGAACCTAACAGAAGAAACATTTCCAGTTACATGTGACGCCCAAACGCACCAATAGCTACCGCATGGAATGCAGGTGATGCTTGGGATCATCATGGGGGTCCAACCCAAGATTTGCACGACTCTGACTTTGAATGTTACAGTCATTGTGGCATTGAATTCCAGGGTGGAAACATCAGTTTAATTGTTTTAGTGACCAGAAAACAAATTTTGATATGCGTCGGCTTACCCAAAATGAAAGGTTACGTGCCCTTGGCATGCTACAGATCGACACAACACAGGCGGTTGTGGCGCGGACGATGAATGTTTCTCAGTCTGTCATAAGCAGGCTATGGTCCAGATACCGTGATACACAATCTGTACAGGACAGACCACGCTCAGGTCGACCAAGGGCGACAACTCGAGCCCAGGATCGATTTATCCGTACCTTGGCCTTGAGAAATCGTGTCATCACAGCAAATCAGATCAGCGCTCGTCTTCAAACAGACACTGGTGTGAGAGTGAGTGGCCAGACGATTCGGAATCGACTGCATAGGGGTCACCTTCGCGCCCGACGTCCTCGCGTGATCCCTTGTTTGAGAGATCATCACATTCAGGCAAGACGTCGTTGGTGTAGGGATCGTCAACACTGGGATAATCGACGCTGGAGCAATGTGATGTTTTCAGATGAGTCAAGGTTCACTGTTGATTTTTTGGACAGACGTAGGAGGGTGTGGCGTCGTCGAAACGAGCGCTTCCAAGACGTTAACGTCATCAGACATGATCGATTTGGGGGTGGTTCTGTTATGGTGTGGGGAGGCATCACTGTTGCTGGAAGAACGGCTTTACATGTTGTTGCAGGGCGTGTTACAGGCCAGTACTACCGGGACAACATCTTGGCAGTCCATGTTGTGCCGTTCGCACGACGTCATGGCCGCCGTTTCATCTTCCAGGATGACAACGCAAGATGTCACAGGGCCAGGATCGTTACAGGTTACCTCCAACAACAGAACATCACCACATTACCTTGGCCAGCACTGAGTCCCGACCCCTCCCCCATCGAGCATGTCTGGGACATGCTTGGACAGAGGTTACGTCAACGTCAACAACGTCCTGCCAATGTCCAAGAACTTGCTGCTGCGTTGCAACAGGAATGGGACAATCTGGACCAAAATGACCTTAGACGTCTCATTAGGAGTATGCCACGTCGGATCAATGCTTGTTTGGCAAACAGAGGAGGATTTACCCGTTACTGACTTGGTTGTGATGCTGTGGTAACTTTGCTGTTTGACCCCGGGTATCATTTTACCCTTATAATGGTCAGTCTGTGCCTTACTTAGTCTAACGATCATTTGGAATAAATCGATGAATGTGAACTTCATTTCATTTTGTCATTTGTTTCTTCGTCAGTTTCATTAGGTGACTTTAATAACACTTAAAAATCAAATATCCCCTACTTTTTTTGAATAGTATCATGAATATTTGTAGTACATTGTATAGTTATACTCACAAATCACAAGTAGTGTAACACAAATCATCAGCCATGTAACACAAACCACCAGCTGAGGTTTCTTTTGTAAATCAGCTAACTATTTTTAGTTTCATTGACAGCAGCGATCGACCAATCAAAGGACTGTTTATACCCAAGTATTATTCTAGCACAAACATATGTTTCACTTCAATGAAGTTTATTTCAAAAACACCATATCTTCAATTTCAAATCTTTTATAAATATATCTAATCTTCCAGTGCTGGAAACCAATTCTTTGTGGCAATTCTGGCAATTAAAAAAATCGAGTTATTATTGGGTTAAAAGGGTGGTGATGAACGAGCATGAAATAATGCTAACCAATTTCTGAAGAGTAGAGTGCGAAAAATATCAATTTCTTTCCTTCTTGCGTTTTTGGGTCTTGGGTCTTTGAATGGTTAGCGCGTGCGCGTGGTATCATAAAGTCTTTCATTGAGTTAACTGGCGTGATTTCGATTCCCCGGTTGTGCGTGTTAAAGCAAGATGCCTGCCAAAATTGCTAAATTTGTCTTTAAGTAGCATCTACATGTACATTCGAATAGACTTGGTTCAAATCCCCAATACAGTTAGTTGCCATTCACTATATTTAGTAACAAAGAGAGCTAAATAAGGAAAGGGGGATTCCAGATATCAAATGAATTGGGTCAAAAAGAGCTTTGTCAAATATATAATATTTATTCAGTAACAAGGGGTCTAAATAAGGAATGGAAAATTCGAGATTTATGATGGGTAAGTTAGAAAAGCCGTTCTCCTAAACTCGCGATGACATTCAACACTAAGGCATTTTACACGGTCGTCCAAAAGTGTATGAATAAAGAGGCATAACATGTCTACAATTTAAAAGTAGGCCCTACTAATATCAATCATTTCAATACCTTATATTTATATTTATGCATTTATTATGTATGGCGAAAATAAATAATTTGCTAACTGCATGTTTGGACGCTTCTATTTTAAAAAAAGCAACAAAAAAAACCAAAAAAAACCAAAACAAAACAAACAACCAAAAAAACCGCAAAACCTAAAATTATATGACTTCCTAGGCAGTTATATAATTTATCACTTATTTTGATTAGTGCTGACAAAATGTTTTGAACTAGTTCCTGGTTTACACGTGTTTCAATTGAACTGGATCATTGAATGTCAAGGTGTGCTTATATAGTCACCTGTCTGTTATGTAATCGGGTATTCCCGTCAATATTTCAATCGGGTATTCCCATCATAACTACAGGAGAACCACACCACATATAAACCATGATGGGAATACCTGATGGAAAATATTTAATGGATATACCCGATATCACGTCCTAAATTGGCATATCAACTGATACGTTTAATTGTTATGTCTAGTATTGTATATTTTCAATCGGGTATTCTCAACATACACCAAACACTTCTTGGAAATGAAATGTTAGAGTTTTACTCTATCTGTTTTTATAAGGACAATATGTCACTCATGCCAGTGTTGGTTTAATTCAACACGTATCTCACAGGAGAAATAATTAGGTAAATAAAATAGATTTAAAATACATTAATGGTGTCAAAGATATGTTTACCAAAATGGGGAATATAATATTGAATTTTAATATATAGAACTCATATCACTTATGTCGGTCATAATAATGTCAGTAATGGGTGATTAAAGTTCCAATGAAATCAACAATTTTATCATTGACGAGGTCAGAAAAAGCGAGAAAAATAAATAAGTCCGAGTCTCACCTAGTTTTGATTAGATTTAAAAAGAGAGGTTGCCAGGCAACGAAACATACGCTGCTTCTGATGCTTGCTGTTCTGCTGGTGCCGATTCAGCAGCAGCCAGGGTGCCATTGGGCACATGATGATTCTTATCGGTGACAACTGGATGACCCGTTTTGAACACATCGTCATTTTTTTATATCCCAGGCCCAATTATGACACTATCCATGTCTAATGCTGCATTAAGCAGATCAGAACTGTTCTTATAAAGCTGGCCTGAAACACAATTGGCGGAAATCTTAAACCGCAACATTTAATCAACAGGGATGTGGTTATTTAGATTGAGGTACTCTTGGTCAAGTTTTGGGGTGGTGTATTATTATACGACATCACATACATTATGTGGTGGCTCTGGATATTATAATGTCGGTATTCGAACCGATGTCGCGATGTATGTATATGTCGCGATAGTACATAAACTATCTTGACTATATAATGTAGAAGTTATGAGTACCGAGATTGAACAATGCCTAAAAATGGCGGTAAAGTTGATAATGTTGATATCAATGATGATCATTTGTAAACATTCGTTTCTTACGCTATATAAGCGTATAAGATGTCCCTATGGGCGCCTTTTCCGCTTTGATCAGTAAATCAGTATGCAATATTCCCTTGTACAACTGGTTTGTTTGTAGGGGTGATGTGCGTGAGGGAGTGTGTGTGGGGAGGAGGGGGGAATGCCTAAAATTGGCGGGAAATGTGACCAATGCCTAAAATTGGCGAGAAATGTGATATCAATTATGACCATCTTGCATCTAAAGAAGTGTATAGGTTGCCCTTTGGGCAACAGTATAGCCTTTCTGGTTAATGATAATACGTAAAATGGACGAGAAATGTGATAATGTTGATATACATGATGATTATTTTATAGATGTACCATCAGTCCCTTCCCCTCTCAGCCCTACCCACACAAAACAAAACAGTTATCTAGGAGGTTCATAGTATACGCTTATTTGGAGATGTAAAGTGATATAAAATAAACATTAACATTATCACATTTCCAACCAATCTTAGACATTGCCCCCTCCCATCCCAATCCCCGAATATAACGTTCAAAGGTATAATAATTAATTAAATTAATATATATATAGAAAACGTTAATCACTGGCGAAAATATCAAGTCAAACAACATATAGCCCCTCACAAAGATTAAAATGAACCAACCTCTGTGTTTTAGGCCAAGATACAGTATTGAATTGGGTTGGTCTATTATTTCTATTAGTGATGGGCTTGGCTCTATACATTAAATTCTTGTTTCCAATGATGAAGCGGAAGTTGGCTTCTTTTAGTTTAAAATTTGACTTACAGTGGAAACACAAAAGGCCAAAATGGAATACATTGCAAAACTGGCTTTATCAACATAAAACTTTCAATTAAAATAAATTGTTATTCCACAGACAAATCTAGAGAAATAGACAATTGTATTGCTGACCCAAATCAAAGCGGCTGTATCACACATTACTAGTAACGTTATATTTACGATAACGGCGTTCAAATTCATAAAGAAAACTTAAATTGTTGTAAAAGAGCCACACACTGTTTCGATAGATATGGCATGCTGATACCCCTTTGTACGAAATGATCTATCTTGTACCCATCCCTTAGCTTACCTTTGCCGTACCGGTACCAGGTTGATGTATAGTGTCCACAAATTCTTGACCTTTGATCCTCAGTAAATATGCACATTTAGGAACCATTTTGCATGTTCTTTCCATGGGATATCCTCATCTCTCCAGGATTTTAAAACACCGCCACAGAAAAAACATTTTACTGCATCTTCTCGGTCTGAAAATAAAGTAGAATTTTTATCGTATAATATATAAACAACAATTACTACCCATGTGACAGGTTGTGCTATACGATGTCTATATATATATATATATATATATATATATATATATATATATATATATATATATATATATATCCAAAATTATTAGCACAACCGCAAAGCTGCACTACTTTGTTTCACGGTAAATGATGAAAAGATAAAAAAAGGTATGCCGACACCAACTGATTTCAACACTGGTTTAATAACATTTTAAAGTACTTTTCGTCCGTCTTGGGACTATTCATAAATAATGTCATTGTATACAGATGGACAGTATAGGACTCAGACTAGCAATTATTTGCCCATTGACTTCAATGTTAAATGACTGTAACATCACAGGCTGTAGCTTTTTGCTCAACATTCCGTTGGTTCCAATCTTTATAGGCACAATGGGGACAACATTTGCCAATCTCCTCATCATAATTTTGTAGGGGGTTGACCATTTAGATTTTTTGCTACACAGATTTGAAGTTGACAGGGGTGAAAATCTCACTTCCGACACAATGATTGCTCTGCAGAAAGACACTTTACACCCCCTATCCCTCCGCTGTAATATCATCAGTATTACCCAAAACTGCTATGAAATTGCAAATTTGATCCCTTTTCTCCAATTCTAGACCCAAAAGTCAACCCAAAAATGCAGGAAGAGGGGAGAAAAAAATTAAGGGAAAAATTGTCTATTTATAACTCGCACTACATTCATCATGAAATAAGGGGAAATAATTACTAGTCTTAGTCCATATTTATACATATTTACATAGTAACACCGTGGTTTTAATTGGCTATAGTTACCATTGTCTATGGTTACATAGTATATCGTTAACTAATAGAAACATGTACACACATGTGTTAATCTGTAGTATATATGGGGTTCAATTTATGAACAATGAGTGGAAGATAATCATGGGATAGATTTAAGAAAATTAATGAAAATAAATGAAGCTAATGGCCAATTGTTACTTATTGACTATTAAGTCGAGGAACATATTTTTTTAATAAAATGGTTTTCCATTAATTTCCTTTTCGTGGTGTCATCGACTTTCATTTTATAAAAAGGGAAAATTTGGAATTTTAGTTGTAGGTGTTGTGCACATTTACAAATATGTCTATTTACAAATAAGGGCCCATTTTCAATATTACAATCCCGTCGATGGTTGCGTACTCTATCCCGTAGATGCGTGGACGTCTCCCCTATGTAAAAATTTAGACACCCATTGCAAGTCAAGACATATATGAGATTTTTTGTGTCACAATTCATATTGTCGTTGACACTAAATGTAAACTTAGGAAAATTATATTTGCTATTTGGCGTAATATGGTCGCAACATTTACATCGAAGATCCGGGCATTTAGATACATAAAAGCCGGTCCTTGTGATAGATGAATTGAATTTTGCTTTAGTTAGGAGACGTTTCAGATTAGGTGGCTGTCTTTGTGATTTAATGAATTGAACCTTATCAAATTTCATTCTGAGGTTGTCGTTTGATGCCAGGATTGCCCTACTCTCGTACATTGTTTTAAAGAAGTTGGGATGTTGGGGGTTATGAGTAGCGACAAAGGTAATGATATTATCCGAACTGTCTTTTGCTTTAGTAGCCCTCAGTGTTTGAATATCAATTGCCAAAGCCTTATTTATCCCAACTTCTATTACCTCGAGAGGGTAATACTGTTTCAATAAATTTCTTTTTAGCTCACCTAATCTGACAACCCGGAGGTCTTCATTTTTCTAGCTAAAGAAAAAGGTATATTATTTTTGGTATGGCGTGGGTGACATGATTTATATGAAAGATAGTTTTTGGTATCTGTTTCTTTAGAATACATATCCGTTATAAGGAGTTCTCCCCTTCGTTTCACTAGAACGTCCAAGAATGCGATTTGCAGATCGTTCGTTTCAATTGTGAATTTGATATTTAGATCTAAATCATTCATTATTTTTTGCAAATCTGCAATGTTGCCAATTCGTTCATTCCAAATACAGAATATATCGTCTAGGAATCGTTTCAACTGATTTTCTAAATATAATCTGTAATCCACCCCATTTTCAATTTCTACAATTTCTATAAATATATATATAAAATTGCATATTTAAGGAATTGAAGAGATCTATTGCAGTTAAAAATGGACACCTTATATGAAAGAAAATATACGAAAAAACTATTTTTCATCCATAGATACATAGAGCCATAGACTATGTTCAGCCTTGAGCGAAACAGCATTTTGACAAGGAGATGCTCCTGGAATGACATCGTTGGTATCTCTGATCACCACACACACCTTGAGCTCTGGGTGAGTTATTTCCTGTCTGCGATGCCTTCTACACAACGAGGCGTGCACTGTGACACCAGAGATCTAGGAATGTTTGTAATCGTCCCATCACGTTTCTTAGGAGTTTTCCCTTCGCTACCAACTGATTTCTCGGTAGCCAAATATTGACTGTTATTCAAGGTGATCTTACACAGATAGTGTATACAGAGCCTTAATAATCCATAGGTACTGCAAATATTTACTGAGAGCACCGAGTAATCCTCTTCTCAAACAATTCAATACATGTTATTTAATGTTTTGCGTGGATTTGTTTTAAATTAAAAGTACACTGCATATTTCTATTCTGATTATTTGAAAATGATTGTAATTGTTTTTATTTGTATCTTTAGCATAGTATTTGATCCCAACCTAGCAATGTGGACAAGTGTGTTGCTATTGTATAATATCTTTGTCTGGAGAACTATCAACGTAAATAAGATAATAAATCTTATACATGAGATTCCACATTTCTAAATATGTGCTGAAAATCAAGGATGGATTTACACCACAATTTTCAGCATCGACAATATGTTACTTGGTTAATAAATTTTAACAAGCCTACCAAGGTAGTAAAATCCAGCTTCAGCAATCTGTTCTTTGCTGGGCAATGGCGATCTTCTCGGCCAATTAGCAAATGTTGCCACCCGAGTAGCAAGTATAGCTTTATCTGGTTGGGAAGCTGTTTCAGTGATGATACCTAAATCTTCTGCGGTTGCTGGGGCATCACTTTGAACTAGGTTTAAATTTCCATTATTTAAGATAGTTGATAGTGGATTAAGAGCTGCTCTAACATCTTCATCTGTAGAACTGAGTGGATGAGTTGATACATAATCATGTATATAACTATCATTTGGTATAATAGGAACATTAGATTGGTTGGTTCCTCTCAAGAATTCACAACTGGAAAAATATCTCCAGTGTTCAGCAACTGAACTTTCTGCTTCTTCCCAATCTCTTAAAACTCCCCCACAGAAGGCACACCGTACCAGGTCAGCGGAACCAAGATGATAGAATCCTACTCGTGCTAATTTTTTTGGTCTAACAGCTAAATATCTTGGCCAGTTTTGAAATGTTCTTCGTCTCGCTTCTTCTACTACCATAGTTTGTACAAAACTAGCAGAACTGAAATTAAACAATTTATATGATTTGAAGTCAATGTATAGGTACTCATTTTCCACACTGTTTAAAAGTAAAATACCCATGGGTCATTCACAATTAAAGCCTGGCCAATTTAACATTCTTTCAATTTTGACACCTTCATGTACTTTTAAACCTAGATAAAGTAATATGTTATTGGGGTTGTATTCTTGAAGTTACATTTTGAAACAGATCGAGAGTGTTTAAATCATGGGACGTGTTAACAATAAATATTTTAACAAAGGGAATTCGTCTGAAATTTTATTTACGTGATGTCAACCTAGGTTTGACCTTCTCTCAATGGTGGCGTTAAGAAATGGTGGGGGCACCTATAGCCTCCCTGGATAAAAAGTCGTAATTTGCAGTATCCCAACCCCTCTCAAATGGAACCATTGTCTATCACTGCAGAATTAAAAGGACTGTGGCTCTTCACAGGGTTATCAGACTTACTGTGGAATAATCCATTACGAATACATGCAATACCGGTTGAGAACTCGAATTTAATATACAGGGTTTGTTATATTTCTTATTTTATATAGAACAGTTTAAATAAACGAAACGTGGTACCGCCACAACCCAATCAGCACAAAAGTTCAATGTCAATTTCTGTCATCACATCCAAACACCCTGTTACTTGCAACATTGAAATCACAGACAATCGAGAATACAGATTGAAAAAAAACGTGTGTCAGTGTGAGAGGTGAGTACTTTTTACCCATTTACGTTAATTTTTGGATTAAAATGTATGCTTTGCTTGCTCATTATGTGGCTGCGGGGTTAACAGAAACCCCAATGCACAAAGATACAGTGTAAATGTTTTAACTGAAAATTCGACATAATTTTAAAATTTTCCCCCACTGCTAAAGATCCGTACACGCAAGCGAATTGTTGAAATAAAATTGAACCATATGATATTCCCGAAATGACCTAGTTTGTGTCGAGTGGACGTTAAACCCCATTTCTCTCTCATCCATATCATGATTTCGTATTCACAATATCAACAGCCCAACCAATGTCACTCGGCTTTATGGGGGCACGCATATTGATGCACCTCGGTCGTTGGCTTCGTATTTCGTTCAATGGAAAGGGCGCGGTACGGCGTCCAGGAGGGACAGCTGCCCCCTTGCTACCCCCCCCCCCCCTTGCTCTCCCCGTGCTAACTACGAGCCTGCACCTTCAGAAACATGTTGCAGTCCGTTAAAACATTTTACCTGCAATTTTCTCTCTAAAGTGTGGCTAACATGCGGAGTTGATTAATCACAAAGTGTTTTAATATAAGGAACAGATAATCGCATTGTCACTCGCTTAGGGCCCGCTTGACTTAGTTTAGTTCATTATACAGTATATTACCACAAAACGACTTTGTTTATACAAATTCCAGTCTGCTTTCAAGCCTTTTCACGGAAGAGAAACAACATAAATTAGTGTTTGAATGAAATGTAGATAAAGGCAATGTTGACTTATTTGTTTTAATTGACCTTTCTGTTGCGTTTTGTATTGATGAACCATCTCAAAGACAAATTCAAACTAGATGATACCGTGTTGAAGTGGTTCAAGCGTCTCGAATAGAAGTTAATCAGTAACTGCGAAAAACAGTTATTCAACATTAGTGACCCTACAATGTGGTATCCAGAATTCTTAGATCTCAGTCTCAGCTTAACTTAATTGTGCATGTATGGAAATTAAAATCTTTTGGAAGTCGCGAGTGCAATTAAATGGAATTCACTGCCCGTATCTCTCAAATCTGCCCCATCACTAACAATATTTAAATCACGTTTCAAGACCTATCTGTAATTTCTTATAGATAATCATATTTTCTTAGGTTTTTGAGCAGACATTTTGTTCTGTAATTTAGGGCAATGTAAAAACAAATCCTTAATATTTGTTATTAAATCAAGTAAATGACACTTTTCCTGATAGGAAGTGATACTGGTTATAGGGTAAACTATGTTATCCTTCTATGACAAGTACGTCTTTACCCTTCCACGAACAGTTTTATCACACATCGGACATTTTAATAAACCAAGGGCACATAATTCACATGCAACAAGATGCCCACAAGGAAGAAGAGCAATATTAGATTTAACATCCATACACATTTCACACAATTGCTGTTCTTTTAATTCCTCATTTTCTGGGAAAGGATTCAAGGATCGTGTAAATATATGAACAATAATACAGACAAATAAGAACAACACATGGCTTAAACAATGGTTGTACTTTTATAATAAAGCTACTTTATATTTAATGATGAGACATGTTGGACATTCCAAAACTTTCAACAATCAACTATGAAAAACTGAAATGGAAATTTACAAGCGCAAACCTTTATCCTGGTTATATTTTATTTCCCGTCGATGTGGAACAAAATAAGGTACATGTAATGCGTTGTATATATTTCTTGAATCTGAACACCTCCATTTTCAAATTCTCCTGGTTGTGCAGCCAACGTACACGATAATCCCTATCTGGATATCCCGTTTCCATCATATCGTCAGTTTTACTTTAGGTTTCGGGGACACAATGTGCACGTCAAGGTTGGCGTTAATCCATCGAGAAGTTATATGAACATTTTAATCCGCAAACAATAAACAATAGGGATGTAACTCTTTAATCGGTGGATAATCGTCAGTATAATAACTGACTTCCGTGTGTATTTTGTAACATTCAATGAGTCGGGGTTTTTTTGGTTTTTTTTTTAAAAATGAGGACATGTAACTCTTCCAGAGCACCAGTATGTATACACATATTGGTTATGTATCAGAATTAGCTATGTTATATTTTTTACTGATCTGTATCTCAAACAACCTAAAATGAAAATTAAAAATGCTAATAATGATTTGGTTAAAGGTCATGTAAACAGGGCTAGCTCTAACCCCAACCCTAACCCTAACCGTGGACTTAGCCCTAACGCTTAGCCTAAACCGAACCTACAATCTCGCCAACAATCACGTGCCCTAACCTTATTTACATGTCAGCGACCTTGACGAAAATTGAGTTGGCCTTAACAAACAGATCTAGCCATAGTTTGGTTAAGTTCGATAAATAAAATTTTTCTACACAAGTTAAGTAAATTGATGAATAATTTGCTCTTTGCTTTAAGATAGGGGGGTGGGGTGGCTGAATGGTTAGCATGAGCGCACTGTATCATAAAGTCTGTCATTGAGTCGACTGGCGTGGTTTGGAATCCCCGGTTGTACATTGACAAGGAGTAGGGTCGCCTGTCCAACCTCGTGGGTTTTCTCCGGGTCCTACGGTTTCCTCCCACTGCTAAAGACCCCTACGCGCAAGCGAATTATTGAAACCCCATTTTTCTCTCTCTCTGGTTTAAGACAATAGAAATGTGCAAGTAATTAACGAGTGTCACTTTGGGATTATTTTGGAGGACACCAGTCTCACTGTCTATCTATCGTAATCATAGTAGTAATTGTATTTATATCCATAGGCGTACAAACCCGATGGATGATGGGGTGGGGTGGGGCTCAGACATGAAATGCCCGAAGAATTTTTTCGCAAGGCGGGGGTCTAAAATCTAACCAATCGTGTCTGTAATGCCGAAATAACTTCAATGGTCGCAGTGATGTGGTTAACAGGAATTATGTAAGAGCTAAATCTGCCTATTGCATGTCTTTATTTAGGCCTTAAAAGAAATGAAATGGGGTTTAACGTCCTACTGCTCTGCTCCGACTGGGCTAATGAAGACCGGCATACGCCATACAGTGTGCTATGAGGGAATATTTGCCGGACAGCAGTTATTTAGTGGAATATAAACTATTAAAGGGGAATTTGGTAAGATTAGATAAAGAACTATAATGGTTAAAAAAATAGATAACCAAATCAGAATATGCTACAAATTTCAGTCATATTGCTTCACTCTGAACCGAGATAATATCAATTCAATTTTAGGATAGTCTCGATCGTAACGTTGGTACGATAATAGGCAAAGTCTCGATTATCCATTTTTACGTTAAATTATCAATCACAAAATGTATTCAAATCCATTAAATATCACAGGCTAACGATGGCATCAAGAGTTGATTATAGTCTGAATACATTAATGAATGTCAAATTAGTAATTTAGATAACATTTCAGGCCTAAAGAAAGACCTGCAAACGACAGATTTAGCTCTTGCATGATGCATGTTTAATTAGACATTTATTAACACAAGACCATAATCAACTCTCGAAGACATCTGGTAAGTCCGATTTTAAACAGATTTGAATCCGATCTGCGGTTCAAAGACGGTTGATGATTAATAGGAAAAAGGAGATATCGAGAAGTAAATTGACTGAAATTTTTAACATATTCCCTTTACATTATCTATTTTGTAACTATTATAGCGAGAACTGCCACCTCTTTATCTGATCGTTCATAATGCCGCTTTAATATACACGTATTAGACTTACGACTAAGGCCGCTACAAGAACATTCGGTATTGGTCAAATCCTGTTCCATCTTCAAAATACAAGGATAAATTGACACCCCACCCCCAACTGAACCCATGTATTCATGGGCCAATTATTCTTTTTGAATGCTGGCTGGCTGGCGAACATGTGTGCAAGGCAATGAAGGCCACCAAAACAATAAGTTATAACCGATGAAAACAATTATGAAAAGAATAAAAAAATATATTCTTTATTGATGATAACTCGGATGATAGTACAATGATAATGATAATGATTTATTTTTAATATAGCGATTTACATAAAAGCATCTCAAACCGCTTTACATCAATATAGTAATTACCTAGTGTATAATTCAATGATAGACAGTACATAAAATCATTCTAAAAATAACATTACAAGTAATTAAAAGAAATATCAACAATAACTAGACAACTTAACCTAATACTATAAAACTCTCGAGTATGTTATATAATTTCTTTTTCTAGTTGCATATTTACAATGTATTGCATATTTCATAATCTTGCGGCCTCAACAATAAAATTTTCTAAAAACGTGTGTTTTCAATGCGGTTTTGAAGGAGGCGAACAAATCTATATCACGGAGAGAGGCTGGCAGGCTATTCCACAGATGTGGTGCATAGATACAAAAAGCGCGGTCACCGTATGCTCGTGACGGTTTTGGTCTCATATTGTGATTCAAGGGTAACAAATTCTGAAAAGTTGACCTGTAAGTATGTAGCTAGGTGCCTGCTTGGACGAAATAGCCAGGGTAGATCCCTTTAATGTGTTTTAACGTTTAAATGATATTTTGTTGCAGAAATCATTATTTTATATACTTAGTTTTGGTGTTGTGATTTTAGTGTCACATACCCGATTTGATGTCCAACCATGTGGCATAATGTCACATATTATCTGTTTAATCAACACGTCTGGGTAATAACTGGGCATGCTTTTGTGAAACACTTTTTAACTACCACATACACAAATATTTCAAATTTCCTCTTATAAAATTCATCCACAGCAATTTCTAATTTTCAGATGTATATTTATATGATAATTAAGTCTACTAATGCCATAATATGGAACCAGATAAAGATAAACGTTGACGATTTACCAGACAGGTTAAATAAATGCAGCATTACAAGAATGTTTATGCTACTTTCCCATACCCCAAATCCACGTTTATGACAAATAAGTTTTGACGCTTCCACGCACTGCTTTACAACACCTCGGACATTTTGTTAAAACAGGGGCACATAATTCACATGAAACAAGATGGCCACAAGGAAGAAGAACAATATTAGATTCAGCATCCATACAGATTTTACACAATCGCTGTTCTTTCAATTCTTCATTTTCTCGCAGTAGCTCGGATGATTCTGTAAATAATTGAATAATAACAAAGAGTCAGGAAATTTATTTTGTATTAAATCAATTTGCATTTAATATATTCCGAGGATTTTATAAGACTTCTGTTTAATCATCAGTTTGAATAATTAATGGGAGTAAATTTACACACACAAACGAATATAATTTAATCATAATCATGTAATTTGTTGAATAAATTAAGGAGACATAAGAAACAACTGACTTGATCAGAAAATTTGTTAATATCAACAGAAACATTGGGTAAACATATATATTATATAAAGAGTTTTGTTATATTAAATCTCAGTACATTGATTTTTACCTTCTCCTTGTTGTGGAATAGCATCGGTTCTTGCTTCAGTTGCTGCTTCTGATGCTTGCTGTTTTGCTGGTGCCGCTTCAGCAGCAGCCAGGGTGCCAGTGGGCACATGATTATTCTTATCGGTGACAACTGGATGTCCCGTTTTCATCACATCGTCATTTATTTTAATCCTAAGTCCAATTGTGACACTGTCCATGTCTGAAGCTGCATTAGGCAGATCAGAACCGTTCTTATAAAGCTGGCCTGAAACACAATTGGCGGAAATCTTAAACCGCAACATTTAATTAACAGGGATGTGGTTATTTAGATTGAGGTTCTCTTGGTCAAGTTTTGGGGTGGTATATTATTATACGACATCACATACATTATGTGGTGGCTCTGGATATTATAATGTCGGTATTCGAACCGATGTCGCGATGTATGTATATGTCGCGATAGTACATAATCTACCTTGACTATATAATGTAGAAGTTATGAGTACTGAGATTGAACAATGCCTAAAAATGGCGGTAAAGTTGATTATGTTGATATCAATGATGATCATTTGTGAACATTCGTTTCTTACGCTATAAAAGCGTTTAAGATGTCCCTATGAGCGCCTTTTCCGCTTTGATCAGTAAATTAGTATGCAATATGCCCTTTTACAACTGTTTTGTTTGTAGGGGTGATGTGCGTGAGGGTGTGTGTGTGTTGAGGGGGGGGGATGCCTAAAATTGGCGGGAAATGTGACCAATGCCTAAAATTGGCGAGAAATGTGATATCAATTATGACCATCTTGCATCTAAAGAAGTGTATAGGTTGCCCTTTGGGCAGCAGTATAGCCTTTCTGGTTAATGATAATTTGTAAAATGGACGAGAAATGTGATAATGTTGATATACATGATGATTATTTTATAGATGTACCAACAGTTCCTTTCCCTCTCTCACCCCTACTCACACCTGGTCCCCACACAAAACAAAACAGTTATCCAGGAGGGTCATAGAATACACTTATTTAGAGATATAAAACGAACATCAACATTATCACATTTCCAACCAATCTTAGACATTGGCCTCCTCCCATCCCATCCCAATCCCCAGCCCTGAATCTCGGAAAAGCCCCCTCACATATGATCACCGCCTAGACTTGAAATCTATGCAAAAAACTGCTCTAGAAAAACTTCTCATAAATTCTCCTCTTGGGTGGCGATTTCCGCCCGCCCTTTGATTATTATAAGGCATTTTTAGGGAATCCAAATATTGCTATTGAGAGTTTGATATTTAATAGTATGGACTAGGTGCAATATAATATTTTATTACTGACCTGTAACACCCGGATAACCATTAGTTCCTACAACCTAAAATAGCGTTCAAAGGTATACTAATCAATTAAATTAATTTATATAGAAAACGTTAAAGTTACAATTTCATATTTTTAAGTTATATTTTTAAACTGTATTAAAATAAAGCCCTAAAATAGATGGTATCTATAAACAGTCCTACCTTGTTAAAGAATAATCCTATTAATCCTATAATTCACTATTGCCAGTTGATAAATTGGCAAAAATATCATTTTCAACTTCAAATTCAAACGTTTGAAGATAGCTATTCCATGGGGAATAGGAAAACAAGGGAGGTAATTGGGAGGTAATTGTGTTATTATTTCCGGTGGGAAGATTTTTAAATGTGAGATAGATAACCTATGATCGTATAATAGTGAGTTGACAACTTGTTGAGCAAAAGACATAGAAATAATTATGTTTTGACTTTCTTAGAAAATATGAAATTGTAACTTTAATCACTGGCGAAAATATCAAGTCAAACAATATATAGCCCATCACAAAATTTAAAATGAACCAACCTCTGTGTTTTAGACCAAGATACAGTATTGGATTGGGTTGGTCTATTATTTCTATTAGTGATGGGCTTGGCTCTATACATTAAATTCTTGTTTCCAATGATGAAGCGGAAGTTGGCTTCTTTTAGTTTAAAATTTGACTTACAGTGGAAACACAAAAGGCCAAAATGGAATACATTGCAAAACTGGCTTTATCAACATAAAACTTTCAATTAAAATAAATTGTTATTCCAAGGACAAATCTAGAGAAATAGACAATTGTATTGCTGACCCAAATCAAAGCGGCTGTATCACACATTACTAGTAACGTTATATTTACGATAACGGCGTTCAAATTCATAAAGAAAACTTGAATTGTTGTAAAAGAGCCACACACTGTTTCGATAGATATGGCATGCTGATACCCCTTTGTACGAAATGATCTATCTTGTACCCATCCCTTAGCTTACCTTTGCCGTACCGGTACCAGGTTGATGTATAGTGTCCACAAATTCTTGACCTTTGATCCTCAGTAAATAAGCACATTTAGGAAACCATTTTGCATGTTCTTTCCATGGGATATCCTCATCTCTCCAGGATTTTAAAACACCACCACAAAAGAAACATTTTACTGCATCTTCTCGGTCTGAAAATAAAGTAGAATTTTTATCTTATATGAATAACAATTATTACCCATGTCATAACACAATGTTTTAGATGTTTTGAAGACATCACGGATTCTATATCACTACTTACCGGGTTCACAATCGAGCACGTGACAGGTTGTGCTATACGATGTCTATATATATATATAAATATATATATGAAATTGCATATTTCAGGAAATGAAGAGATCTATTACAGTTAAAAATGAACACCCTCTATGAAAGAAAATATACGAAAAACTATTTTTCATCCATAGATACATAAAGCCATAGACTATGTTCAACCTTGAGCCAAACAGCAATTTGATATGGAGATGCTCCTTGAATGACATCGTTTCTATCTCTGATCAACATACACACCTTGAGCTCTAGGTGAGTTATTTCCTGTCTGCGACGCCTTCTACACAACGAGGCGTGTACTGTGACACCAGAGATCGAGGAATGTTTGTAACCGTCCCATCACGTTTCCCTTCGCTACCAACTGATTGCTCGGTAGTCAAATATTGGCTGTTATTCAAGGTGATCTTACACAGATAGTGTATACAGAGCCTTAATAATCCATAGGTACTGCAAATATTTACTGAGAGCACCGAGTACTCCTCTTCTCACACAATTCAAGTACATGTTATTTAATGTTTTGCGTGGATTTGTTTTAAATTATAAGTACACTGTATATTTCTATTTTGATTATTTGAAAATGATTGTAATTGTTTTTATTTGTATCTTTAACGTAGTGTTTGATCCCAACCTTGCAATGTGGACAAGTGTGTGGATGTTGTATAATATCAATGTAAATAAGATAATAAATCTTATACATGAGATTCCACATTTCTAAATATGTTATGGATTTACACCACAATATTTTAAGCATCGACAATATGTTACTTGGTTAATAAATTTTAACAAGCCTACCAAGGTAGTAAAATCCAGCTTCAGCAATCTGTTCTTTGCTGGGCAATGGTGATCTTCTCGGCCAATTAGCAAATGTTGCCACCCGAGTAGTGAGGATAGCTTTATCTGGTTGGGAAGCTGTTTGAGTGATGATACCCAAATCTTCTGCTGTTGCTGGTGCATCACTTTGAACTAGGTTCAAATTTCCACTATCTAAAATAGTTGATAGTGGATTAAGAGCTGCTCTAACATCTTCATCTGTAGAACTCAGTGGATGAGTTGATACATAATCATGTATATAACTATCATTTGGTATAATAGGAACATTAGATTGGTTGGTTCCTCTCAAGAATTCACAACTGGAAAAATATCTCCAGTGTTCAGCAACTGAACTTTCTGCTTCTTCCCAATCTCTTAAAACTCCCCCACAGAAGGCACACCGTACCAGGTCAGCGGAGCCAAGATGATAGAATCCTACTCGTGCTAATTCAATCGGTCTAACAGCTAAATATCTTGGCCAGTTTTGAAATGTTCTTAGTCTTGCTTCTTCTACTATCATAGTTTGTACAAATCTAGCAGAACTGAAATTAAACAGGGTAAAATGGATATAAATTATAAGATCAGAAGTGAATCAGGTATTCACTTTTCCCACTGTTTAGAAGTAAAATAAATACCCAAGGGTCATTCACGATAAAAGCCTGGCCTCCCAGATAAAGTGCACGAAGATACATTTTAAATGTTCTAACTGAAAATTCGACATAATTTTAATATTTTTGCCATAAAGAATGTTACAGCGGGACAATCTTACATCAACTAGTTTGAAATAGTCAATGCATAAATGAAAATGTTCCATAATGTTCCAGAATCTCTAAATTTATAGATAAATCCAACGGGAACTTCATCCATATCATGATATCGTATTCACAATGCCAACTGGTAGATAACTTCATGGCGGATGATTGAATTAATTTCATGAATAAACCTAATAAACATCTACACCAAGTTTGAAAATTCTAGCTCAATTAGAAGGAGGGTTATTGCGTTCCAAAAAAATTGACGGATAGACGGGTGGACGGACGGAGCGACAGACAGATCCATTTTAACAGTCCCCTGCCCTCTTCGAAAGGCGGGGGACAATAAAGGCTCACTTTCGTGTAGACAGATTCTATCGACAGTCCGTTCTTTTCAAATTTTAAACTTGATTTAACTCCACCTTGACATTAAAGCAACCCAAACCTCCAGAAACCAGAAACATGCTGCAGTCCGTTAAAACAATCGGCTTACAATTTTATCTCAAAAGTGTCGATCTTTGATTTCTGCCTTATTCCTCACTCTGGTTAGTATCAAGTCGATTGACGTGAAGTCGGTTAATCACAAAGTGTTTTAATATAAGGAACAGAGAGAGTTAACAACCGAAAAATAAAAAGGAAGAATTAAACGTATTTTTTTCTGTCTAGTTCCTCACTCGGATTAGTATCAAGTTGGGTTATGCGGAGTCGATTAATCACAAAGTGTTTTACTATGAGGAACATACAGTTAACAACCGAAAAATAAAAAGGAAGAATTAGATGTATTTTTACGAACCTTGCTAAGATAAAGAGGGATATACTGATCTCCGAATCACTACTGTAGATAGGTATTGCCTCTCGACGTGTACCCATCTGTTCTGGAAATGACGTATCTGAAGTTAAATCTATAGTGTCGCTATCGTCTATTGGTGATGAGATGTAACACTCGACAGGGTGATTTCTGTGTGTTCCACAATATGTATTATGCAGCGTTTCCAAGATTTTATTATATTCATCTGACTCTGGAACTAAGATGCCGACATTCGTTGATGTATTGTTTAAAAAATTACATCTTGGATTCAGATCTTTGTGAACTTGAAGAGGGTCATCATATTTTAGCCAGTTATGTTTAGTAACACCACAAGCAAAACACGTAACAGTATCATCTCCGTCTCTAGTACGAGAAAAAAAAAATCCAGCTTTTGCTAATTTTATCGGTCTCCTAATCTCATCGATTCATAGTTCATATAATCTGGCATATGGTGTACATCTTCACCGATTTCTTGTTCTAGATCCTCAACAGATATAGCCCGATGGATCTTTGCCATTGTCAGATGAAAACTCGATTCAGAAATTAAAACCTGGGACACTCCTTTTGAAACACCTATATATAAGAGATCGCGTACACAACATTAAAGAAATGCAAGAATAGTGTTCAATTGTTTCTAAATATTTGCATTAATGTTACATTTCCTTTTAATTGTGACCGTTTCTTGTAATGACTATATTACCATCGTGTTGGTAAATTGTATATTTTATTCCATGTTTATCTCCTGTATCTTTCGTTCGGTGATTAATGCTTAACGCCCGCTTCCACCTTAGGTGATATGGAAGAGAAGCCAAATAATCGGCTTAGTCTAATATAGGTAGGAGACGCGTTGTCTATTTGGAGGCCCATTCGATTCAGTTTCTTTTGGATAAAGACACGATGTCTTTTGCAGGGTAGCATCCAATTAAATTTCACCCAAAGGAGTTGCTCATCTCTTGTCTCTTTTTTTAATACACGGTTTATATCGCAATATGGTATGTTTATTTTATAAATCACATATGGTTCACCTTCTAATAAATATCAATCATGAATTATAGCTGCACATTGTGTAATTATACTCACAAATCACAGGTCGTATAACACAAATCACAAGTCGTGTAACACAAATAATCCACAGTGTAACACTAATCACAAGCCGTGTAAGCAATGATGTTTTTTAAATGAAGTTTATTTCAAAAAGGCCATATATATATAAATGTAGTCAATCTTCCAGTGCAGAAAACCAATTCTTTGTGGCAATTCGTATCCGTTTCAGATCTAAGTAGAACAGAAATAAAAAATATCAGGTACAAATCGAGTTTTAATTGGTTTACAAGGGTGGTGATGGAGGGGGTGAAGTGTCGGAGCAGGAAAGTATGCTAACCAATTTCTAAAGAACAGGGTGCGAAAAATACCCTTTTTTCATCTTGTTTTTTTTTTACAAACACATGTATACTACAATATAAACACGTAGAGTTAAGGCGTGTTTGATGCGTCTGAATCCAAATTCAAGATATTTCATGTTAAGATATAACCGATTTTGTATTCTGCTACCTACACAGTCAGCCAGACTAAAAGTAGTAAACAAAGAAGTAGCCGCGTTATCTTTTAAAAAACACCCCCCCCCCCCAAAAAAAAAAAAAAACAAAAAAAAAAAACAACCCATCATTAATCGAAATATAACAATTAAGATTAACCCGAGTTTTTACCCAAATCTCCTTTAAGCCCCCACGGGCGGGGCCCAATTGCATTTTGGAGGTCACTTCGTGTGGGTGTGTTAGAGTGTTGGCGTACAAGGAAAGACCATTTTGTCCGGCAATTTTGGTAGGATTTTTTTTACAAAATTCGAACTCAACCTTCAGTGATGTGTAGCAGTGATATATTTAAACGGTTTTTAAATTGAAAACGAATTGTGACTTCTGGCGGGTCCACAAGCTAAAAACGTGATTTTTCGAACAATCAGGGGCCATAATCCATGAAGGTACGGTCCGATACATGCCAATTCGAAAGGAATCGAGATGTTTGGGAGATAGACCTATATTTCAAGTTTCGTCAAAAATCGGATAAAAATTGTGACCTGTTTGTGGACGGACGGACAAGGGCGACCACAATATCCGTCCACATGGAAATGTCGGCGTATAAAAAGGACCCAAACCTCTAGGCGCCCCCAAGCCTACCATAGTTACGATGTGAGACTCCGTCTCAGTCATGCCCTGCTTGTTAACTGCGACTTAAATACTTCATACATTTGAACCCAACGATACCAGTGACGTTTTCTGGGAGACCATTCACGGTAACAGCAAACTGTAAGAAAATGAAATATGATTAATACAGAAATCAAGACGTATTGCATTTCTTTAATTTTACACGTAGTTTTAAATTGACGACTAGGGAAATATAATTCATTCTCTATGGGTTGATATGACCGCACTAGAAGATCTAGAAAATAGGTTTTCCCCGTTAAGGTCGACATGTGCATAACAACTTGAGCCCACACAATCAATACATGTGACTCAAAGTATGCGTGTAAATGTCAGCGTAGCTATCGCACAAGACTAGAGCTCTGACTACTGGGTTTTCCCAGAACATCCTTCATTCGAGTATTACTGCTCCACGAAATATGTTTATCGCTTACCACGGTAACTGTGATTTTACACTGCAAACAGACGTTATTATACGTGTACAGGTAGGCTATGTATGTATTTATTTATAATTGTGTAATATACAGTTGAGTCATATACAGTAGATTGTATTGTTTTGTTAGGAGAGCCTTAGCTAATCGAAAGTGGGCGGTCCTTTTATTTTAGGCTGTCATCCGGGCATGTTATGTAAAACGTTTCTTACCGATGAAACCGGTATAACTACAGGGTTTATCTCTGCCCGTCGGTCTATCTTTTTAAATTTTAAATTGAACTTTGAGATTTCTGGGATGTTGTAGGTTAAACTGCTGTGTATAGTGGAGTTATATACCAAGTTTGCGTTCTATCTCGTGGTTATTCTCCGGGTCCTCCGCTTTTCTCCCACTGCTAAAGACCTCTACGCGTAAGCAAATTATTGAAATAAAACTGAACCACATGTTAGTCACGAAATTACCTAGTTTGTGCCGAGTGAACGTTAAACCCCATTTCTTTTTCTCTCCCCAAAGTTTGCGTTTCGATGGATTGTTAATATTTGCCCCCCCCCCCGCATTTCGAAGAAAGCAGGGGACTATTAAAATAGGTTAGTCCGTCTGTATGTCTGTCTGTCCGTCACACTTTTTGGGATACAATAACTTTTTCTAATTGAGCTAGAATGTTCAAACTTGGTGTAGGTGTTTATTAGGTCAATACCTTGAACGAGCATTTTCCGCTTACGGTAAGCGGAGATAAGCAATTTGATTTGTTGATGCTTTGGGACACGATAAGTTTAGTTCTAATTATTAAGTGAGAGTGATGAAACTTGGTGTATATAGTTTCATTGCATCAATACCTTGACTACGTTCGATAATGAGCATGTTCTGCCCAGGGTAAGCATAGCGATAAGCAATTTGATTGGCCAAGATTTTGGAACACAATAACTCTCCTTCTTATTGAGCTAGAATGTTCAAACTTGGTGTAGGCATTTATTAGGTAAATCTCTTGATGGAGTTCGATTATGAACATTGTCTGCTTACGGTAGGCAGAGATAAGCAATCTGATTGGTTGATGATTTAGGGGCACGATAACTTTGGTTATAATGAAGTGAGAGCGATGAAACTCTGAATATAGATCCATTATATCATTACCTTGACTAAGTTCGATTGTGCGAATTTTCTGCCTTGGCTAAGGAACGATAAGCAATTTGGTTGATCAAGACTTTGGAACATAAAAACTCTGCTTTAATTGAGGTAGAATGTTTAAACCTGATGTTGATGTTCATTAGGTGAATGTCTTGGCTGATTTCAATGATTAACATTTCAAGCTAAAGCTAAGCAGAGCTAATCCATTTCATTGGTCGATGCTTTGGAACAAGATAATCTTGATTCTATCTGATAGAGAGTGATGAAACTTAGTGTGTAGTTTGATTGCTCGAAACTTTTGAAAAAAATAAATGTTCGATTAATTAAAGATACATTATGGGAGATTTTAATAGAGAGTTGGCCATTCTTGCTATAACAGTTCAAAAATAGATGATGAAAGAAGAATATATTGAAAATTTCAGTCAAATTACTTTATTCTGAACAAAGTTATCACAATTGTAATTTTTGACTAGAAATGGGAGTCAACTGTCTCTTCACCGTCTCCGAGAATGGACGATCGTTTGATTGACAGGCGTTAACTCCACCTACATAATCTCGATTATCAATTAACGTTTTCAATGGCTGTGGTTTGGGACGGGGTTGCAATTCAATTCGTATCACATTAATTTTATTTTTACTACAAATAAAAATAAGACTTTTAATATATAGATAAGAAGCGAAAGTTTGAAAGGAATGGACCAAATCAATGAGGTATAATTATAGCCGACTTCTTGTTAGCCTGCGTGTACTCTTGTACTGTAACTGGTAGGCCTGCGTAACTCCCGAACAGTGATCCAATGGTAAGGTTTTCGTTGTTCACCCGAGTCGACACCAGACCGTTCGCGTTTTGAATCGAGTTGGTCACATGACTGACTCGAGTCGCATCACGTGACTAACCCGTTTACTCCCCGTTGAGCGGAGAGTAAAAGGGTTTGTCACGTGACATAATGGCGTCCTTTACGCAAAAAAGCCTGTCTCTCGATCACATACTGACGTCGTAACTCTGTGATCCGTGGTAGTTTGTGATCCGCTGCAATCTCAAAATGAATCTACAAAAACCGACAATGGGAACTATAGAATACAAATCTAAAGATGGTAATGTACTCAACTTATCGATTGACGATGCAACTTACCCGAAGATAATAACAAACACGGGCTTTGCTACGGCCTGGTTGAATACTATTGAAGACTACATTGCGGCTGACAAAGCTAAGGAAGCGCAACTAATAGTTCTTGAATTAAAAAAAGATTCGGAATGGAGGCAGCCATTGCGAAAAAAATAAAACAAAATAAAATAAGGTGTCTCGCCATTTTGTTTTGATGTCATGTGACTACTCGGACCGTTCGGGATGTTTCACCCGGGTAAACTCGGCAATGGAGTCGACTCGAGTGACGCGAGTAAACGACGAAAACCTTACCAATGGGTAAGTGTTATACAGTACTAAGCGAGACCGATTTTTACGATTATGCTGAGCGAGGCAGATGTAAGCCCCGCCTCTTTCTTGTTTAAGTCCCTCCCATTTTATTTGAAGATCGAGTTTAGAAAGGACTATTTATTGTTAATAATAAAAGAAATCTCAAGTGCTACTACACTTACGCACACCTAGTGGTTTCCGTGGTCCTAGTGTGT